AGGTTGGAAAATGGGATTTTTGAAGAAATCAAAAAAAATAAAAAAATAGAGATTTTTTAGCCGAAAAATATCGCAAAAATTATAAAAAGACTAAAAAAAATATTTTATGCCCTCAGGGAAAAAAGTTTAAAAATGAGATTTTTTGAGAAAAAATCTCAAATTTCATCTTAAAAATCGAATGAGATTTTTGGAAAAATCAAAAGAAAAGAATCAAAAAATAAAGAATTTTTAGCCGAAAAATATCGCAAAAATTATAAAAAAACAAAAAAAAAATATTTTATGCGCTCAGGGAAAAAAGTTTAAAAATGAGATTTTTTGAGAAAAAATCTCAAATTTCATCTTAAAAATCGAAAAAATTTTATTTTTAGAACCTTTTCGAATCTTCAAACGCTACCAAAAATTGTAAAATGGTCTATATTTCGTTCCCTGAAAGTTTCAACTCTTTATGATCCTCATTATTTTCTCGACTCACAATTACATCGTTTTTCAAGAAAAGCGGTAGATCTCGCCCAACCTACATTTTCTTTTCTTCAGATTTTGAGTACAGTCTATAAAGGCCATGTATTCATCGCTGAAAATTTTAACTGATGATTTGCAAAGCCCGCTGAGGTATTCAACGGTCTTTGAGAGACGAGAGACTATGGAAAGTGAGGAGAGACGGTCAGAGAAAAATTTTTCTCTGACCGCTCTCCTAATTTACCATAGTCTCTCGTCCGCAAAGATTGTTGATTATCTCGGCTGTGTTTGAAAAGCAAGAGCTAACATTTTTAGGGAATCGTTTTCAGGCTATTTTCACTCAATTCCATTAATTAAAAAAAAATTCCGAATTTTTTTGTTCAAAAAATCCCATTATTTTTTTTTCAATTTTTTCCAAAAATTTGACCTTATCTTTTCCAGGTTTCCCTTGTAAACAAATTAGCTGCAAAACGAATTCCGTTTTACACTCCAAACCCACTTTTACTGACGTGGAATTAGTCGAATGGTCTCGTATAAAAAGACGGCATTCCCCAAGTTCCGTCGATTTCTTTTTGTAAAAGGTTCAGAGCGAAAAATTGGAAGGTTGGCGGGTGGTCAGTCGAGAATTTCTTTCGGAAATCTGTGAGAAGGGATTTTTTTGTTACTCCGACTTTTATAGATCAAGAGGATTTTGTCTTTGAGGGATGAGCGGAAAAGTTGAGGGATATCTCAATGTAGATGGTGTAGATTTTGATGAAACTTGGGGCAAGTTTAGGCTACAAGTTTGTAAGGTACATGAGAGATTTTTAGCTTGCGCTTTGCAGAAACCATCGAGATTTGTAAGACGAATTTTATCGATCTTTAGAATAGTAAGGGGGGACCAAGGCAATTTTTTGAAGACAGATGTTGCCGCTTCGATTTTGATGAAACTTGGGGCAAATTTAGATCAGGATTTTCTAAGACTTATAGAAGATTCTTAGCTCGCGCTTTGCAGAGACCGTCGAGAATTTTAGGTCGAGGTTTTTTTAATTTTTTTGGATGGTGAGGGGGGACCAAGGCAATTTTTTGAAGACAGATGTTGCCGCTTCGATTTTGATGAAACTTGGCTCACATTTAGATTTGGATTTTCTAGTAGACATGGGAGCTTCTTAGCTTGCACTTTGCAGAAACCACCGAGAATTGTAGGTCGAGGTTTTTTGAATTTTTTTTTGGATGGTGAGGGGGGACCAAGGCAATTTTTTTGAAAACTCAGATTTTGATAAAACTTGGCTTAAATTTAGATTACAAGTTTGTAAGAGACATGAGAGATTTTTAGCTCTCGCTTTGCAAAAACCATCGAGAATTTTAGGTCGAATTTTATCGATTTTTAGAATGGTAAGGGGGGACCAAGGCAATTTTTTTGAAAGCTCAGATTTTGATGAAACCTGGTTCAAATCTAAAATATGTACGATGGTATTGCGAAAAGGACGTTCTTGTAACCTTCTCCAAGCTTTTCCTCTATAAAATCTTGGCCCATTTTGTAAAGCCATAGCAAAAATGTGAAACTTTTTTTGAGAATTTTGCCCCAAAAAATATCATCCTATTTCTACCGTAGAATATAATTAGCCCACAAAAAAAATAATTTTTCTTTTTTTCTTCACGAAACTGGCAAAGGTATGGCCAAAAAGTTGGTTTCCCTCTGACCGCTCTCCATATTTCGCATGCTCTCTCGTCGGAAAAGATCGTTGAATATCTCGGCTGCGCGTGCAAAGCGGGAGTTAAGATTTTCAGGTATTGAGCTATGATATACTAAGATCATTTGTCTAAAATTTAAAGAAAATCCGAGAGTCTAGCGTTGAGAAATCTTCGTTTGATGAGGAACCCCTTTTTGACCCCTAAATTCTTTTTACACCGATTTTACTGTAATTTTCCCACTATATTTACACTTTTCCCCCCGCTGATCTCAACCTTGACACTTGCTGTTGACATCGAACGCCCTTTCTATCATCAGCCCTTCGTTAACAGATAACCCAAATAAGGCTGGAGCGCGCCTTTTGCTGGGATGCGTGAAAATTCCGAAAAACATCCCCATTTTCAGCTTTTTTTCGATTTTTCGCTAACAATTGACGTGTCTAAATTCTCAGCAAAGGGTCTCGCTTCAGCGCCGTTTAAAAGGCCTGGGAATTGAGGAAATCGCGAACAAATGAGGTCTACACTTCCCTCCTATACTTTCACTTTACCCTTTGCGCTGAGAGGCCTTCTGGAAGGGTTGAAAATTGAGGTTAACGGGGTTGATTTGGGTGGATGATTTATATCTCCTTGTAGGGGTAGGGAGAAGTTCACAAATCGAACGATTTTTGAACGCTTTTTAAGGACTTTCGCTTCAGATTTTCGGTAAATTTGGCCCGCGAATAGGTCTTAAGTAGGGGAACTGATCTAGTGGCAAAAAACGTACCATTTTGCATCCAGGAAGTATCAAAAATGTGGCAAAATACCTCATTTTTTGTAAAGAAAAAGGGCGCGCCCTTCAAGATAAAGTTTTTTCACTTGGTGAGGAAGGCATTTTGCCACATTTTTGATACTTCCCGGATGCAAAATGGTACGTTTTTTGCCACTGGATCAGGTCCCTCACTGTAGCAAGACGTGATGATATTCGCTCGCGCTATTCCGCTGCAGCCGAGATATTCAACAATCTTTGTGGCCGAGAGAGTATGCGAAATGCAGAGAGCAGTTAGAGAAAGGCACTTTTTGGCAATATCTTTGCTTGTTTCGTGTGGAAAATTTTGATTTTTTTGTGGAAGCTTTACATTCTATGGTAGAAATAGGCATGTTACTTTTCGTGCCGAAATTCGGCAAAAAATTGTCAGATTTTCACCAACTTTCGACCTAAAAATCTCGGTAATTTCTGCATAGCACGTGCTAGAAACCTCAGACACGCCTCAGAAAAAATTATTCTAAATTTGTACCAAGTTTCATCAAGATCTGAGCGTCGCACTTGGAGTACTCCACTGTTAGCATAGCTTTAGAAACAGCCCTAATTTACCGCACAAACCCGGTATAACAAAGTCTGTAATCTTCAGCCGATAACTCGCATATATCGGCATCTTTCGACCTATAATCCCAAAACTGAGTCACACGCGTCAGCAGGAATTTTTCGCTTGTAATGTTTATTTGTACGTGTTTATATCCCACTTTTATTGCTGTTCTTGAATCTATTTTTGATTTTTTCGCAATTTTTATGACGCAACGAGCGCTATTTGAATATGAAAGGCGTCAGAGATTTCTTATGTAATCGAATTTTGAAGCAATTTTTTCTTAAGGTCCAAATTTACAAAAATGATGACTCAAAATTGCCTGAGGGCATGATGGGGCAGAAAAGTTGGATACCAAAAAATACAGTCATTGAGGGTCTTGGGACTGTAAATTTTGTAATTTTTGCTTCGTCACTTCTCTAGTTATGGGCAATAAAAGCCGACCAAGTCATTAATTCGTCTTGTTTTGCCACAAAAATCATTTTACGGTATCCCTACAGCTGGTAGCTCCGTTATACATTGATTTTACCGGCGAAAAATGTCCAAGATCCCCGCCGTTTTCGTATAAAAATAATCTCACTGAATCAGAGCGAAAGGCAGATCGAAGAAGGGCGGCTGGCGAAAGAAGCGAGATCCCCTCGTCTCTCCCATCTTTTGCACGTAGATCTTGGAGGAACGCGTCGTCGTATTCTCTTTCTCCCTTCCCCCCACCCTCCCCCCTCTTCCAGATTCGTTGTTGGGAACATAAAAGGAGGCTGGAATGTCGTGTAATTTCAATACGGGGAGCGGTCTCTCACCTGCGCTCGTTTGCGGTTATTAGTACTGGAAAGGACGGGGAAATACCGTAATCTGAGCGTGGAAAAACGCGTGAGGACCTTGGAAATTTGTCTGTTATGCAAGGAAGTGCTGCGCGAGGGTTTTGTTTTTGGAAAATTTTGATTTTGAAAAAAAAAAGTTTTTGGATGGTAAGGGGGGACCAAGGCAAAAATTTTTGACAAAAATTTTTTACTTTGGATTCTAATCACACTTGGTGCAAACAAAGACTACGATTTTCTAAGCAATATGTGAAAGTTTTAGTTCTCGGTTTGCCGAAATCATCGAGATTTTTGGGTCAAAAGTTGCTGAACTCATCCATTTTTGGGAAATTTTTTTATTTTCTTACCAAATCACGATGTAAAAGCAATGAAAATTTTGTCAAACAACTAAATTTTACATTTTTTATCTTTTTTCAGTAACAATAATCAAACCGTCAAGATACGACCGAAAAAAATTTCTCTGACCGCTCTCCTCTCTTTCCACGGTCTCTCGTCTGCAATGATTGTTGAATATCTCGGCTTTTCTTGCAAAGCATATGCTAAAATTCTCAAAATTAAATGTGAAAGACATGACGATTTTTTAGGCAGGATTTCAAAAAAAAATTATTTTTATTATTCCTATTTTTTTTATTTTTTTTATTTTTTGTAATTTTTCCGCAATTTTTTTACTTTTATTGATTCTCAAATTTGACCTCCCAATTTTTCATTTTTTTTGCAGATGAAACTCCTTCTAATAGCGACGGTATGTATACTGTCGCCGCGGGCTTCGGCCGACGTTTTCACGGCCATGGTGGACATTGAGAATATGCTGAAGAATGAAGCCGAATCCACGACAATGCTGCTGGACAAGTACTTGGAATCGGAGGCGCAGAGGTTACGCGAGATCCAAGAGTGAGTTTACAATCCCGGCAGCTCTTGTAAAACCTATCGTAACTGGCTGAAAAATGTCTTTTCTCCGACCGTCTCTCCTCATTTCGAGTGCTCTCTCGGCCGAAAAGATTGCTGAATATCCTTGCTGCGGCTGCAAAGGAGAAGCTGAAATTTATAGCAGTAAATGTATAGGTTATATGGAAAATATTTACCAAATTTGAAGCAAGTCTGACTTTTGACCTTTGAGAAATTTAATTATGAAAAAATTCACGAGATGACTTCAAAGATCGTTGAATATCTCGGCTGCCTTTGCAAATAAGAAGCTAAGATTTTCAGCAGTTAATCTGTTATCTTCATAGATCACACACACCAAATTTGACGAAAATCCGACGATTACTTTTTGAGAAATCACCATTTTATATCAAAATGAGCCCTAAAAATTTGGATTTTTTCTAAAAATCTCATTTCTTCAAAAAACCTTCGTTTTCCAGGTTCACCGAGCGCTACAAGTTGGGCGCCACGCAGAACCGCAACATTACCGACGTCACCGACCCCGTGCGCGCCTACATTTTCATCAAAGGCCTGAGCAGCGAATGGAAGCGCCTGAAGCAGCTGCTGCATTCGAATGGCGCCGATGACTTCATCAAAACGATTAATGACAAGCGTACCAGCAAGTCGGTCAAGTTCCCCGACGACGAGGACGTGGATGGGGCGGCGGTGGGGCTGCTGCGCTTGCAGGACACGTATCGGCTGAAGACGGCGGATCTGGCGAACGGCATTGTGAACGGGATGAACACGGGAAAGCAGTTGACGGCTGACGACTGCTTCGAGATTGGAAGGGCGGCGTATAATCAACGCGACTATTATCATTGTCTGGACTGGATGCTGGAGACGGAGAAGCGCATGAAATTGGAGCCCAACAACCGCGTCAGCAAGTCGGATTTGCTCGAGTACAAAGCCTATGCGCTCTACCAACAAGGCAACATCAAGCGAGCGTTGGCGCTGACTCAAGAGCTCGTCCGCATCGACCCCTATCATCCAAGGGCCGCCGGCAATGTGGACTGGTACAAGGACCGCATGAGTCCCGAAGAGCTGGCCACAATGGACTATTTGCCACCGTTGAAGAACGAGCGAAACCTCAAATACGATATCCAGGAGAGAGAGGTCACCGAGAAGTTGTGCAGAGGCGAATTTGATCCAGATCCGGTGATGCAGAGCAAGGTGTATTGCTACTACAAGAACGATCGGCCATTCCTGAAAATCGCTCCATTTAAGGTCGAGATTGTCAGATTCAACCCGCTCGCTGTGCTGTTCAAGGACGTTATGAGTGATTATGAGATGAGCGTCATCAAGGAGCTGGCAACACCGAGAGTAAGTTCGGAGAAAAATTGAATGACTTTTTGAGTGGAAATTTTTGAAAAATTTTAATTTTTTCGAGGGGCAATAGAGGTTTTTTGCTGAAAATTGGAACAAATGAAGACCAAAGCCTTCTAAATTAACTGCCGAAATTTTAGCCAGCGCTTTACAGAACATACTGAGGTTTTTAGACACAAAAGTTCAGAAAATTCGACTTTTTGGCGTTTTTTTGGAACTAAGAATTTGCATACTGCAGTCTCATTGATTTTTTTTCAAATTCATCATGCTTATTCTAGATAGTTTCAGGAATAATCGATGAAAAATTTAGCCCAGTCTAGACAGGGAGAGTCGAGATATTCAGCAATCTTTTTGAGGGGGTCCGGGAGAATAAGGAGTCAAATTTCTTGTTTTTTTTGTCTGTAACATCGTAAAGTTTGGTAGGAAAAAATCATTTTTTCGTAAAAACATTGCTTATCTCACATTTTATAATGCCTGAGATTTTAAAGCTAAAAATCAAAAAAATTTTTTTTCCAAAATATCTCGAAAATTTTAGCGAAATACAAGCTAAAAATACTTATTCTAAATTTTCATAATGTTTCACTGAAATTTAAACCTTCGATTTTCTTAATTTCCCCTGAAAATTTTGTTTCGAAGCCTGTAAACAACCCAAAAATGAATCGAAATCTCAAAAAATCATCATTTTCAGCTCCGCCGCGCCACCGTTCAGAACGCCAAAACCGGTGAATTGGAGACCGCCTCGTACCGTATCAGCAAGTCCGCGTGGCTCAAGGACCACGAGCATCCGGTGGTTCATCGGATCAACCAGAGACTCGACTTGATGACCAACTTGAACCAGGAAACCGCCGAAGACCTGCAGGTCGCCAACTACGGAATCGGCGGCCATTATGACCCTCATTTCGACTTTGCCAGGGTAAGAAGGGAAATCGAATTTTCAGAAATTCACAATTTTTTTGCCTTTGGATCGTTTTTTGGAGCGTTCAGTCGGAGGGGTGGGATTTTTAAAATTTGAAAAAAGTGGTAAGGGGGGACCAAGGGGAATCTTTTGAAAATTTGACCCTCGGATTTTGATGAAACTTGGAATAAGTTAAAATTACAATTTTCCAAGTCAAATGCGAGATTTTTAGCTTGCGCTTTGCAGAAACTACCGGGATTTGTAGGTCGAAGTTTATCGATTTTTGGAGTGATAAGGGGGACCAAGGCATTTTTTTCAAATATTTTTTTTTTGAATTTCTATGAAACTTGGCGCAAATTAAGTTTAGAAGTTTCCACAAAATATGCCAAATTTTTAGCTCGCGCTTTGCAGAAACCATACTTCTAAGAGCTCAAAAAAATTTTTTTTAGTTGTAAGGGGGGACCAAGGCAAATTTAAAAAAAATTTTTTTTTTTTGAATTCCAATGAAACTTGGGGCAAATTAAGATTAGGATTTTCCACACCATATGTGAGATTTTTAGCTTGCGCTTTGCAAAAATCTTTAAGATTTTTTGACCAAAACTTAAAAAAAAATTTTTTTTTTGATTTTTTGTCTAAAAAATATGTCATCTTTTTGAACTATTGAGACCTACTACTTCCCCAAAAAATTCAATTTTTTCTCCGCGAAATTTAAAAAGATAAAGTCGAAAAAAGTTTTTCTCTGACCGCTCTCCGCGTTTAGCGTGCTCTCTCGGCCGCAAAGAATGTTGAATATCTCGGCTTTGGCTGCAAAGCATGAGCTAAAATTTTCAGTGATTGATTTGTTCGCTATTCAGATTGTTAGGACAAAATTTGAAGCAACTTGGACATTTGGGTTCTGAGAAAATTCGAATTTAAAACTTTTGGTCAAAAATCGCACTATGCGATTTTTCATCAATTTTTTGCAATTTTAAATATATTTTCTTGGCTTTTCAATGTTTTCAAAATAGAAATTACCCTGTTTTAAAACTTTTCATCAAAAAAAATCTCTGACTGAACGCTCCGCCCACCGATTATGACGTCATGTTTAAGAACCGCGGCATGAATCCGTACAAAGAGCCCACGGGGAATCGGATCGCGACCGTGCTGTTCTACGTAAGTCTTTTGCGGTACCCCCTAACGTGTGTGTTTTGCAGAAGGAGGAGAAGAATGCTTTCAAGAAACTGGGCACCGGCAATCGCGTTGCCACCGTTCTGTTCTATGTACGCTTTTTTTTGATTTTTTTTTATTTTTTTATCCATTTACTTGAGGAATTGGACTGGAGCAGGGGCGGGGAAAAATTTAGGCGAAAATTGGGGTATAAAAATCTTATTTTTATGATTTTTTCGACCAAAAATTTCAAAAATGACGAATTTCAAAAAATGTGTCATAATGACGGATTTAATTTTTCAAGTGCGAAAAAATTGTTTAGACTGAATTTTTCTAATTTTTATTTACTTTACAACGCATTTTTGCGAATTTTAATTTTGTAAAAATTTTCCAAAAAATCCGTCATGATGACACATTTATTTTTTTAAATCCTAAAAATGGTTTGAACTCATTTTTTAAGTAATATTTCGCCTTTGACAACACTTTTACCTTCCTAAAACTCGCTAAAATACGATTTTTACCCGTTTTGACGAAATGTCACTTTTGACATTTCGTCCACAATTTCATACATGCCAACCCCCGCTTCAGTCCACCTCAAATTTATTGACATTTTCTCCCTGAAGAGTTTTCAACTTCATCAACGCCAACTACATCATCCTACCGTAACCCAACGTTAATTACAGTACCCTTTTTTGGTGATGGAAGTTCTAATCCATTTTGGCTCTAACCTTTTCCGGGCTTGGGCGCCAAGCTTTTGTTAACACTCCTCCAAAGAAAAATTTATTTGATGTAGTTGTCGTTGTAGGTGCAATAGTGACGTATAGTTGGTGAATCTGTTTTTTTTGCCGTTAGCTGATCGTAGTTTTCGTAGTTTAGTTGGACTGTAGTGGACGTAGAGTAGTTGGTTGAAGAAGTGAAATGTTTTTAAGGGAATTTTGAGTTGTCGAGAAGTCTTGACCAAGGGCGAGGGGGAGAAAAACAGCTTTAAAAAGTTGAAAAATTGATCATGATACCAAAATTTGGTATCAAAAAGAATCACGAATCGGATTTTGATTTTATTTTGGGAGATCTATAATATTAGAATATGATTTTCTGAGGTATTATACATGATCTTAGCGTTGTTTATGAACATTGGGTTTTTTGGAATTTTTAAAATATTTTCCTTGGTCCCCCTTACCATTTTTTCCAAAAAAAAATTTTTTGAAAAATCAAAATTTTTTGCCTCTAAAAATAATAAAGATTCCATTTTAAGACCCTTCTCATATCGCCTATAGTCAAGACACTCTTTATTTTACGATTTTTACTCGTATTTTACCTAGTTTAGCATACATACCATGCCCTTAAAAGTCATCATTTTCCCGTGTCTAATATCTCTTTTCGTTTCAGATGTCGCAGCCCGTAACCGGCGGCGCCACCGTCTACACGGAGCTGGGAATGGGCACCTTCCCCATCAAGCACGACGCCCTCTTCTGGTACAATCTGTACCGCTCGGGCGAGGGCGACATGCGCACCCGGCACGCCGCCTGTCCCGTCCTGCAGGGCGTCAAGTGGGTGAGCAACAAGTGGATCCACGAACGCGGTCAGGAGTTCCGGCGTCCGTGCGGCTTGACGCCCGACGTCCACGAGCAGTTCGTCGGCGACTTGTCGCCCAAATAAGCCAAAGATTTTTGTATGGAGATTCTTAGGACTTGCCCATCAATTTCTCATTCGAATTACGGTTACTACTTTAAGCTCTGTTCTTAGTCCTCTTGTAATATGCTGTTTGACATGAAAACGCGTCTATTTATTGTGTTCTTTCGTCTTTTCAGATTGTGATAACATTTGATTTTGTTGTTGTAATTACGGTAAATAAACATGTTCATAAAAAATTTGGGATTTTTTTTTATATTCTTTTCTCTCTGTCTGTAATTTTAATATTTTTACAAAGTGCATGGAATTTTTTTTGTTTTTGCACAGTGAATCAAGAACTTTTTTCCGTGCTTGTCGCCAACGCACAGTGCAAAAACCAAAAAAGCCGTTTGCACAGTGCATCCGGAACTTTTTCCCAGGCTTGTCGCCAACGCACGGTGCATTTTTTTGTTTTCTCACAGGACAAAAGCCAAAAAAAAAATCGTTTGCACAGTGCATCCGGAACTTTTTCCAACACTCGTCGCGAACGCACGGTGCATTTTTTTCCTTTTCGCACAGTGCAAAAATCAAAAAAGCCGTTGCACAGTGCATCCGGAGCTTTTTCCAACACTCGTCGCGAACGCACAGTGCATTTTTTTTTGTTTTCCCACGCTTGTCGCCAGCGCACAGTGCGTTTTTTGTTTCTACTTTGCACAGTGCAAACCTCAAAAAATCCGTTTGCACAGTGCATCCTAAACTTTTTCCCACGCTTGTCGCCAATGCACATTGCATTTTTCTCCCTTCCGCAGAGTGCAAAAAAACACCCTCAGGACGCTTGAAACACACATAAGAACAATGCAAACTTCAAACATTAACACACAAAGTACGGGTTTTTCCCGCTGCACATTCAAAATACAGGATTAAGCCGGGCCCGAAAACCCGAGTTGATTGCGAAAAAATCACGTTAATAATAAAACTGGTGGAATATTCGGGGACTTGCGGCTGCAATCAACGTTGATCATGCTTGTTTTTCAAAAGTTGTGGGAGGTTTTGCATAAAACTTGGGGTTCATCGAAATTTTTATGATTTTTTTAATGGAAGATGGGCAAAACGGGAGATTTTTGCTTTCCATTGGTGAGCTAAAGACATCATGATGCGATTGAGCGACAAATACTCTCACATCCGGCCTTGTCTGCCTTCTGGACATCAAATTTTGACAATGAGCATCAGATTTTTATTGAAATTTGTAAATTCGAGATTTCTAGTTTATTCCCTTAGGCAACATGGGGAAGATGTATATCTTTAAAAAGCCTATTGCGTCTGCTTTTGCTTAGAATGCTTCTCCTTTTTGTATCTTTATTCCAAAATCATTTTATGACATTAAATCTGAGACCTTGTTGCCATGTGTAATATCGGTGATTTCGACTTGATCTAGCAACTCAATGTGGTCGATATATACATCGTCTGAAAGCTTATTTTGTTTACTGTCGTTGTATATACTGTCTGTTACCTTATCTAGTATCAAATTTTTTAACAGCCATCAATTCTGAGACCTTGTTCCCATGTATAATATCGGTGATTTCGACTTGATCCGTCAAGTCAATATGGCCGATATATACATCGTCTGAAAGCTTATTTTGTCCACTGTCGTTGTATATACTGTCCTTTATCTAACCTGCAGCCAGCTTTCTTTTAATAGCCATCAAATCTGAGACCTTGTTGCCATGTATAATATCGATGATTTCTAATAAATAAACATCGCCAATCTATGAAAACGCTATCTCCTTTTATAGCCCATAACATCTATTTTACCTCACTTTAGTAAATTTTGTCGTATCTGTTTTCAAATTTCTAAAAAAAATCGATTTTTTCCTCAGTTTTTAGACTTTTTTGCCCTTTGGCCGTTTTCGATCCAAAACAGTTGTTTTTGTCGCTTTATTTACTGCTCAAATCAACGTGTACGTTGTACATAAGTGTTCTCTGACCTGCTATTTTCATTTTACCTTGAAATTGGAAGCATTTTTATGGTTGTCTACTCGTTTTTTGGTCTTTAATTATGCAAATCTCACACACCTTTTTCTCTTCCTCCCAATTCCCTCGAGGATTTTCAAAAGTCCCCCCGAATTTCCATAAATTCAAGTTTTTGATTTCGAAAGGATGACCAAGAAAGTTGAAGTGGACGACCCTATCGACGAGGCCACGGAGACCTTCCGAAACTCGATTTCAACCCAAAAATCGACCACTCAGTTCACCGACAAAACCCCATGGCTCTCGATCAGCATCGTGGCGGCCATGACCACCTGCACGGCCGCTCAATACAGCGTGTATTTCAGCTCCATGTGGCCGTATTTGCAACGGGTAAGGGAGAGATTTTGAAAGGCGAAAAATAGAGGGAATTTTGGGGATAGAAAGATAAAAATTTTTTTAAAGTTACATTCGAATTTTAAGAAGAAATTTCCAAGGTTTTAGAGCAAACAAAAATAATTTTTTTTTTGATGGACAGGGGGGAGTAAGGTCAATTTTTTTGGCCAGGTGAACACATCAAATTTAAATTTTTTCCAAACTCGGAGAATTTTAGAATACGATTTTCTAAGATACTATTGAAATTCTTCGACCCTGATTTGCAAAAATCACCAAAATTTTGAAGTCGAAAATTCAGAAAGTCCCAAAAAATTTTTTCGTTTTTTCAGCTTAAAAATTTTAACGCCACTTTCTAATGCAATGCACAATGTCCTTGCGAAAAATTAATTTTTTCCGAGCGAAATTGGCCGAGATACGGCGGGCTTTTCTCTAGCCACTCTCCTCGTTTTTAGTGCTCTCTCGGAAAAAAGATCATTGTCTCAGTGCTTTTTGCAAAGTGTGAGCTAAAATTCGCTGTATTTTACCTTTGCTGATAGAGAATAAAATCAAGATCCTAGAGAAATCCGACATATTTTGGGGTACCCTAATATAATATAATATAATATAATATAATATAATATAATATAATATAATATAATATAATATAATATAATATAATATAATATACGATATTTTTTCATAAATCATTTTTCCCCAAAAAAAAAGCTTTTTTAGTTGGATCCCGAGACTACCGAGCCATTTGTTGGCCTTTGCGCCGCCGTTTACTCCCTTGGCCAGATCGTGTTTGCCCCCGTGATTGGTTGGTGGAGTAACCGTATAAAGAATATTCGAATCCCGATTGTTGTGGCCATATGTCTTCAGATGAGTGGAAATTTCATATACCTCTTTGCTCAAGTCTTTCCACCTCCGTATGGAAAATATGCAGTGGCGTTTAGTCGATTTTTATGCGGAATGGGGTCAAGTAAGGATCGGTTTGATATTTTTGGATACTTTTTGATACTCTTTACAGTTTTATTTCTGTTTTGAGGATTTTTGAGGAGTCTGCGTTATTTTGCATTTTTGGGGGTTTCAAAACTTTGGATCACATTTGATACTTTTGGATACTTTTTGATCATTTTTGATACTTTTTGCTAATTTTGTTCTAAAATGTCTTTAGTTGGTTCTCTTGTTATTTTTTTCATCTATGGGATCATTTTTGGCACTTTTTGATCACTTTTTTGACTTTTTTAGGCAAATATCACGCTTTTGAGGACCTACGCATCCACTTGGAGCATTTTTGATACTTTCTAACCACTTTTAAGAACTTTCACAAATTTTGCTTAAAAAAGTGTTGTTTTTATCTTTTGGATCACTTTTGACACCTTTTCCCCCTAAATCTCCCCTGTTTCAGGCAATATTGGGCTTCTGAAGACCTACGCGGCCACTGCCAGCCGAAAGGAAGACCGAGCCCGATCCATTGCGACTTGTACGGGTGGACTAGCGATGGGGTTGATTGTTGGGCCGGGTAAACCTACTGTAATATAAATACTCTAACCGATTGTTTATATTTTAGCAATCCAACTTCTCTTTACACCAATTGGAGAGGAGGGTTGGCGGATTACCTCCTGGTTTGCGTTGAATATGTACACCACGCCTCCGTTGGCCGTCTGTTTGGTCAATATCACAGCCATGTGCACCATGGCGTTTCTGTTTAAGGAGGTTTATGCCGGCCTACTGGATAAGGCATGTTTTTTAAGTTGATTTTTAGGCGATTTTAGGGGAAAGTGTCAAAAGTGATCCATGATACTTTTTGATCACTTTTGCTCCAAAATTAATTCAGCTGCTTTTCCGATGTATAGAAACTGTTTTTATCGAATTTTCAACAGTTTTAACAAAAAGTATCACAAAGTGTCAAAAGTTATCCATGATACTTTTTGATCATTTTTGCTCCAAAAATAACTACACTGCTTGTTCAATGTTTAGAAACTGTTCTTATCGAATTTTCAACAATTTTAACAAAAGGTATCAAAAAGTATCAAAAGAGATCCATGATTCTTTTTGATCATTTTTGCTCCAAAATGACCTCCATTGCTTTTTCAACTCTTTCAAACATGTTTTTGTTGAATTCTGAGCAGTTTCAGAAAAAAGTGTCAAAAAGTATCAAAAGTGATCCATGATACTTTTTGATCACTTTTGATCCAAAATCACCTAAATTTCTTTTTCAACGTTTTCAAACCCGCTTTTATGGTATCTTTAACCATTTTAACAAAAAGTATCGAAAAATATCAAAAGTGATCCATGATACTTTTTGATCATTTTTGCTCCAAAACAACCTAAACCGTATTTCAGACGGCCTCCGACATTCCCAAGCTCCCTCCAGCCGACAAAGTGGGGCTTTGGGTGTGTTATATCATCCGTTCCGTGCAAATGTTCACCTTCAGCTCCATCGAAACCCTCTCCGCTCCGGTTGCAATGACAATCTTCGCTTTATCACGAACCGATGCCGTCGCACTGGTCGCTATTGTGCATGCGGCAATGTCGTTGCTCGAACTCTTCATGTACGTCTGTTTTGTGGGGTGCAAGTTGGACCGGTACGTGAATGATCGGTTGGTCTGCCTGGTGGGCTGTGTTGGAATCGCATTCTTCTACGCCGCCAGCTTCCCATGGCCATTCTTGAGCCAGCCGATGGTCCGGTACAACGAAACGAGTAAGTTTTTGTGCGTTTTTGGCGATCTTTTGACAAAATTTCCCATCTGATGTCATGTATAATATAAAATGAATAAAAAAACGTATTTTAGTGGCAGCGGAATTGAAAATCATGGGAAAAGAGCCTTTAGGATGTAATGTGGACCATCTGCCGTGGTGCGAATATACGCCACAAGTCAACATTTATCTGTATTACATACTTTTCGCATTGATCATGACGGGCGGATTTTGTGTGATTAATATCACAATGAACACCATTTTCTCGTCGATTATTGGGCCTAGACGACAGGTAGGTGATGCTTTTTCATTGTCAACGCATTGGGGCCGCGATTCACGAAGTTCCCTGAAGATCAGGGAGATCGTGGCGGAACCCAAAAAATCTTTGATGACTGCGATTTTTCGTATAAAATGGCACCTCTATCGTACAATAGGATGACTAAAAGTTTACTAGAGGTAGAAGCTAAAATTTTAGCCTAAAATTTTACATCATTTTATATTATGCATGAAAAAATTTTTTTAAATAATTTCGATTTTTTTCGTATAAAATGGCACCTTTAACGTACAGTAAGATGCTCAAAAATTTATTAGAGGTAAAATATCACAATCCAGCCTCAAATTTTACCTTATGTTATATTATCTATGACATAAAATTGTTTAATTAATTTCATTTTTTTCGTATAAAATGTCCCCCAGACACGACAATAAGACAAGTAAAAAGTCAGTAGACTCATAAACTCAAATTCCAACCGAAACTTTTGCAATCTTTTATATTATCCATGACATTTGCAGGGAACGCATCAAGGATTTCTTCAAATGATGGGCTCGGTGGGCCGACTGACCGGTCCCTTGCTGGTCAGCAACTTGTACACCTATTTCGGGATTCGCTACGCATGGGGGCTCGAGTTCGGAGTGTGCGTGTTCGCGGCGTTGATCTGGGTTTTCAACTACGACCATCTGATTCCGATCGAAGAAAAGATGGAACGACAAAAAGTGGGGGCTCAGGAAGACGAAAAAGTGATGGCGGAAAGCCTCGGAAAGAGCAGCATCTTTTGAAAATACGGGAATTTTTACAGTCTCTCGGTCAACCAAGTACAGTGGCGCACCTGATCCAGTGGTAAAAAACGTACCATTTTGCATCTGGGAAGTAGCAAAAATGTGGCAAAATACCTCCCTCTCCAAGTGAAAAAACTCCAATTTCAAAAACGCGCCCACTCTTTTTGTGAGGGAGCCCTTCAAAAAGAACTTTTTTCACTTGGAGAGGGAGGCATTTTGCCACATTTTTGAGACTTCCCGGATGCAAAATGATACGTTTTTTGCCACTGGATCAGGTCCCTCACTGTAATTAGAATTTCACCTATTTGATGTGTAAATTAATACAAAATTGTGTCGAAAATTGAAGGCAAATATCAAAACAACTCCTCCAATATAATTTTAACAGAGTTGGACGATTGGGGAAACCGAGAAGTATTTTTTCTTCGACGCAAGTGTCGAAATTGGGATAATCGAGGGTGCTGATTTCGAAAATGACATTCAATTTTTTTTGATAGTTACTTTTTTTCCGTAAGTAGTACTGTAAAGTAGTAATTTTTTGAATTTTTTCACAAATACTCGATTTGGGGGGGGATTTCAATGGTGTTGATTCCGAAAATCATGTTAACTTTTCCTCTTGTACTACACAGTACTATCTGATACTATGTAGTACCAGGTGAAAATATGGCTTTTGACGTTAATGCTGTTGTTTTTATGCTTAGTATTCTTTAAAACCACGTTTTAAAGACTTGGTGCTATTGAGTACTACCTGATACTATGTAGTACGAGGTGAAAGTAACAGTACTAAGCATCAAAACAACACCATTAACGTCAAAAGAAAAATTTTCACGTCGTACTGCATAGTATCAGATACCACTATTTAGTACTAGAGGAAAAGTTGACATGATTTTCGAAATCAGCACCATCGAAAACCCCTAAATCGAGTATTTATGAAAAAAATTCAAAAAATTACTACTTTACAGTACTACAGTACTAGGAAAAAAGTAACTATCAAAAAAATGAATGTCATTTTCGAAATCAGCACCTCGATTATCCTAATTTCGACACTTATCGAAGAAAAATGATACTTTTCGGTTTCCCCAATCGTCCCAATTCCAATTTTAAGGCCATTCCCACCGCAAAACATTTGATTTGAATTTTATTTATCGATTAAAATTTAGAAAAAATATTACTATTGACATTGAACACAGAAAAATAATAAAAAAGAGATCGAATGGGGGATCAGAGTATGAGAGGCTATCTGAGACTGCAGTTACACCTTTGGCTAGTCGAATTTACAATCTTTTTATCGACATATCGAATAGAAACTGGCGAATTTTTTCCTGGCTACGTACTGTTTTCTTGCGGAGCACCTGGTACATGATTATTTGATGGGATTTCTGGGATGTTTTCGAATGCTTGAGGTATTTCAGGTGGTTCAGGATGTTCAACATTCCGTTCCACGGGGTTTTCATGTTGGTTTTGCTAAAATCATACAGTAAAACATCAATTTTCATCTAAAATAAGGTTAAATGATACCTAAATTATATTGTACTTGACAAAACAAGTGTCAAATTTCTGTTTTTTTATTGTTTCAAAGCATTTTTAGGTCTCTAATCTCATTTTCTTCGCTTCTTACCTCCTCTTCCTGTCCATTTGCTTCTTGAATCTGTTCTTCCGTCCACTCTTGATATTGTACTTGGACCTCTTCAGCCCGTTCTTCAAAGCTCTCATTCTCGTCGTAGTACTGTTCTTGTACATATTCCGTGACCACCTCCTCTTCATACTGTTCTTGGACCACTTCTTCATGTCCAATCTGATGAACATATTCATCATCTACATCAACATTATCACTGCTGAAGCGTTCATTACAAGCCAGCGAGGAGGTCTGCTGTGTGTCCACATAGCTTCTACTGGGCCGTTTATTCACTCCTTGCGAGCTGCTCTCCTCATAAGAGGACGAAAGTTCCTCTTGATATTGTACTTGGCCCTCATATTGGAGGATTTCGGGCTGATATCGGGGCTCAGTTTCCGTGACGTATCTCAAATGTTCGCCCTTCTCCAGTCTTTCTTTTTCCTGCTGTTCATAGACCACTTTCGGCTGGATGACCAGCTTTCTCTCCAGTTTTTTCGGGTTGATTTCCAGGACCGTGACTTGCGTTTGATGTTCGCTGGGGCTTCGGGACCTATCACGGCGGATCTCATACGTCCTTGTCATGTTATTTACATTGTTTCTGCGCACATCCCTCTGCGGTAGTGTCGAAACCGTCCTCGTCACAGTGCCATATCTCAGCTGGGGTCTGGCGGTGTAGCTCTTTTCGTAGGCGCGGCTTTCTTGGGCCGACTGTGCCGGCTGGCGAACCACAAACCTCGAGGGTTGGGGGATTTGGCGGCTCGAGGACGGGTTCATGCTCATCTGATGGGCCGAGGTGGAGGGCTGGAGCGGGGCGTTCGTGTAGGAGGTGCGGACCTGCGGGATTTGGCCCATCTGGCCCACATTGAAGGGTCGTTGGGGGCTGACTGGCACCCTTGTGTTGGGCTGGATTCGGCGTTGGCCGGGGGGTCGGCCTCGCCTCGGTTTCGTGGGGTCGTGGGGCTTGGGGGTGGTGGAATTGGCCTTCAAATCGTTGGCGCGTTGATACTCGCGGATCATCCGTTCGACCTGTGCGTCCAGTTGGAGTTGGGTGCAGTCGTCCTGAGGCTTGCCGTGGCCCGGTTCGCGCCAATTCAGCAGCAATGTGACCGCATCGCCGCGAGTCCGGTAGACCTCGGCCAGACGTCGGTAATGCTCGGTGATCTCATCCAGCTGCAAGAGGAGACTCATCCTGTCATTGTCGATGATCGCGTAGGCCGTCTGGAACAAAAACATGAAAAAATTATATTATCCATGACAAATTTTTTATAATCCATGAGCAAAAATTGGCTGAAAACTTGTTGAAAGCCTACCTGTTCCCAAAGATAATGCTTGTCGCATTGTTTTCTCTCCGCAAAACACATCCCTTCCGAGAGGATTGACTCCAAATTGCCAAACATGTCTTTCATCTCCATTGAGCGGCTCTGGCTCCAAACAATCGGATAACCACATACCTAAAAATCAACATTACTATCCACAGAACACTCCATTAAGATTCTCAGCTAATAATTCACCAAAAAAGTCCAAAAAATAAAACTTTTAGTAAGCAGGTGTCTAGTGTAATATAAATTAATCCTCTCACCTTCATGCTGGACCCAATTTCGTCCTTGTAATGGTCCGAACACATTACTCTGAGACGTTTGCAGAAGGTCTGCGTCGTTTTGTCAAAGGTCTCGCACAAAATGTTGTTCGGATTATAGGAGAACTTGGACTTGGTCCCAAAAGTTGTCTGCTTCTCCATTCGAACAAAACATTTCTGGATGTGCTTTGGCAACGAGCGCACTGACACATCCGAGCCGCAAATGAAACAACTGTGAGGCTGAAAGAGGAGGATTTGAAAAAAATCTGGGCAATTTTATATTCCACTACCTAGTGCAATATAAAAACAAGGAAATTACTTCTATGGGGTATGGAGTTACAGGTCGAGACATATATCAAAAAAATCGCAAAAGTTCTCTGATTCAGAAGATGTAAAAGTTAGCTGCCTAATTTGGTTTCGTAAGGGTGAAAAAACCCTCAGAACTTGTCTCGCAACACCACGCAAATGCCTTTTTGACCAAGTTTTTACAAGCTTTGTTTGGAGCTAAAGTAAACCCTGGTATCTTGAAAAACCTTAAAATATCAAATTTGATTAATACTACACCTTAATTAGTAGTTCCAATATAAAAAAGAGGCATTTGTGTGTTGATGTAGTATGAATCAAATTTGATATTTTAAGGCTTGTCAAGACGCCAGGGTTTACCTTAGCCCCAAAAAAAGCTTTTGAACAGGTAAAAACTTGATCAAACAGGCATTTGCGTGGTGTTGCGAGACAAGTTCTGAGGATTTTTCACTCTTACAAAGCAAAATTAGGCAGCTAATTTTTACATATTCTGAATTAGAAAAATTTTGCGATTTTTTTGATATATTTCTCGACCAGTAACTCCATACTCCATAGAACTATTTTCCTTGTTTTTATATTGCACTAGGTAGTGGAATATAAAATTGCCCAGAATTTTTTCAAATCGCAAAAACATACAAAAGAAACTTCATCATCCTCTCTTTCTTGGTTGCTGGATGATGGGACAACTACAGTTGAGCCCTGCGAGAGCACCGACAAGTATAAATCGAGATTTTTTGTGTATGAGTCGGCCAACGAAAGGCCGTTCTCAATTTCAGCCTTTTTCTTGGTCAACTGCTGAATTTTTATGTCAGCTTCGAGTTCGGAGAGTGGCTTTTCGCCATAGAAGTCGGCCACACGCTGAGGCAAGATTCGACATAGACGTATCTTGGCCAGCGCCATCCCACACTCTTCGGAGCAATATTTGGAGCTGGGAACGGCGAATTTCACGCAGCCCGGCCCCAGACATTGACGCATTTCGAGTTCTTCTTGCTTCTCCTAAAATTTGAAATAGTATAAGATAAAAAATCTCACTTTGAGCAACTTCAACGCCAATCTTTGCTCCTTCGTCTTCCATACATGAGGTTTGTGGGGTTTGTGAGGTTTTCGCTGCTTTACTTGGCCGGTTTGACTTGAAGTATCACTCTGACTCAACGTTCTTTCTTCTTGTTTGATCTCTTGGTTGATGTCAATGTTTTCGTTCTCCTTCGGTTCCTGCTTTACCTCAATTTTCACTGCATGCTCGGTAAATTTGACTGGGGAACTGTTGCACGAAGAGATTGGTTCTTCCTTTGGCTCCAGAAATTCATCGCGGGGCTCCATTTCGAAGAGCTGAGAGATGGACTGCTTCTTTTCGCGTCTACTCAGCTTCTTAACTGGGCTTTTCATAGGAGATTTTTTGACCTTTAGCACCTATAAAAAATATTTTAGCATATGAGAAAAAGACCGATAGAGATCACCGGAGGTAGATGAAATCAAAAATTTATATTAACCGTCAAGTGTAATATAAATTTTGTGCAGAAGTCAAAGATTAAGCTCCACTCACCTTGTTCTTCTTCAGAGGCACCTTCTTCGCCTTGCCCTTCTTCTCCTTTTTGACTGGCGTCTTGTCTAAACCAAAAAAATCAACAAAAACCAACACAACTTACGATTTCCACGAGATTGGATTGGACTTTCATCCGATTGCACGCATATCCGCCGCAGGCACGGCGAAATCTTCTTGTCGCAGTTCGCGCACTTCTCACAGTTGGTGGTTCGAAAACAACCGATGCAGTTCCCACAACGGTTCTTCTCGATGTCCGGTTCGACTTCCACGCCGTTCATCGCTAAAACAAGGTGCACGAATAAAAAGTGACCACAAAATGAGAAACGAAAGTTGAATGTAGGGCCGTCAAGCAAAAGGATTCAGTGTTGTTCGACCAAAGCCGAAAATTTTAGCATTTATTTTTCCGAAAAAATTTGGTCCCGCCGCGAAATTCAGGCAAATTTTTGAAGTGCGGCGGAAATTTGAAGAGGAATATGGATTTTGGCCATTTCTAGCAGCGCAACCTTAGATTAAGGAAGGTTTCTGGCATGATAATAACTAACGAACAACTAATATTGTTATCTTACACTAATCAAGGATGAACATACCATTTTTTATAAACTTCGTATAAAAATTCGGATCAAGTCGCAGACACCCGGGCGCAACTCGCCCTGGACCCGCTTTTTTTATTTTTCTCTGGAAAAAAATCTCCAAGGATAACTGTTTACTGTAATTTACTCTTGGTTTGTCTCGTTTTATGCGTTAATTTCAACGAATTCTCAGCCTACAACTTGTAATTTATCACTATGGCTTCCAAAGTAAGGATAATATAAAATTTCCGGATAATTTCGAAATTTAGGACGACCAGCAGCGCAAGAAGAAGGAGTCGATTGTGGAATTGGGCAGATTTGTTGACAAGCGAGTTCGAGTCAAGTTTCAAGGAGGTAGAGAAGGTATGATATTATTTTATGTTGTTCTTGGTGTTTAGATCAAAGTCTATGGAATTCGGTAAAAATTTGAAGCATTTTGTGGTGGATAAGCTGTGCCGAGGCTTTTTGATGCCGCTGCCGAAATTTTGGTTAATGTTTAGCTTTTTTCTATTCACTAACAGGCACATTTTAATTCAGAAACTTATTAGTATCTAAGACAATATCCACTTTCAGCAACGGGTATTCTCAAAGGCTACGATGCTCTTCTGAATCTGGTGTTGGACGATACCGTCGAATTCCTGCGTGATCCCGAGGATATGCTCCGAATTACCGACGAAACTCGCCATCTTGGACTTGTGGTTGCTCGTGGAACGGCCATCACAGTTGTGGCGCCGAATGAGGGTGTCGAGAACATTGAAAACCCCTTCGTTCAGGAGTAAATACCTCTCTCTTGGTCTCACAGAACTTTTGCTACATAACAAAGCGATTCTAATTAGTAAAATTGATCAATTTATTTTTATGTCATGTGTAATATAAAACAAGATGATTAGTATGGAAAAATTCAATAATATTGAAAAGTGAGCATTTTCTTGAGTGAGATATTTACTTTTTACACGTATAGCACTTGGAAGTTAACTCGGTAGCGGCGTGGAGACACTTGAATTCGTAGACTTTGCTGAGGGCGAGCAAAGTGCGGATATGTGAAAAATAATCGTCGGATGCGATCGTTGGTTTGTATTGGAATTTGCATTTTGGGCAGACGATATCCGCACTGTTGGTGGCTTCTCTTTTGCACTTTACGCATTCGAAATCTTGCGCATCGAAGACTCTGTTGATCTTGTTTAATCGGGTGATCAGCAGGCCTTCTACCATATTTCTAGCGATTGTTGATGAACATTCCGGGCAATTGAATTGGACTAAAAGCAAAAATAGATCATTTCATCACTAAAACTTCATTTTCCGGGAATAAAATCAAAAAATTTCCACAAAAATTATATTATCTTACCTTTGCGGGCCTCCAAAACCTCTTCATCCTCATTTACAATCGAAACTGAGGTCACGTCGAGGTCGACATTCAGGCAGCAGGTGGGGCAGACAATCTGCTCGAGGATGACTCGATGATGGATTGGTTTGTAATCCGCTTCGAAGGCGCTTTCATTAATTCCCATGAAATTGAGGGCTCTCGTTCGGATGTCCTCGATCACCTCGAAGAGATCGGGATCTTGGGCGAATATCTAAAACACAATATGATACAAGGTTTTTCTACTTTTCGAAGCCTTTTATACTCACTTAGATGTAAAGATCAGATTTCTGGGAAGGTATATTGCGGTGGGTGTTAATAATAATTTATAGTATATGGAGTATAAAAAATACAACAGAGAGCCGCGGAATTTGACTCTATGACAGGATACAATCAATTTTATATTACTTTAGTCACTAAAATGCAGTGGGGGACCTGATTCAGTGGCAAAAAACGTGCCATTTTGCATCCGGGAAGTATCAAAAATGTGGCAAAATGCTTCCCTCTCCATGTGAAAAAACTTCGTTTTGAAATCAGAGTTTTTTTTCACTTCAAGAGGGAGGTATTTTGCCACATTTTTTGATACTTCCTGGATTCAAAAATGGTACGTTTTTTGCCACTGGATCAGGTCCCCCCACTGCATTTTAGTGACTAAAGTAATATAAAATTGACTGTAACCTGTCATAGAGCCAAACTCCGCGGCTCTGTTCGGTATTTTTTATACTCCATAGACTCTGAATTATTATGAACACACACTTTCAAGAAAACATCAATAAAAATCTTGACTGTTTTCAACTTTTTATTACTTTAGTGTCTAAAATAAGATAAAATTGATCGCAAACCGTCAAAAAAAAAACAAAAATCCAAGATAATTTTTGTTCTAGATTGTGTCTAGAAGTCTTCAGTAACTTTTCAAATAAACATTTGGAAACAAATATCCACAGTGGCGGGCCTGATCCAGTGGCAAAAACGTATCATTTTGCGTCTGGGAAGTATCAAAAATGTGGCAAAATGCATCCCTCTCCAAGTGAAAAAACTCCGATTTCAAAATCGCGCCCGCTCTTTTTGTGAGGGAAATTTTAAAAAGTTTTTTTCACTTGGAGAGGGAGGTATTTTGCCACATTTTTGATACTTCCTGGATGCAAAATGGTACGTTTTTTGCCACTGGATCAAGTCCGCCACTGCAATATACCTTCCCAGAAATGTTACATGGCATACATGACGGACCTGATCCATTGACCAAAAACGTACCATTTTGCATCCGGGAAGTATCAAAAATGTGGCAAAATGCATCCCTCTCCAAGTGAAAAACTCCGATTTCAAAATCGCGCCCGCTCTTTTTGTGAGGGAGCCCTTCAAAACCAAGTTTTTTTCACTTGGAGAGGGAGGTATTTTGCCACATTTTTGATACTTCTCGGATACAAAATGGTACGTTTTTTGCCACTGGATCAGGTCCGCAACTGTAGATTATTATTTCTTTACAACGCATACAGCATTTCTAGTCCGCGCAATGCGGAATAGCCCCAATTTTCGGACGAAATAAACTCACTTCCGCCATGGCTTTCACAAACTCCAGTGCAACATTGAACCGAATATCCATGAATTTCAGCATTTTCCCGACCGCCGAGCTTTCCACCGCTTCATCGTAGAGGTTGAATCGTTCCTTGTGCAGGATTTCCACGGCGCCCATGATCGAGTTTCCAATGATTTTGCCTTCCTCGTCCTTTCGCGGGTTGTCGCTGAGATGTTGAAGGTAATCGCCGCAAAAAGTGATGAATTCCTGGCGGTCAAACTTCTGGAAAATACATTTAGACATCATGATACGATACTATTGACATTCTAAAGTCAAAAAGACAAAAAATAATCGTCATGTTCAAGCCAAAAGTATCAAAAATTAAATTTTTACCTTCTCCTTCAATCTTTTCTCTTTAAAAGTCGTTATTTCCACCATATACGACGCCAGCATTCCCTTGAACATGTTCTGAACTTGAGTTGGGAAGGCGTCGACCATTCGGAATTCACATCTCAGCTTTCGATCCTAAAATTTCAAAATTTCAAAAAAAAAAAAATTAATTTTTGAAAAAAAAAATTTTTGACGAGCAAGTTCTGACATCTCCCAAACAACTTAAAATTACATTATTGAGACTCCATATCAAGTCAAAAAACAGCTCTTACTTCCAGGAAATCCCAAGATTTTTCCTCCATCTTCCACTTGGCGCAGTCGACGCGGGCAAAGTTGAAAGGGTCCATCCAAACGGTGCTCTGACTCAGCCGATACGGGATCAAGTTGACTGCGTGGAAGAGGAGCTTCCTGTCCATGGATTTGCGCAACGACTCGACGAATCCCAGCGCCTCTTCGACGGTTTTGTGCTGGGTTGAAAAGACCAGCCGGTTGAAGGAGCAGTGCAGAACGCGGCCGCCGTTCTGGTTGATTTCGCAGACCAACAGCAGGCAGAGCTTTTTCATCAGCGTGTAGACCATCTGAGTTAGGGCTGGGTCGTACATCAGGGACTGGGAGTCGAAAAGCCATCTGAAATTTGGGGGGATATTGTAGTAGGTCATCGAGTGATGTCGAAAAGCAAATTTCTCAAAATTCACTGGTTCAATTTTGATGAAACTTGGCACCAATTTAAAACTGAGTTTTCTAAGGCAATTGCAAGGTTCTCAGCTTGCAATTTACAAAAATTATCAAAATTTTTCGGACCAAAACTAAAATTTTTTTGAAGAAAAAATTAAGAAAAAAGTAAAAAAAATAATTTTCGGCCATACCTCTGCAATTTATTCGTTGAAAAAATCCACTTTTAGCTAAAAAATTTTACGATCCAATTCAAAAAAATAAAAAATTTTTCGTTACAAAAATTGCACAAAAATCAAAATTTTTCAATTTTTTTCGACCAAAAAATCGACCAAATTCTTCCTAAAAATCTCGCATATTTCTTCAAAAATTTCACTCTGTCTACAATTTATGGCAAGTTTCATCAAAATCTGTGAAAACTACGAAAAAAAATTTGCACTGTGCAAAAAAAATTTTCTGCACAGTGGAAAAAAAGTCTGCACAGTGCAAAAAAAAGTTTGCACAGTGCAAAAAAAAGTTTGCACAGTGCAAAAAAAATTCTGCACAGTGCAAAAAAAAATTCTGCACAGTGCAAAAAAAAAATTCTGCACAGTGCAAAAAAAAAAATCTGCACAGTGCAAAAAAAAGTCTGCACAGTGCAAAAAAAATTCTGCACAGTGCAAAAAAAAGTCTGCACAATGCAAAAAAAAACTCAAATCAAAAAAAATCAAACCTCTGAAAATTCATGAACAGCTGATCCGCATATTCGTCTCCCTTTTTCATGGCTTCCAACAGCTTTATACAGAGTGATTTCAGAACGGTTAGTGCTTTTCCGACCGCCGCCGCTTCATTCACCTGGCTTTCGCTGGGGACGAATTTGTTCTGCACGGACATGCTGATCGAGTCCGTTCCATAATTAATGGCTTCGCTCGAGCCTTCGGCTTCGATGATGGCATTGATTTGGCAAATCGAGGCCGCCGCGATGTTGCCCAGCTCCATTTCGACAACGACGAATTCGTTCTGAAATTTTTTTTGGGATTTTTTTGAAGGCTATTACTGATGGTGGGAATAATTCAGAATAAAAATCGAAAAAAAAAACTCAAAATAAAAAAAAATTTTTTTTCAAAAAAAAATAAAAATCAAAAAATTTTTTTTCCAAAAATAATCCAAAAAAAATTCAAAATCAAAAAAAAAATTTAAGAGCGAAGGAATAAGAGCGAAAAAAATCTTCTGAAAAAAATGCTTCAGCCTCTTTCTTTTTTTGTCGGAAGAGTCTCGAGCAGATTCTCACCACTTGGGAAAGCGTCTGCCATCACACTCTTTCTTCTCTTCTGGAGGAAGCGTCTGCGGGCAGGCTCTTCCGACGTTTATAGGCCCCGCCCCCTCGATTTTGAGCTGGCGGTTTTCTTGCGGAAAACGGTTGTTTTGGGTGAAAATTTTTGCCTTTTCATTATTCCGGTGATTTGGGTGTGTTTTTATTTGTTTTATAATTGTGATACGCTTAGCCTTAACATGGCTGTCATTTCAAGATTCAATTGAAAATCAAATACATTCCTGGTTAACACAATGGTTAAGAAAATCAAGAAAAAACAAGTTTCACAGATATATTTATGTGCACCACAAGAAACATCGAGTTACATTTAGATGTAGAGGGCCGTGGCGGATTCTGCCCATGGGCGTTCGTGTCCATGTTCACAGTCTCCCTTTCTTCCTCATTGTTACTGAGGTTGGCAGTTGCAATTTTAAGATACTGAGGCTGAATTTGGAAAAATTAGCAGCTTTTTAACAATTTTATACCTAAAATAATATCAAAACTAATCAAAACAACTCTATCGGTCCTACTTATTATTGGCGCACCTGCAAACCACGTGCCACTCACTAAACTGCACATTTCGCAACAAATTCACCTTATTTTAGACAAAGATACCTAAAAATTTCAAGAAATCTCGGTTTTGACGTAGGCCTGCTAAAAATTTCAATAATATCAACTAAATTACTATTTATACTTTCTTTCTCCGCCTCCTAAGCACTTCATCACTCACGAAAACAGCGCAAACTCAAAAAATAATATTACTTTAGCCCAATCCGTTGAAAACTAAAAAAACTTCAAAAATCCCAATCTTCTCCCTCAAAACTCTCTAAAACTGTTACTTACTTCCCATTCAACAAGTCGTGGATATCCCTGTCCTTGCTGGATTCAGCTTCATCAACTGCCACGGGGATCTTATCCGTGGAGACCAAATTCTATATTGTTTTATACCTAAAATGTTTAAAAAAAAAGTTCTAACTTACAAAGTCGTCCGAATTTATCGCTGTAGCGATCACATACTGTTGATGTCGAACATCAATTGGGCCTGAAAAGTTAAAACAAGTTCAGATATGGTGTCCGCAGTTGGCCGGGTAGGAAAAATTAGACCTGAAATTACTCAAATATGCTAACAAAATGAGGCAACTTACATTTCGCCGCGTCGGTCCGCCCTTCCTCGTCGAAATTCCCTATCATTCATCGATGGGCTAAGGTTCACCTCCATCTATTGTTGTCGGCCACTTTTGTTCGGTCAAAACGACTGAAAATTGTTCGGGCGCAAGCTGCGGAACCTTTTTCGCTTTTGCCAGAGAAATGAAGTTTTACCAACAACTTTGATGCCAAAAAAGGACGACCAAGATTGATATGCGATTGATGAAGGCCTCCAAACACCGCCCATAAGATGTTGAACTGGATCTACTGCAAATCATGGACTTATATTCGGCCTCCTATGGTGGACTCGGAAAGGTACGTAGATGTTAAATTGTTGATAGTGTGGGTAAATTTTAGCCGAAATATCTCCGCGTCATGTGCAGCGAGATGTTTCAATAGTTCTGGACGACAAGCATAATACTGATGCGACTTATGAAGTAAATGAAGACCTCTTCATTGGCTTGCAAGATGGTAAGTTCTTTTCTTCTGTTTTGCGTTCTTGATTTAGGATTCAACCACCACACCGTCTTCATCAATCCGATTTCAGATATGGTCTACTAATGAGAAACACGTGATCTTCTGGACCTATGCGCAAGACTGTTTGCTCCCGGCGACTAAACCCAAATGTAAGGAGTACACCAAATTCTGGATAATTTGGTGTACTCCTAGCTCCACCGAATGCATTCGCAGCCAGCCGTTCAACAACCCTATAGGTACGCGAAAAAGTGCACAATTTTCCGGCTATTATTGCTATTACAATTCAGCCACCATGGTTTATTATCTCTGTTACCTGAATTACATTTTTGTGGCCTTCTTTATATCAGATTTATATAGTGTATCTGATTTCTCCGATATCTGTTTCTTAGACACCTTTATTTATTGTTATTAAAGATTAGTTATTCATTTATTTTATAGAAAATGAACGAAAAGTGTTAGATTATACTGTCCAAACTTTGTTGTCAAAGAAAAAATGTATAAAACATCGTATAATTGAAAAGAACAGTGCTTTATTTACTAAATGGAAACATTTCAATTCGCCATTTTTCCCCAAAATCCTGCAGAAGTGGGCGGAGCCAATAGGCGGAAAGAGTCTCGTCCCACACTCTTCCCCCACCTTGATGGCGGGAGCGTCTGCTCGAGACTCTTTCCGCCTCTCAGATTCTTTCCCAAGTGGGAAGAGTTCGTAAACACACTCTTCCGAACGAAAAAGAAAGAGGCTGAAGCATTTTTTTCAGAAGATTTTTTTCGCTCTTATTCCTTCGCTCTTATTTCCAAAAAAAAACCCCCAAAAAATTCAAAATCAAAAAAAAAATTTTTTTTTTCCAAAATTTCCAGCCCCCCAAATACCCTTCAAATCCACTCACCACAAAGGCCCGTTCATTAAACACATTGCTTTGGACGTTCTTGAAGTTGACATTGTCCCAAATTTCCAAATTTTCGGTTTCGTCTTTGGCCTTTCCTCCAAGATCGGGCTCGGCTTCTTCGGAGGCCCATAACAACATATTCTCTTGTCTAAAATGCGATTTAGTCAATATTAGAGGAGAATTTTAAAAAATTTCATAATTTTCGGATTTTTGGAGAAATTTTTGGGGATAAAAAATACGAAAATAACATAAAAAATAATAAAAAATATCTTTCTAGCTAATATTCAACTCAAAAAAATCCAAAAATTACAAAAAAAAATCAAAAAAAAAATTTTCCAAACAACATTTTTTGGAAAAAAAAAAATCATTTTTGATCACTCAATGTGTTCCCATTGCAAACTATACCACATATCAAGCCTTAAAAATACTTCTTTTCTCTATTCACTATGATTTTTTCCCAAAAAAATCAATTTTTTCAAAAAATTTTGGTCCCACCACGACTTTTTTCAAATAAAAAAAATCTCAAAAAACCCCTCTATCCTTCACTACTCACCTCAACAGTAGCGAGAACTGCAAATCGAGGGCTTTTCCGCACCAATCCGCCGGGATATTGCACATGGGGATGCCGGAGATGCGGCTGATTTCCAGGCGGTCCAGCAGGTTCAGATACGAATTTAGGTAATGTCGGATGGCGTGTCGAGTGATGCGCTGGGCCCAGTCCATGTGCTGGAAGAGTGCGGCGGGCGAATCTTGCTTTAGGCGCAAGATCGGGGCGAATTTCGCGATCTGCGCGTATTCCTGGTCGAAATTCGGGGGATCGCGCGAACTCTGGACAATAAAGAGGGCCGGATCGTAGGACTGGAGGTTCAAGGACTTGGTGAACTTCAGGATCTCGGCTTTGATCGAGTCCTTCGTGGTGCAAGTGATCTCCATTTCCTCGGTGCCTTCGAAAATTCGATGGTTTTCATCGCTGAAATGGGGCAAAAATTAGTGCAAAAATGAGGTAAATTAATATCTGTAATGCACTAAAAATTACTTCAAAGTACTTTTTAAGACTTTTAAGACATTATTAACCGAAGGACAATCAAATTTATCAAAAATCCCTCAAAAAAGCTCAAAATTTTTGCAAATTTTATATTACACTAGGCAAAAATAGATCCAAAAATTAATTTCAAACCGTTTTAAAAAGCTTAATTATCCATGTTAAACACTAATTCACCTAAATCCGTTGACAAATTGCAAAATTTTAATAAAAATTATATTACACTAGGCAAAAATAGATCAAAAAATTAATTTCAAACCGTTTTAAAAAGCTTAATTATCCATGTTAAACACTAATTCACCTAAATCCGTCAATAAATTGCAAAATTTTAATAAAAATTATATTACACTAGGCAAAAAAATTCACTTTTCTCTCAAAAAACTTCGTTTTTCTGGCAAAAATTTCCGCAAAATCATGTTATCTCAACATTATCCATCTTAACATACCGTTTTTAATTAAAAAATCACAAAAAATTTAAAAATTTTCAAAAAAAAATTTTTTTTAAAACCTCTAAAAACCATCGAAAAAAGTCGCTTACGTTCCTTCCAGTTCTTCGATAAAGACTTTTTTCACATTTCCCAGCTGCTGATTTCTGTTTGTCATGAACAAATGGGCTTGTTTTGCGAATGGCGCAAAAAGGAAGGCGAAATTTTCTTTTTTGTAGCACACTTCATAAAAATAGACCACTTTCAGCTCATCCACATCGATATGTGCGTCTTCTTCGTCAATCTAAACAGCAATGCAACCAAAAATCTCTTCTCACCCTTCGAATCTGGTCCAACGAAATTTTCGTGGCATTCGTGAGACTCTTGATTTTCGCGGTGTGTCCCATGTCCATGAGGGCCTTGAAAAGCGGGGGTAATTTGGTTTCGTACACTCCGTTGATCCGCTGCATGCACATGCTCGCATTCACTTCGCTGAAAATTGAAAAAAATTTGCAAAAAAATCGTTTTTGAGCTTCAACTTGTGATTAAAGTCATATCGCTTCAGATGGAGATCATTTTGAATGGAAAAATGTGGATTTGGAAGGGTTTTTTGAAGATTTGTTGGATTTTTTGGCCCATTTGTGATAAATGTTGGGTCAAAAATGAGAAAAGAATTGTTGTTGATAAAGTCGGCCTCAAGTTTATTTACTTTTGAGCTTCAAACCTTGTGAAAGTAATATCGCTTTACCTGATCCAGTGGCAAAAAACGTGCCATTTTGCATCCGGGAAGTATCAAAAAAATGTAGCAAAATGCCTCCCTTTCCAACTAAAAAACTCCGTTTTGAATGGCTCCCTCACAAAAAGACAAATCGGAGTTTTTTGTAGTTGGAGAAGGAGGCATCTTGCTACATTTTTTAGTACTTCCCGGATGCAAAACGGTACGTTTTTTGCCAGTGGATCAGGTAAAGCGATATTACTTTGGTCACAAGGTGCTCAAAAATAAATAAACTTGGGGCCGACTTCATCAACAACAATTCATTTCTCATTTTTGACCCAACATTTATCACAAATGGGCCAAAAAATCCAACAAATCTTCAAAAAAGCCCTTCCAAATCTACAATTTCATATTCAAACTCATCTCCACTCCAATTTCTTACTTGATTCTCTCGAGGAAATCCGTTTCATCGATCGTAAACTCGTACAAAAACTTGTACGGCCTCATTCTTGGCAACGTTTTCGCGACTCCCTTTCCATTCGGCCGTTCAATCGAATCGTCCACATAAAAAGTTCGCGGGACTTTGAGTTCGAACTTCTGCTTGCTTCCATTCACAATCGCGTAGACGTCAAACAGGCCGGGGGTTTGCTTCGGCTGTACCTGGAGGACGTGCCAGACATGCACGCGGAGCCGCTCATTCCCGTCCATGACCATTTGCTGGAGGCGGGAGAGGCCGCGTTTCTTCGTTTCTTGGGTTTGACTCTTCCAGGAGCGTTTTTCTTTCATTTGGCGTTGCCATTTTTTGATGTGATGGGAAATCTGGACAAAAAAATTATAAAAAATTTTTTTCCAAAATACAAACCAGTGGCAATACTGCAACCTAAAGCTTGTAAAATCTTCTAAAATCATCAAGAATATCCAAGAAAACCCAAAAAATAACCAAAAAATGACCAAAAATTGTCCAAAATCCATCAAGTACAATATAATTTTTTCTCCCAAAATCTCAAAAAATCTCTTCTGTCTTCCTCAAATTTCCCATTACATCCCTAAACAGCCATTAATCTCCCCCAAAATGCCTCAAAAATCGATCAATTCAAAATTTTTACCTACTACAATATCACCCAATCAAATCTAATTCTTACCCATTTCGTAAAGCCATCCTTTCTGAAAGACACCTTCCTTGGGGTCTGAGAAGTCGTGGAGAGTCTGCTCAGCGATCTTGGGGGTTCAGTTTCATCCACAATTTCTTCAATTTCTCCTTGAGTTGAGATGGCTCGGATTCTCTGGCGTTTGGGTGTGGTTGGTTCTGAATCGACCGGGCGTACCTGTGACGCAATCATTGGTCGTTTTCGGCTTGACGGAGTTCTTTGTGGGGTCTTTGGAGGGGCTTTTTCCACTTTCTGAACAAAAATTATATTACTTTAGACATCAAGCTCAAAAAATTCTATGTTTTCGGCAAAAAATCAATTTCTCACTTTGAAAAAGGCGTTGATTTTGGGCTGTAAGACGCTCTCAGTCTTCTCCTTTCGTACGCGCTCCAACCAAGAAGGATGTGGGACTCTTGGGACCGGATTTGGGATGTTTTGAAGAGCCGCCGGGATGGTGATAATCTTCCGAATGCAAGCGAAAAACCGCTCTTTATAGTACTCCCAGTCAACTAGCTGCAAGACAAAAATAAATACTGCCTTATAAGGCCTTAGTAAAACAAACATTTTTTAAAAAAATCCTTCAAAATCTCCTCTTACATCTCGAACATTAACATCAGCAGCGATTTCCCTGTTTTTGCACCATTTCCGCAGGAAATGGATCTTGATCTTCGTTTCGGCTTGGAAAATTCGAAGTGGGATGGTCCTCTCGGTGACTGGAGCGTCTAGTGGGAACTTCGAGACGACAAAACAGCAAGCAAGACCAGCATTTTTGACCATGTCATCACCCAGAAACTGAAATTGAAAAAAATGAGAAATTGATGTTGAAACTTCGTTATTTAAAAAGTTATTGAGCTAAAACAAGCAATAAGAAGGCTAATGCAACATTTTTATTAACTTTCGGCTTTTAAAACGCCGAAGAACCGTCGCGTTTTTTACCTCGAACTGACCAAGTATAATATCCTCTAATGAGATATCACCGATAGAAGAAATGCTGTAGAAATTGTCTTGGAAATTTGGAAAAAATAAAATGCTTGGGAGTTGAGATATCAGCGATATTGTACTTGGTCATTGGGTTGTCGGTGGTGCAGAAAAAAAGATGTCTTAACGGATGTTTATGATCGTGAAGTACGGAAGTTTGAACGCGATTATATTAGAAAAGGACCAGAGAGATTATATTGAAAATTGGAGAGTAATTTATTAATTACAGTGGGCAACCTGATCCAGTGGCAAAAAAGTACCATTTTGCATCCGGGAAGTATCAAAAATGTGGCAAAATGCCTCCCTCTCCAAGTGAAAAAAACTCCGATTTTAAAAGCGCGCCCGCTCTTTTTGTGAGGAAGTCCTTCAAAACGAAGTTTTTTCACTTGGAGAGGGAAGCATTTTGCCACATTCTGATGCTTACCGGATGCAAAATAGTACGTTTTTTGCGACTGGATGTGGTCCGTCAGTGTAATTAATAAATTGCGCTTCAATTTTCAATATAATCTCTCTGGTCCTTTTCTAATATAATCGCGTTCAAACTTCCGTACCTCACGATCCCAAACATCCGTTAAGACATCCTTTTTTCTGCACCACCGACAACCCGATGACCAAGTACAATATTGCTGATATCTCAGCTCCCAAGCATTTAATTTTTTCCTAATTTTCAACACAATTTCTACAGCCCTCCCAGGCTATGGTAACTGTTACATAATCCTTTTTAAAAATCAGTAAAACACCATTTTATCTGAATTTCCAACATATAGGTGGTCAAGTATAATATCCCAAATATCTCAGCTCAACATAAACTTATTCTTCTCACATTTTTAGGGTCAAATCTTCGACCCTTTTGCGTAATAAAAGCAATCATTTTTCAATCCCCAGCCTTCTTAAAACATCAACAAAAAACTTGTGTTTCATCAGATAGTCATGTACAATATCCTCAATATCTGATATCTCAGCAACCCCACATTTATCAAACTTCCAGCACAGAAGCTTCAAGCCTCATCCTTTACAACAAAAATAAATTCTCACCTCCACCAATCTCTTGGCGGTTGTAATCGAGGTCGATTTTTGGGCTCCATAGTCCTCCAACTTTCTGCTCATGGACCGATTCTCGGCGATCAATTCGAACAACTGTCCATCCGTGAGAGCTTCACCTTTCGACTCGAGGATGTCGATCCAATAGTCGGCCTCTTGCGCTACATTTGCGTAGATTTCTTGGAGTGTGGTGCCTTTTAAAAAGGTTTTGAAAATGGTCGTCTGGAACTGCTTGATGATTCCCAATTCGCCGCGTCTTTTCACTTCGAATCCTTTCAGTTCGGCTAGGGACTCGTCGAAATTGAACACTGCGTATCTCTTCTTCAATTTCTTTCCCTCTTCCGTGGAGGCCGGCAGAATCATCGCCAAATATGGGCCGTCGACTTCGAAGAAGATCGAATTTTCACTTTTAATTTCGAAACTTCCGTCCGGCTGAAGGACATGGTACTGATCGTTGGTGAATTTTTGTTGGACCAGGGCGTTCAGCATGGCTCCGGGATATGAAACCGTCAACTGAAAAGTTTTAAATTAAAAAAAGATCCAAAATGTTCAAAAAATCTCGATTTTTAGCTAAATGCCCTAAGGGGATGTAGTCCAGAATCGCTCAAAAGACTTGTTCTGGCCTCTGGATGCTTCTTGTGATCAAAAATAGTCGTTTTCAAGTCGAAAAAAAAATTAATTTTAGTGAAATTTCAAGAAAAAAATCTCAATTTCAGCTAAATCCCCCCAGGCAATAAACTTCCAACTAATAAAAAATGGTTTTTACTGTCTCTGGATGACAAAATTATATCTTTTTATTTACCACTCAAAAAAAATTTTGACTTCAGCCAATGTCAAAAAAACCTCCATCTTAAGCTAAATGCCCTTAGGCGTTAAATCTCAAAACTCGCCCAAAAATTTCACAAGGTCTCTAGATGCTACTAATTATCAAATCTTTTCATTTTAACGCTTTTCCAAGACTTTATTATATTATCCATGGCATTTCCTACCTTCTTCCCCGACTTCGTTTTGAACGAAAAATTTTCCGGGAAACTCGACGGGATAAGGCACCAAATTCCGTCTGTGTCCAATTCCAACGGTCGGCCGATGCGTTCGATCAATTTGCGAGCTTCGGTGATGATCTGAACTCCGGTGTAGCAGACGATGCCGGCCATCTCCATGGAAAACCAGCGTGAGCCCTTGCGCATCACGTACCCGTAGAACGAGTTCAAAATACATTTGTGGGCCAGTTGGAGGGATTCGAAGAGGACGACACGGGCTTGCGCCGCCTTCTGGCCGGCCACATCTTTTTCGTCGAGGGCGGAGAGCTGGTTTTTCGCTTTCTGCAGGAAAATCACGATTTTTAGGATGAAAACACTCAAAACTCGTGGTTAAAATCAACTTCAATTCACGAATTCTTCTATTCCAAGTCTTTATAAACCCCAATCTCCCACTATGTCCGACTTTTTCAACCTAAAATCCACAAAAATTTTCTTTACCCACCTTTTTCGCCTAAAACAATATAAATTTTGTCAAAAATAGATCCCAACCAACCTAAAATCCATAAAATCTCCCCTCAAACAACTCAAAAATAACTCTCCACTCCTCAATTCACAATATTCTCACCTTCAACATGGCTTTGTAATCGTATCTTCGATCGCGGAACGCCCTTACAGTATCCACGTAGAACGAATTCTCTCTTTGGCAAATTCGAGTGGTCCGTTTCTCCTCTCTGGCCGTGTGAATTTTGCCATGCGCTCGTCGACAGTATTCTAAACAATGGCAGTGAAAATTACAATCAAAATTTGCTACCTTCAATCCTCTTCTTTTCGATGGCTTGTCGTTGATCTTTTGGCAAACTGTAGAAGGGAACTTGGGTTTTGCCGAACCTCTCCTGTTCCAGTTGCATGATAAGGCCTTCGTACTCGCCTTTGGTGGCGGTGACTCAAAACAAAGGCGATTAAAATGGAAAAAATCAAAAAAAAATCAAATTTTTGCGAAAAATGGCACAATTGAAAAAAAGTGTCAAAAAGTATCAAAAAAATCACTCAATTTTTTTCAAATTTCGCATACATTCTCTCGATTGCTCACTTATTAATCCCTAAAAATTTCAGTTCACGCTTCACAACAGCAGCCGAGATATTCATCAATCTTCGAGAGAGAGTGCGCAAAAAGAGGAGGTCGGTCAGAGAAAAAACGTTTTTCCGCTGTAACTGCGCGAATTTCGTTTGGAAAAAATTGATCTTTTGGATATATCATCCACTGCCCATCTATAATCAACTCTAAAATTTTCAGACCAAAAATCAAAAAAAAAATTTTTTTAATTTTGACCAAAAAATCTCGATGATTACTCAAAATCGTGGACTAAAATCCCCCAGAATGGCTCTAAATACCCTCTCCTACATATACAACAAGTTTTAAAAAAATTCAAAACTTTTGCGGTACCAAATTATACCAACTTACTCAGATCTCCCCTCCAAACCCATTCCATTTCCCGTTTACACTTGGCCTCAGGCGTGTTATAGATGCAAGACATGCATTCCGAGTCCGTTACCACGGCCGGGGGTTGAAGACGATTGGTCAAGATGATATTCGGATACATTGCGCCCACATCCAGATGATAAATTTTCGGGGGTTCGTATCGGTTGGGGTGTTGGATTAGGTGGTCGATCACGTCTTTCACACTGTCGCAGACCTCCTCAAAGTTTGTCACCTCTTCTAGGGGCACTCCCAGCTCTCCAACGACCGCGTGGCGCATTGTGGCCTCCACTTCGGACTAAAATATGGCCAAAATTAGGGAAATTGACTAAAATAAGGTCAATTTTTGGGAAATTGAACCAAAAAATATAATTTTTTTAAAAATCTTAATTATTAATTGGTTTAATTCTTCTTATAAAAGGGTCTCCCTGCTTTTTTTAACCAAAAATTTGCTTCAAAACGGCTTTTATACATCAAAAAAGCAGTAAAATATCAAGTGTAATATCGGACCAAAAAAGCCAAAATTTCAAATCTTTCCATCAAAAATCCGCATTCTTCTCAATTAAAAATAATCAATATAACATTTAAAATCCATATTTCCCATCTAAAATGCGTTTATCCATCAAAATACACAAAAATTTATCAAGTGTAATATTTTAACCCCAAAAAATTTAAAAATCCCAAATCTTTTAACCCAAATCCTCTCAAATCTCACCTTGAGCTGTTCTAGGACCTCTACATCAATCCTAAACTTGCAATCAATGTCAGCTTTGAACACGCCCGACTCCAGGGCTTCAACTTTGGCGCCCACATAGGTCTCTGAGTTCATTAAAAACCCGTCTGGGGTCATGGGATGGTCTTTGGCGACCTGCTTGTTGGGGAAAACAATGTTGTTGTGGAAGGCTTCGACCATCAACAGTGCTTCACACAGAGTGCCCGATCCTTTTCGGAGCACGTCGTCCGGCCCGAGGGGGATGATGGTGCACAAAGCGAACACAAAAGGATGCACATATTTCATGTACAAGTAGTAGGTGGCGACCGCGTCCGATACGGAGTAATTCGCCATCTTCTGCGGCTCATCCAACGCCATCTGGACCATCATTTCGGGGTCCACTTCGTCCGGGTCGTACCTCAATTTCGCGCGAGCCGCAGCCTTCAGATTTTGCGAGCCCATGGGTAGGTAGGAATCGCGTTTCACCCACCGAAACGCGTCCATGTGAACGACGGCGGCGTGCTTGTATTCGTCTTGGTCGTCTTTGTAGAACCCAAGGTCGGCCAAGTGCAGGCCGTGGAATTCGGCGCGCTTGTCCACAAACGGCCTAAATCAATGTAAAAAGATTTAGGCCCTCCGGATTTGGACGGTTGGGGAAACCGAAAAGTATTATTTTCCTTCGATGCAAATGTCGAAATTAGGATAATCGAGGGTGCCGATTTCGAAAATGACATTCATTTTTTTGATAGTTACTTTTTTCCGTAAGTAGTATTGTAAAACAGTAATTTTTTGAATTTTTTTCATAAATACTCGATTTAGGGGTTTTCGATGGTGCTGATGTCCAAAATCATGTTAACTTTTCCTCTAGTACTATATAGTACTATCTGATACTATGCAGTAAGAGGTGAAAATTTTTCTTTTGACGTTAGTGGTGTTGTTCTGATGCTTATTACTGCTATTTTCACCTCGTACTATATAAGTATGAGGTAGTATTCAATAGCACCAAGTCTTTAAAACGTTTTTTAAAGAGTACTAAGCATAAAAACAACACCATTAACGTCAAAAGCCATATTTTCACCTCGTACTGCATAGTATCAGATAGTACTATATAGTACTAGAGGAAAAGTTAACATTTTCAAAATCAGTACCTTCGAAAACCCCCAAATCGAGTATTTATAAAAAAAAATCAAAAAATTAGTACTTTACAGTACTACTTAAGGAAAAAAGTAACAATCAAAAAAATGAATGTCATTTTCGATATCACCACCCTCGATTATCCTAATTTCGGCAATTGCATCGAAGAAAAATAATACTTTTCGGTTTCCCCAATCGTCTTTTTCTCCAATCCCAGTTCCAAAGTTGCAAACTCAAGACTTTTTCCGCCTACCAATCAAAAAAATCGCCGTTATAGGTCACCATAACCGAGGGTTTGGCCTTCAAGAGATGATCAAAGAACTTTTGGATAGTCGCTTTCTCATTGGCCATGTTATAAACAGTAAATTCCCCTGGGAATTCGGGTTTCGGAGTGTATTCAAAGTTGTCAATATCGGCGGAAACGCATTCCCGATTAATGATTAGATAGCCAAGACCATTAATCATGTAGGAAATCATCATTATCTAAAAAAAAATGGGATCAAAAATTTTAAAAATATCAATTTTTGCAAATTTTTTGATATTCTTAAAATAAAATGTCATTCTTAGACTGTAAAAACAACTGAAATCGAATCTAGATGTCAGACGGAGGAATAAAACGTCAAAAGAATGACAAAAAACATCAAAAATTTTCGATTGTAAGCCAAAAATCATCGAAATAGACCTAAAATAATATAAAAATATCAAAAAATTTGGCTTGCCTGATCCACCTCAGCGTCTGGAAACTTCAACGGGGCTTTTGTGGTCTCAATATCATATGCGCAAACCACTGGCTCAATTGGTTCAACCCTGTCCGTGTTTCTGACAATCGACGGCTTCTGGGTCTCCGGATTCAAACATTGCACCGTATACCACAATCCAGCAAAGATTTTATTGTCCACACACACTCTCATATGATAAGGGAGATCATACTCTCGGATATCAATAATATAGTCGATGAGATCTCGATCTTCCCTGTTTGAAGTCCCAAAATGTCTGAAAAAGTGATGGATAACATCGAAAATGTCGAAAATAATAGATCAGCAGTAAAAATAAAAGTCCACTTACTTTTGAAGAAGTGTCGTATACTCAGTCGTGCTTTTCAACTTCTCCTTGTTCTTCAATATCGTCCGCAACAAGGCCTGTTTGAACTTTTGGTGCTCCACCTCACTGGGGAAACTAACTTTCAAATATTTGGTCTTCAGACCGGCCAGATGATTGTTCTAAAAGTTGAAAAAAATCAAATAAGACAGAAAGCAACTTACCAGATCCAAATTCACCTTCTCTATATGCTCCACCCAACAAAAATCGTAAACTTTAGTCAAATGAGAGGCTAAAATAATGTCAAAGCCCTCAACAGTTTCCAAGAGAAGATACGGAAAGTATGGATATGCGACTTTGAACCGACTGCCATCTTCTCGAAGGAAATAAAAGTCGACCGCGGCGACCAGACGATTGTGCTGATCATCCAACACCTCGGACTAAAAACAAAAATAAAATAAGGGGAAGGACTTACAGGCTGGAAATTAACCAACCAGGCATCTCGTAATTCCGAATCGTTGATCTTCACATACCCAAATTTGGAGTCAATCGCATCCCGACGTCGAATCTTCTCGAGCCTTTCTTTGTAATTCAACGAGCTAAAATAAGGTCGGAAATGATGGTAACGCAACAAGAACGATGTAAAATTTATTGTAAAAGATATGAACATACGTCGAGACAGATTTTGCGACCAGATCGTCCTTTTCCGGGCCGTCCTCCATGTTCGAATATCTAAAGTAATATAACCTGATATAAAAAAATTTCTAAAAGCCGGAAAGGACGGGAAAATGACAAATGTAACTCTCATCATGCCTAGATGTTACATTTACATCAACTTTCTTCTCGCGAAATTAAAAAAAATTTTTTTTTATTTTTTTTTCGAAGAAATAATTTCCCGCGCTTGGGGCGCAGCTCGCAAATTGAAAAACTGCAGAGTGCGAACTGCGCAGATGACTACTTTCGCCATTTTCATGGATTTGATTGTGGATTCTGTACTGTTATGTATTCAAAAGATCAATTTGCAATTCAATGAGTTCAAATTTTATTATACTGTACATCACTGGTGTAATATAACGAAAGTCCTAAGCTGGTCGCGAAACCATGTGTCCGAAGAAGATGATTATCAACCCCATAACAATCATTTTCCAAGTGTCTTTCCCATCCAGCCGTTTGCGCGCCAACTCATCTCTGGCCATTTGTTCAAAGGTCGGAATTGGAAACGGCCTCTTCAACTTATCCATCTCGATTTCTCTACGAATCCGAAGCTCTTCGGCATCCCGGGCCTTTGCCTGAGCATCGTTATAGGTCTGGAAGAAAGAGTGTTAGCCTCCCTAAATCTCAAGAAACAAAAAATATATTGACTTACCTTATAATCAGGTGGGATATCGTCGAAATCGAGCCGGGATTTAAACTTCCTATTCCCAAACTTCTTGAAAAACTCATCCGGATCATTAAACTCCTCTCTGTTCTGTCTAAAAACAAAAAAACACCATCAAAAGTTTCACTTTCACTTACCTCGAAGCAAATTCCCGAAATTGCCTATCAAAATCTCGAAATTCCGCCGATGATTGATGGAAATTACCCCGCCTTCGGCGCGCTTCTGAATGATCATAAGGATTGGCTCGTGTTCTACGTGGTTGACCAAAATTTCGGTCGTATTCCTTCCGTTTCGTCTCGTTCCCAAGGATTTCATACGCAGCTGCTACCTAAAATAAGGTAGGATCAAAGGAATCTCTAAAATTTAGAAAAAGAGGAAATAAAAATTGAAATACCTTCTGAAACTGCTCTGCTGCCTTGTCCTTGTCGTCCGGGTTCAGATCTGGATGGTACTGCTTGGAGAGTTCGTAGAAAGCGGACTTGATCTCGGCTGAAGTGGCGGTGGCTTTCACACCCAACGCCTCATAATGGTTGACGGGCCGGTTGGACATCGGTCTTCTGACGACGTGAAACGCATGTATCCGACATTTCAGAAGCATACTACATCTCAATACACCCCAAAAATCAGAAAATGTTTGTGAAAAAAAACCGCAGCTCGCCGAACAACTAATAAATATTCCTGCAGGCTGCGGATTTCGAATTTCGCGGGGTTTTGCTCTTCGCTCGATGGGTTGAAACATCATGCCACTAGATATTATTCTTCCCCAAAAATTTTGTTCTGGTATTTCTGATTGTTTTACATTGTTTTTTCTAGAGTTTTATGTGTTTTTATCTCTTTTATAATTCTGATGTCATGTATAACATAAATTGCTTTTAGAATCAAATATGGGAAAGCGAAAACACATCAAATCCGGAGCAGGAGACTTGATCAAAGCTCCCGGTGGTCTGGCCGATCAAATTGAGGTCAACACGTTTGCTCAATCAAGAGGAAAGCCGAGAGGAATCTTGAAGAAGACAAAGCAAGATGGTGAAGTAAGTTTCTGGTGTTTTCTCTTTCGTTTTTAGGGATTCTTTTGATTATCTTCTTGTAGTTTGTTCCGGATGTTCTCAGCAGTAAGATCCTGCGCGAGGCATCAAAACAATTGGCTGCTGAAGAGCCTCAGAATGTCACCAAGGTTGAGCCGAAGGTCTTGATGGCAAAAGACGTCTTGTAAGTCGAATATTCCCAATTGAATCTTCTGATTTTAGTTCTCAACTTCGCACAAGTTCCAAGAGAAAGGACTCCGAGGATTCATCGGAAGAAGAGGATGTTCTGGATGATGATGAGTTCCCGGCTTTAGCTTCAAGGTATGTGTAATATAATTCATTTGATATTTCGTCGTTTAGTGCTCCACAGGATCTCCCTGAGTTCCTACATGGGGAAGACAAAGCAGCAAGTGACTTCGCCACCTCCGTTCTTCATTCCGTCAACTTTAAGAAGCAACAATTTGAGAAGAACTTCAGCACTCAAGGAGCAGATCCGACCGCTGGTTTATCCGAAAATGTTGTCAAGATGTATCAAGAAATTGGCCAATACATGCATTACTATCGATCAGGGAAGATTCCCAAAGCTTTTAAATCCATCCCTGCACTAAAAAACTGGGAGCAGATTTTGGAGTAAGCGGTTTTCAGTTTTCATAAATTTTTGTCATGAATAATATAATTTTGGTGATATTTTCAGAATAACCCAGCCGGATAAGTACACAGCGGCTGCTATGCTACATGCAACGCGACTTTTTGCTGCCGTCGCTTCACCAAAGGCTTGTGAACGGTAAGAATTTGAGATTTTTCCATCTACTTGCCATGGATAATATAAAAAGCTGTCTAATTTTGTGATTTTTCAGTTTTTACCGTTACTACCTGCTCCCACGTGTCCTTGATGACATTATGGAGTATCGCAAATTGAATGTGCATCTGTATACTGCTGTGAAGAAATCGATTTATAAGCCCACCTCGTTTGTGAAAGGACTTTTGTTGCCCATCTGCGAGCCAGATATGGTCTCAATGAATGTGGCGCATGTTGTGAAGGCTGTGATCCAATCCACTTCACTTCCCGTCTTCCACGCCGCCACTGCCATCATCAAACTGGCTCAACAACGACCCACCAGCTCCCCAGTGTCGTATATCTTGACAGGATTCATTCAGAAAAGATACACATTGCCGTCGTTGTGCATCGACAGCCTCCTCGATTACTTCTGCTCATATGAAGATAAGGACGAACGAATGCCCTTGTCTCTACATTCAGCCATCCATGAATTTGTGAAGACCTACAAGTTGGAGCTGGATACACAGCAAAAACAACGGTTATTGAATGCGTTGAATGTAAGTTGACTTTGTTTTTAGTTTTTTTTTCGGTTTTTAGGACAGGTTATGCGGCATAAAAATGGATTTATCCCAAAATTTCCGACAATTTTTATATTGTACATGATGTTGATATATAAAAAATTTGCCAAATCCATGAAATTTTCAGGAATATGGCAACAAAATGGCCCGCAAAGACACTATCAACCTGCTAAATGAAGTCATGCCAGAAGATGTGGAAATGGAAGATGCTTGAAGAGGGACTTTGATGTTTACCAATATTGTTCTTGTTATACTGTTTTTTGTTATAAATTACAAGATTTTTTTCTGATAATCATTTTTAAAATGGAGTTGAAGGTTTTCGGGACCTTTATCATTGATATTTCGATGGAAAACAGAAGTCAGTGTCGAAGAAAAAACCTCATTTATTCACTACCACTAAAACCAGCTAAGAAGATGATTACAATATAAAACAACCAAATAAATTAGAAGAGAACCCGATAAATTACCACTTGTAAGTATCTGGGAACACGACCGACTTGACGCCCTCTCCTTGGACGTTCCGCATCCACCCGGCGTTCGGGACGACAGTCCAGTGCAAGGAAAAGGTGACGTTTTTATTGCGGAGATTGAGGCCGTCGTCTTGGAAGTAGTAGTAGGGCTTGATACGTTCCTCATTCAGGACATTATTGCCAAAACGGAAGAAATATTTGTCCCAGAGGACGATCTGATTGGTCGGCTGGAAGGAATCATATTAGACTAGGTGAAAATTTGATGATATATAGCGAAAATTGGCAGTATAAAGGTCTAAAAACCCGTAATTTGGCATGTTATACATTGTAAAACCTATTTCGAGCGATTTTACAAAGAATCGCGGTCAAAAATTTGAAAAAATTACACTGCCCATCTAGTGCAATATAAAATTTCTCAGATTACTCCATTGTCGGCCCTAAACTCCAAAAAACATTCAAAACCTTACCCTTTCTTCTGTCTCATAATCTGCTTGTAGCCATGCGTAGATTTGTTTGACATTCCAATTAAAAACGGGCGTCAGATCAGCTGACATGGAGAAGGTCGCCGAAGCCAGATCACTCCTCCCGTTCAAGGATGCATAATCGTGAACTGGCTTTCTAAAGGTTTCTTGGTCAATATTGTTCGACTAAAAGACCTAAAAACAGAGAAAAACAATAAAAATTTACTTACAATCTGATATTTTCCACTTCCAGTTGAACCGGGACTGTGTAATTGACGAATAAGGTCTGTAGAAAAACGAGAAAAGTTGCGGCGGCCAAAACACTGCACATAAATGCGAACAGCCCGTTGAGACGGCTGAGGAATGAATGCATCTTACTGAAAATCGAACTTTTTTGGCTACTACAACATAAATGGCTACTACAATATAAAAAACGTGCTCTATCTCAAAACTTTTTCAATTTCCGCCAAATTCATTAGTCAAACAATTAATGGACATCCATTTGCTTTAATATTGTGCATGGTTTATACATTTTATTCGGATTTTATGCTTAGAAGATCATGTTTTTAGTTCAAGTGATACGTAAATTAATTTAGTCGATGAATTTTGTCCATGTCGCGGAGTTTGTCGAGGTCTCCGAGGTTCTGCCACCAAGAGTTGAGCCAATTGAACTGGTTGAAGAGGGCAAACCAGGGGGAAAACCGTTTTGCTAAAGAGAAAATCAAATTAATTTAGTGATGATACATACTTTTAATCATGGAGTCCAGTTTCTGTGGGTCGACCAGCATGAAATCGGCTACTTCTTCGGGATTTGGATGGATGAGGGCGGGGTCGAAGTTCGTTACAACCAGCGCGTAATCGAGCTCGTGTTCCAGCCATTCGGAATCTGATGACGCTTTGTACAAGAACCTAAAATAACATGGTTAATACCGTAATATTCCAAAATTTGTTAATAGAAATTAGAAAATTAGACTACTTTCTATACGAAAACACTTTTTTTGGCACTTTACATCTCACTGGGCTTATAATTCTGACCAGTTTTATATTAACCATGCCTTAAACAAGAATCGAGACAAAAACAGATAAAGCAAACGCGAATTTGGATCGAATGTCCTTTAAATAGAACAATCAGCTCAAATTATATCTATTCCATGGAAAAGTAGACCATTGAAGTCATTTTCAAACTTTCTCTACCCTATTCCTTCCATCGACATCATTACCTAAAACAACAAAAAGAAAAGTCAAAAATCCTACCTTCCCATAACATTCATTCTGTCCAATTCTAACCCCTGAATGCCCATTTCATGCTCCAACTTTCTCTGAGCAGCCCGACGTACTCCAATCGAGTTATTCGAGGTGTCCATCTCATCTTCCACAAACAATGGATGACTGCAACAACTGTTGGTCCACACGGATGGAAACGTGACCTTCGATGCGGATCTTTTTTGTAGAATCAGTTTCTGGTCTGGAGTGAACAAAAACACACTAAATGCCCGATGTAAGGCGGCGGTTGAGACATGATGGCAGTCTCCTTTGGAGGCATGACCAATTGGATTATCATATTCATCGACCAGTATGCACTGATCATTCAGAAGATAGGCAGCTTGAATCGAATCACACTCCTTCAGCTGACTTTGTGCGCCTTTCATGACCTTTTTGTCGGTATGCAGTGCGGCAACACCTTTATACCTAAATTGATATAAAAACTAATCGCAAAACAAGAAACTCACCTTGGTAATAGCAGAGCGCGTCGTAGAAGAACCGAGTTCATAATAGGGAACGATATAATCTGTAAAGTTGACTAGAATAATAAGCGAGTTGCGAAATCGCTCGTGGTTGAGACCAATGTCAGATAAAATTGCACCTGATCGGTAATTTATAAAGCATCGGATGGCATTATGTGCATATAGAGATAGGAAAGTGAATAAATATGGCTGTCAGAGCATTCTCGACCTTCTAAATGGCCACGCGGACCACGGAACTAATATTAAACAGAATGCCAAGAATGTCTTGGCATTCAATGTTTTCGTGGTGGGGTCGGCAAGGTACCGTATTATTGTTATAAAATGAGCAAAAAAGATTGATGAAACATTCCGAGTGATTAGAGTGCGTCGTAAAGCAAAAATGACGTTGTAATTGAGAAAGTCGAGTTGAATAATGAAGAAATAAATTTGTGTGGTAGTATTAGTGTAAAGTAATGTAAAAACTGTTAAAGATGAAGAGATTAAAAGTCGAAGAGTTGATTATAATATTACTGAATGGGTCTAGAAGATAGATAGAGTTTATTTTGAAACCAAAACACCCGTATCGTAACGAAATCGGTCTTTGAAAGTTGTTTCTTTCCGCACTGTGCACATGCTTATCATTTCGATCGCTGAACAGTTAATTGAGCAAAAATCACGCTGGAATTTCAATTTTCTTGACAATTAGATCCGTTTACGGCGATAATGTTACAAAAAAATGTTTTGTAAGAGGAGAAGCAAGTAATTGAAAGTCTATTACTTGAAGTGCAAAAAACCAGCGGTATACTGTATTTTTTGTAAGTTTTGGAAAAAAATGTTATTAGTATCAGTGAAAAATTTTGTGTTCTGTAGTATTTTAGCCTTTTGAAGGGTACCTTTTAATTTTTATTAACAAAAAATTGCTTTTATGGGGTATGGAGTTACAGGTCGAGATATATATCAAAAAATTTGCAAAATTTTTCTGATTCAGAATATCTAAAAATTAGCTGCTCAATTTTGGTCTATCAACCAGTTTTATCGTAAGTTTTAAAAGTATTTCTCGAGGAAAAAGATCGGCGGAAACAAAAGCGCGTTCGGTCTCTTCCTCACGAAGAGGGCCGTATGGCCGACTGGTTAGAGCGCTAGGCTGAGAATCCGATGGGAAAGTCGGCGTATGGGTTCGAGACCTTTTGGCGCAGAACTCTTTTTTTTCATTGGAACAACTAACTAAGGTTTAGTATTAATCAAATTTGATATTTTAAGGCTTGTCAAGGCACCAAAGTTTGTTTTAGCTCAAAAAAATTTTTTGAAATGGTAAAAACTTGGTCAAAAAATCATTTACGTGGAGTTGCAAGCAAAGTTCTGAGGACTTTTTCACCGTTACAAACCAAAATTAGGCAGCTAATTTTTACACATTCTGAACCAGAAAGATTTTGCGATTTTTTTGGTATATATCTCGACCTGTAACTCCATTCCCCATAGAAGTATTTTCCTTCTGAAAATCCCAGAAATTCCCAAAATTCCGAAAATTCCCCAAAAAATCGCGAAAAATTGGTGAAAAAAGTAACATTGCTGTTTATAATTCCTTTTTTTACTTTTTAAAAATATCACAGACCTCACACAGATGCGACTATCGTGCTCGGAAAGAGCCCAAAACGAGTGTCCCGCTCAGAACGAGCCTTCAAATTTATAGCGGGGTTCAGTTCATCAAGCAAATTAACAAGGAAACAATTTATCACAGCCCATTTAAACTGTAACCGGTCAGAATGTTCTTTAAATTGTGTGATCAGAGAGGCTCGATAAGGCCGGCTGAACATGTTTGTTGACGGCGTTGGGCACGTATCGTAACAATCGGCGCCAAGTTGATGGATTTGCCGCGCAAAAAAAATCGCTGGCACCTGAAAATAGCGATTGTTATGTACGGAATTTTTGTGAACTCATTTTATATTAAACATAGCCTTATTTAAAATTAATTTTTAATATTGAAAAATTGTAAAAATCCTTTCAAAAAATCTCAAAAATCACAAAAAATCACAAAAAAAAAATATTTTTTTAACAAGGAAAGTACCCGCAGATTTTCTTCAAAATTTGCACACATATCATGCGTAGGCCACAAATCAATTCCTGAAAGTTTTAGCTCGCGCTTTGCAAGCGCCGCCGAGATATTGAACGCTTTTTACCGCCGAGAGAGTACGCGAAACGCGGAGAGCAGCCATAGAAAAAACGATTGCGGCTAAAAAGTGCGAGCTAAAACTTTTGGGAGTTTGCATGTGGATTACGCATGGCATGCATGCAAAACAAAAAAAAGAAAAAAAATCTTCCTGTTAGTTGAAATTGGCCTATTAAATTTGTGCCAAGTTTCGTCAAAATCTCAGCATCGCGCTTCAAACACTCCCACTTGAAAGTTCTATCAGTCTGTCGGGAATATAATGAGCCCTCTGTGGAATCAAAAATCGCATAGCAAATGAAAACTTCAGCTTTCATTTGCAGCGACATTTTACTCATTGTTTTCCCGACGGGCTGATAGGTCATCAATCGGCATAGTTGATTATCGTCGTACCAGGCTCCTACCATCTAAAATGTAAATTGATTATTCAAATACTGTAAACGTCAAGGGAAGCTTGCAAATTAAAAACAGCGACGTCTAAATAAGGGCTTTCTCAAACTTTTGATTCCAAAAACGCCAAAACAAAACCATCGCACATGGTGACATTTGTGAGGCCTGAAAGCGACGTACGGAAGGTGTATTTGTCACAAAACAGGTGGTATTACTAACATGTAGGGAGTCGGCGAGCGAAACAATTTGAGGGAAGTTGGGTTTTAAGTTATATCGTCTGGTCTGGAAATTATCATAACTCCCCTTATTCGCACTCGATTCACAATTTCATCGTCTTCTGTGGATCAATGACCAACTTTCCGACTGTATTTTACTAGTATTTCTTCTTCAAAATCAACCAATTCGACTATATAGTTACTACTTCAACAATGTACGAGAACTACCTGCAGCCCATTGAGGGCTACGTGTTTGGCACCTGCTTGATTGTAGAGCTAATTTTGATGCCTCTGATGGCCTACTTGACCGCATTCCGCTCGCGTCAAATGAAACGCTACCGCTTCTACATTCTGAACAACGTTATTTGGTGCTTCCTTTTTGACATTGGGCCGTTTGTGCTGCGGCCCACGTTCACATTCCCCGCTGGCTGTCTGATTATGCGGCCGATTATTGGGATCAGCGCGAACGTGGCCAGAGCATGGGCGTTCATGCTGCTGGTGGTCTGCATTAACATGGAAATGGGGGTGGTTTGGAGTCTGTTCTATCGATACGCACAGGTGAGAGGGGGGTGGTTTGGGAAGAAGATTTGAGGACCTTGAGGGCATGAGATTTGCTTCAAATTTTGATGATATATAGTGCGTCTAGTAGGGTTGTTAATTTGAAAAAAATTTCAAAATGGCCTCGAAATGCGACAAATTGCCGTCATTTTTGTCATTTTGGCCAACAAAGGAAGTACTCCAAGTGCGATGCTCAGATTTTTTAGAAATTTTGCACACACCGTCGGACATGATTGAGCCCGAACTCTCCTGCATTTTGAAAAAAATTAGGTGTGACATGTTATACGATGAAAAAAATTTTACACCTAGTTTTCTCAATTTGAAAAAATTTTTCAATTGTATAACATGTCACACCTAATTTTTCTCAATTTGAAAAAAAATTTCCATCGTATAACATGTTACACCTAATTTTTCTCAATTTGAAAAAAAATTTCCATCGTATAACATGTCACACCTAATTTTTCTCAATTTGAAAAAAAATTTCCATCGTATAACATGTCACACCTAATTTTTCTCAATTTGAAAAAAAATTTCATCGTATAACATGTCACATCTAATTTTTCTCAATTTCAAATAATTTTTCAATCGTATAACATGTCACACCTAATTTCTCTCAATGAAAAAATTTTCCATCGTATAACATGTCACGCCTCATTTTTTCAATTTTCAAAATGAGGGGGTGTTCAAAAACGGGGAGAGTTCAGGAAAGGGGGAGATTTTCGTCTGCAATAGTCGGGTTTCTTTTTTTCTCCATTTGGGTCAAGTCTTCCTCTCCGCAGAAAGACAGAGCTATATCGACAAGTCTCAAAACCCTGAGTTTTCCTTCGTTAACCCGTAAATTCCAGGCCTTCCCGGGCTGGTTCAGCGACTTCTTCGAGCACGGCTATGCCATCTACATTGTGATTGCGTCGGTTCATGTGGCCATGTACATGAGCTGTTGTTTGCCGTTCGTCGTCTTCTCCGTGCCAGGTAAGGGCATTGTAAGGCAAAGTAATCAAAACAGATAAAGAGCAAATGAAGGCCGAACTGCTCCTGCAGCTGCCGCAGTTGAAGGAGGAAGAGCCGAACATCTCCTACATCTGTGTGCCGAACACGACGCTGACGCGGAGCGTCGCGCTGTTGGGATTCCTGACGATGCTCACGTTTTTCACGTTGGGCACTGGGCTCTACATCAATTTGTTTGTGATCATTCAACTGGAACGGAGGAAGGCGACCGCTATCGCGAACACGCAGCGATTGCAGTTGATGTTGTTCAAGGTAGGAGAAGAGGAGGGGCTACGACTTTTTCGGGACAACACAAAATTGGTCTATATGGGGCGTAGGGCTGGTGGATACTCAAAAAAAAAGGTTGTAGGAACTGTCTGCGAGGCCTTAAAAAGCTGTCGGATGGTCGGCGGGAGCTTGGCGAAGGCTCGGCGGAGACTCAGCGAAGACTTGCAATATGCCCACTTTTTCTAATTTTAGCTATTGCTAACGTTAGTTTTGATTACCCTGCGTTATCGTAACAGATAAAAAAGCAAAGTTTGCGGCAAAAAACAAAGATCCGTAACTTTTATCTAGACATTATGGTGAACCTAGGACACAATCAATCTTATTATTTATACTTACTAACCCTTCTCCTAGTCTCCTCCTATGTTAGAACAGCTCAGGGTCGAGAAAGCTAGAGTTAGCGATAGCTAAAGTTAGATACAGTGGGGGATCTGATCCCGTGGCAAAAAACGTATCATTTTGTATCCGGGAGTATCAAAAAATGTAACAAAATGCCTTCCTCTCCAAGTAAAAAAAACTTCCTTCTGAAGGGCGCGCCCTTTCCCTCACAAAAAGAGCGGGCGCGCTTTTTAGAAATCGGAGTTTTTTCACTTGGAGAGGGAAGGATTTTGCGACACTTTTGATACATCCCGGATGCAAAATGATGCGTTTTTGCCACTGGAACAGGTACCCCACTGTAAAGGGGTCATATTGCAAGTCTCCACCGAGCCTTCGCCGAGCGTCCGCCGAGCATTCAACGGTTTTCAAAGGCCTCGTAGGCACATCCCACCATCTTTTTTTCGGCCTTCCGCTTTTCCTGGGCCTCATATCTATCGATTAAACAAAGTGGATTGTAACGTCCGCAAGTCCCCGCCGAGCCTTCGCCGATGGTCCGCCGAGCATTCAGCGGCTTTCACAGAGCTAAAGGCACCTCTTACCACCTTTCTTAGGACCCCACCTGTCGTGATTTCTTTGTGTCTAACATCTAAACTTGCACCGCTCTTTTCAGGCGGTCGGAGTCCAGCTGTGGGTCGGGTACGCGCTTCTCCTCTTCCCCACCGCCGCCATCTTCCTCACCTTCTTCTGCCAGTGGCGGAACGGCACCACGATCGCCATGTTCGCCGTCACGCTGATGACCACGCACGGCGCGCTGGACTACGCGACAATGCTGTGGTTCATCACGCCCTATCGGCGGATCGTGGCGGGCTGGCTGCGCGTGGGCCGCGCGAAACAGCTGAGCAATCCGAGCGTGTTCGGCGTCACCACCATTACGATTGTGCAGTCGCAGTACAGGCACAGTTTCAGCACCAGGGCGACTTTTCGCAACCTCACGCGATGAAATGCGCAAATGCGACGCGTTACGCGTGCAGTTGGTTGTAGCGAATGGTTAAAAAAATTTTGTGAAAATAATGAGTATTTTGCCTCTATTCTTTACATATGCATATATGGCTCGAGGCATGAATCCTTGTGTGTTCAGAAAATGTGTCACGATGACACCCATTTTTTTGCAGCTCGGAGAATTTGCACGGGCGCAGCTCGCGTCTTGGGCGCAGCTCAAAAACAAGCCGAAACTTAGCTCCGGCGAGCTGCGAAACGTTGTCTTCCGAGCTGCGCCCTACCATTTTCAGCTAACTTTCAGCAAACTTTCAGATAGCGCATTGACCCCAGTTTTGTAAAGGAGAAAAAGGCTGTTTCAAATAAATATATTCCAGTTGCCAAAGAACAAACAATCCTTGTAAAACAAAGCAATGAAAAAACGAACGAACTTTCTGGACGACCTAATAGAATGTGCCAGTGATATAAAAAACGGCTGTATATGTTCTACAAGGCCTTTATATTTATTCCTGAAAGTTTCGGCTCATTTCAAAAAATGGACCTAAAACTTTTAGGACCTAATCCAGTGGCAAAAACGAAGCATTTTTTTGCATCCGGGAAGTATCAAAAATGTGGCAAAATGCTTCCCTCTCCAAGCGGAAAAAAACTTCGTTTTGAAGGGCGCGCTATTATAAAATCGGAATCTTTCACTTGGAAATGGAGGTATTTTGCCACATTTTTGATATTTCCGGGATGCAAAATGGTATCTTTTTTGCCATTGGATCAGGTTCTTCACTGCACTGTTGACTGTCTATTTTCTTTAGCATGGTCTTTCAACGTTGCATTTGCATTAAAACTTTCTGAAATATCCATTTTTAACCCCATTCCTGCTGAGCTCTTTCCCAATAAACAAACTTAAATTATGTATGTATCATGGTGTTGAGCAACGCTCCAGGAGAAAGCCAGGTGCTCTGTGGACACTTCTTAATTCAGACATCAAGGTCGTAGACCAATGAGACATTCGGCAAATGAATTTAACGCGTTACAATGTGCCTAATATTAAGATGTACATAACAACTTTTTTTGTTTGGAAATGAGCATACGTGTGTCTGGAATCATTTTGAAGCAGTTTACGCAGTTCGAAACGATTCTTCGGCTGGTAATTGTGAAGTATGAAAAAGAAGTTCAAAGATAGCATTTCACATGGGAGTCGCACTTGTGGTTTGTTTGTTGTTGACTTTTATTTTACAGGGGAAGTACTCCAAGTGCGACGCTCAGGTTTTGATGAAACTTGGCACAAATTTAGAATAATTTTTTCTAAGATATATGCGGGAATCCTAGCTCGCGCTTTGCAGAAACAACCGAGATTTTTAGATCGAAAGTCGGCGAAAATTTAGGACTTTTTGCCGAATTTCGGCACGAAAAGTTTCATGCCAATTTCTACCGTAAAGGATAACGTTTCTACAAAAAATCAAATCTTTCCGCACGAAACTGCCAAAGTTATGGTCAAAAAACGCTTTTCTCTCTGACCGCTCTCCACGTTTGGCGTGCTCTCTCGGCGGCAAAAATTGTTCGATATCTCGGCGGCGCCCGCAAAGCGCGAGCTAAAACTTTCAGGAATTGATGCTTAGTCCATACCCGACGTGTGTGCAAAATTTAAAGAAAATCTGAGCGTCGCACTTGGAGTACTTCCCCTGTTAGTGTAATAAACAGTTAGATTTTGCACGGGAGCCGGAGCCGCAAATTTGTACTCGGCTCCGGCTCTGGTAGCTTACAACCGGAGCCGAAGGTTTGGCCGTGATAATCTTTGGTTATAGCCAATTCAAATCCTGCCGAAAAATCGCCACACTCTGTACAGTGACGGACCCGATCCAGTGGCAAAAAACGTACCATTTTGCAGCCGGGAAGCATCAAAAGTGTGGCAAAATACCTCCATTTCCAAGTGAAAGACTCCGATTTGAGAAGCGCGCCCTTCAAAACGAAGTTTTTTCCACTTGGAGAGGGAGGCATTTTGTCACATTTTTGATGCTTCCCGGATGCTAAATATTAGTACTTTTTTCCACTGGATCAGGTCCGTGACCGTATCAAAAATTCCCAAAAAATCCATCATTTTCAGCAACAGAGACCTCTAATAAAAGCTCTAGTCCCTTTCCAAATGACTTCTTCTATCCTAACACACAAAAAATACACCCCTTGCCACTCAAAAAACCCCTGGAAAACTTCAAAAATCATCAATAAAAAGCTCAGTTTTGAAGGCCTCCCTCACAAAAAGAGCGGGTGCGCTTTTGAAATCGGAGTTTTTTCATTTGGAAAGGGAAGCATTTTGCCACATTTTTTAGATACTTCCTAGATGCAAAATAGTGTTTTTTGCCACTGGATCATTTCCCCCACTGTAATGTAACTGAATATTAAAGCTCCTAGCGCCTGTCAAATCAAGAACTTAATGATTCTGTGAAACTATCTGACCACCGCAGAAGAAATTTCAGATTTTTCTATGTTATTTCTGACACAAACAAAAACAGTGAATGCATTTTCCAACCGTTCATTGTTTAATTGTAAACCTTCCGGTTTAAACTTCAATTCTCAATGAATTTCTCCCTGAGGCAACGCCCTGAAAAGTCTAATTGCAGGTCAACCGGAGGAGAAGAAGAAGAGAGGGAATGGTCGTGATGATGTTTGTGACAAAGATCTCTGTTATTTTTGAAGAGACAAAGGTTGAGAAACGAGGTAGCGAAGAGCAATTTTAAAAGCGAAGAGCAATTTTAAAAAAACAAATACTTGAAAATTTATTGTTCGCGGGAGAAAATTTATTTTTTCACAAATTTTACCGTAGTTTTTGGCTAACAGGGGAAGTACTCCAAGTGCGACGCTCAGATTTTTATGAAACTTGGCACAGATTTAGAATAATTTTTTCTAAGATATATGCGAGAATCCTAGCTCGCGCTATGCAGAAAAAAACGAGATTTTTATATCGAAAGTCGGCCAAAATTTAGGACTTTTTGCCGAATTTCGGCACGAAAAGTTTCATGCCTATTAGCATTTTCATAAAGTGCCTGGACTTGTTTTCGCTTTCGCACAGTGCATCTTGAACTTTTGTCGCCAACGCACTGTGGATTTTTGTCTTCGCGCACCGTGCAAACCTCGAAAAAGCCGATTGCACTGTGCACATTTTCGAGCAAAATCGCAGCAGCGCAGTTGAGAAAAGCTTACGTCGCAGCGATATTTCAAATGCACAGTGCAAAACCAAAGAAAGGTCAATGCACGGTGCAAAAAATCGCGGGCGTTTGTGCACAGTGCGCGCAGCGACAAAAGTCCAGGCACTTTGTGAAAATGCTAATATTTCTACCGTAGAGGATAATGTTTCTACAAAAAATCAAATTTTTCAGCGCGAAGCTGCCAAAGTTATGGCCAAAAAGCGCTTTCCTCTCTGACCGCTCTTCGCGTTTAGCGTGCTCTCTCGGCGGCAAAAACCGTTCGATATCTCGGCGGCGCCCGCAAAGCGCGGGCTAAAACTTTCAGGAATTGATATTTAGTCCATACCCGACGTGTGTGCAAAATTTAAAGAAAATCTGAGCGTCGCACTTGGAGTAGTTCCCCTGTAAAAGTAAAGTTTTTTTAATGACCGATTCATTCCCGATTTTTCCACCAAACAATTCAAAAAAAAATCGAACGCTCTCTCGACCCTTTAACCTTGATAACTTCTCCCTTTTTTCTCCAACTCCCCTTCAACTTTCAATCGTTTTTTTTTTGTTCGGGGAACAACGTGACTTCGGAGGCCCTCAGGTATTAACGTCGGCTTTTGTTCCGAAAAATTTTTTTTTGTTTCCCTTTTTTGGTCTTCCCGAGTCATCGACGGAAAATTTGAGGGCTCTATTAACCAAAAAAAGGGGTTTTTTCTCATTTTTGGTCTTCTAAAATGATGAATTTCCCTCAAAAAACGATGATCTTTGGGAGTTTTTATTGTGAGGTAAAAGTAAAAAAAAGGTTTGGAGAAGATTTTTTTTGGTTGACAAGCGCATTTTTAGAGGCGTTGGATCTTTTTTTCAGTCTGTCGGGAAAAAAATGAGCACTCTGCCGCAACGAAAATCGCATCGCCGAAGAGGAAGTTAATTGTGTCGCGACAAAATTAAATTGCTTCAGCGAAGAGGTCGGCGCAGCGGCATTGCTCATTATTTTCCCGACAGAGTGATATATTACGTATATATTTTTTAAAATGAGTTTGGCGACTAAATTTTAGCTTGCGCTTTGCAGGGAGAGCCCAGATATTTAACGATCTTTGTTCAAAAATAAAGCAGAGAAAAAGGATTTCTTAGGTTTCCTTTCGATTATTCGAGAAAATACCCTACAACTAACTCTGTTTCAAACCTTGACAGAACGCATGATACAGTGAGGGACCTGTTCCAGTGGCAAAAAACGTACCACTTTGCATCCAGGAAGCGTCGAAAACGTGGCAAAATGCCTCGATTTCCAAGTGGAAAAACTCCGGTTTATTTTTTTTTTTAGAAAAAATTGGCTAAAATTGGCGTTGCAATGCACCTTGCAAAGGATTTTTTTGTTTGTAAAAATTTTGTTTTTTATCGCACAGTGCAAAAAAAATTTGATTTTGCACTGTGCGACGGCAAAGATAGGCTAAAATTTGCGTTGCACGGTGCGAAAAAGGTTTCAAAAGCGCGCCCTTCAAAGCAAAGTTTTTTCACTCGGAGAGGGAAGCATTTTGCCACATTTTTGATGCTTCCCGGATGCAAAATGGTACTTTTTTTGCCAGTGGCAAAAAACGTACCAGGAAGCGTCAAAAATGTGGCAAAATGCCTCCCTCTCCATGCAAAAAAAAACTCAGATTTCAAAAGTTCGCCCGCTCTTTTGTGAGGAAAAAGGGAGGGCCTTTCAAAACGAAGTTTTTTCACTTGGAAAGGGAAGCATTTTGCCACATTTTTCATGCGTCCCGGATGCAAGACGGCAATTGTTTCCGCGCGAAACTGAAAAAATATAGCCTTCTCGGACCGCTCTCCACATTCCCCGTACTCTCTCGTCAGCAAAGATTTTTAAATTTCTATGTCTCTGGCAGCCCTCGATCGACTTCAATTGCTATATAAAGCATATTTACCAACTAATAATGTTGTTTATTTACCCTGCTTTCCGGTTAATCTAGTTGTACGATTGTTTACTTTGGCTTGCATAACCAATTCAACTTTTTTCCTATACAGTTCTCACCATTTCTGATCGTTGAGGGGCGGATTGATAGTTCAACACTCCGTTTATATTTTTTTCTATACAATCAATATCAATTCGATTCAAAGTTCCCGTTTTTGGGCGTCTACGAGATGACCTTTTCCAAGTGTTTTTGATCTGCTCAACCTAATTTTCACCCGACTGAAGGGAGCTTTGAAAATGCTAGCGATAATTTTTCCACTTTTTTTTGATTTTCAGTGCAAAAAAATTTCGATTTTGCACTGTGCGCCGGCAAAAATAGACTAAAATTTGCGTTGCACGGTGCAAAAAAATTAGTCGACCGCACAGCGCGGATTTTTTTTTACTTTTTTGGTTTTCAGTACAAAAAAATCTGTTCGGCAAAAAAATTGGCTAAAATTGGCGTTGCAATCCACTGTGCAAAAGATTTTTTTCGATTTTGAAAATTCATTTTCTTCCGCACAGTGCAAAAAGATTTTGATTTTGCACCGTGCGCCGGCAAAAATAGGCTTAACTTTGCGTCGCACGGTGCAAAAAAATTAGTCGACTGCACAGTGCGGAAACTTTTTTTAACAAATTTTTTTGATTTTTTAAGATTTTCAGTACAAAAAAAATCGGATCGGCAAAAATCTTTTTTTAGAAAAAACTGGCTAAAATTGGCGTTGCAATACACTGTGCAAACATTTTTTTTGATTGTGAAAATGTTTTTTTAACGCACAGTGCAAAAAAATCAGTCGGTTGCACAGTGCGGAAATTTTTTAGCGATTTTTTTAACTTTTTTTTTAAAAATTTTCAGTACAAAAAACCTGTTTTTTTTTGATTGTAAAAATTTATTTTCATCCGCACAGTGCGAAAAAATTTCGATTTTGCACTGTGCGCCGGCAAAAATAGGCTTAACTTGGCGTTGCACGGTGCAAAAAAATCAGTCGACTGCACAGTGCGGAAAATTCTTTAGTAATTTTTTTTACTTTTTTGGTTTTCAGTGCAAAAAAATCGGTTTTTTTTTTTGATTGTAAAAATTTGTTTTCATCCGCCCAGTGCAAAAAAAATTTGATTTTGCACCGTGCGCAGGCAAAAATAAGCTTAAATTTGCGATGCACGGTGCAAAAAAATCAATCAACTGCACAGTGCGAAAAATTTTTTTAATTTAAAAAAAAAAATTCTTATCAAAATTTCAGAATGTTTTGATGCTCTAAGCAAATATTTTGCACGGGTTTTATTACAAGAAAGCTCTTCCAAAATTGCAACCCTGGCACGACCTTCAACCCCGGTTCGCTATTTTGTTCGAAACAACTTGTTTTCAACCCATTTTTGTTATCTTATCACATGGCTCTAACAGTGATCGGGAATCGATTTTTTCGTTTATTGACCTTCAATAATATAAACAAAACCTTCCAAAAAGTAGTTTTCGAGAGTCAGCTCCGTCCGTATTACTTTTTTTGGTATTCTGGGAAAGTAGTGGGGTATTGTAAAGGTGATAAAAATTGGTTGGAGCTGTAAGATAATTGATTTTTATTTTTTTTTTTATTTATTGATTTTTTGAAAAAATTAAATAAAATTTTTTTTATTAAAACTAATTATTAATTTGAAAAAAACTCGTATTATTTTTTTTTGAATTTATTGATTTTCTAAATACAAAAAAATAAATAAAAAAAATTTTTAATTAAAATTAATTAATTAAATGTTTGAAAAAAACTCGCATTAATCTTTTTTTGAATTTATTGATTTTTTAAAAATAAAAAAATTAAATTAAAAAATTTTTTCTACATTAAAATTAATTAATTATTTGAAAAAACTCGTATTATTATTTTTTTGCATTTTTTGATTTTTTGAAAATAAAAATAAATAAATAAAATTTTTTTAAATTAAAATTAATTAATCAATTATTTGCAAAAACTCGTATTATTTTTTTTTTGAATTTATTGATTTTTTTAATTTAAAAAAGTTTTTTAAAATAAAATAATTATATTTAAAAAATTTATTATTTATTAATGATCTCGAAAATATATATTTTCCATTATCCCGCCGATTTTTTTAACTTTTTTATTAATTTTTTAATTGATTTACAAATATCTTTTTTTCAGACTCCATATCATGTACAAAAAATAGTGAAGAAAAAAACAAATAAATTGTAAAAGTAATGCGTATCACAAACGACTTTGATGAATGTCACGCTGATGCTTACATGCTGGATGTGGAGCCAGCCCCGTTAACACGCAGCTTCATGATGAACGACCGGTTCATGCTGACGGACATGGCGTTGCATCGACGGTGAGATTTCCGATTTTTTAGGGATTAATTTTTTAGAATTTTTTGCAATTTTATGCTATTTTTTATTTATTTTTTAATTTTTTTGTCCTTCCTCTGTTATTATTTTTATTTTTTTTTGATTTTTTATTAATTTTTTAAATTAAAATTTTTTTTTTTTTTTTTAATTTAAATTTAATTTCAGCCAAAACCAAGCCTACGAAGAGCTGAAGCGTCTGATTTTATTTGCCGGCATCTTCTTCTTATTTATGATCATTTTTGTGCTGATCAAGTTTAAGGTAAGTTGTGATATAAAAGTCTCCGTAAAAGCTCAAAAAATGGAGAAACACATAAATTATGAGTGTCATAAATTAAATATATGTGGAAAACAGATAAATTAGACGGGGAAAAATCTATTTTTTTTAAGATTTGATTTGTGTTTTTGGCGGTTTTTGAAGGAGATTCAGCTCTTTCTTAGCATTTATATTTAATAATATAAATAGAAATATTTACAGGGGAAGTACTCCAAGTGCGACGCTCAGATTTTGATGAAACTTGGTACAAATTTAGAATAATTTTTTATAAGATATATGCGAGAATCCCAGCTTGCGCTTTGCAGAAACAACCGAGATTTTCAGATCGAAACTCGGCCAAAATTTTGGACTTTTTGACGAATTTCGGCACGAAAACTTTCATGCCTATTTCAAGCGTAAAGGATAATGTTTCTACAAAAAATCAAATTTTTCCGCGCGAAACTGCCAAAGTTATGGCCAAAAAGCGGTTTTCTCTCTGACCGCTCTCCACGTTTAGCGGGCTCTCTCGGCGGCAAAAATCGGTCGACATCTCGGCGGCGCCCGCAAAGCGCGAGCCAAAACTTTCAGGAATTGATATTTAGTCCATACCCGACGTGTGTGCAAAATTTAAAGAAAATCTGAGCGTCGCACTTGGAGTACTTCCCTTGTTAGTAAAAAGCGAATGCTCGCCGTCCATCAAGTTTTACAAGGGAAGTACCCAAACTGCGACGCTCAGATTTCGAAAAAACTAAAATTTCCCTGACCGACTCTCCTCGTTTCGCGTGCTCTCTCGCAAACAAAACCGTTGAAAATCTAAGTTTGCGCTGGAAAGCACGAGCTAAAAATTTCGGAGATTCATTGGAGGGGTATATTGAATATTTATGCAAAATTTGAAGCTACCCGAATCGTAAAATACGATTTTTTTAAACTTTTGTATCAAAATTTGTATCAAATAAATATTAGAGGAATATCGACATTTTTTAGAGTTTAAAATTTTTGCCCATTATTTTTTGAAACGCGTATCTGCAAACATTTTTTAAAAATTCAAATTTTCCCGCGCGAAACTGGCAAAGAACCAGTTTTTAAAAAACTTCTCTGACCGCTCTCCGCATTTCGCACACTCTCTCGGCGTTCGTCGAATATCTCGGCAGCCCTTGCATAGCGACAGCTGAAATTTTCAGGATTTGATATGTGACCTACACACTATATGTGTGAAAAATTTGAAAGAAATCTGAGCTTCGCACATAACGCAATTCCCTTTTTTAAACCTGCGTATTCTCACTTTCCAAGCGCCAAAAATCACTCGATTCCCAGTCGATTCCGACTCCCAGAAACGCTGCGAAATTAACCAAAGCATTATAATTCGAGTGGAGAAGCCCGACAATTTACAAAAAAAAGGGAAGGGTCGCGAACCAAATTTCACGAACATAACACCCGGTAATTCGAAAAAGGCAGATTTTCGCCTTGTAACCGGTAATCGCCTCGCCCATGCTGCCCCATCTCTCACTGCTGCTGGCGTTCATTTTGATTGTCCGGGCGGCCGTGCACGGATTCGCCAACAATAAAGTGGGTTTTCGGAGATTTCGGATATTGTACTAGACAAGTGATGCCAAAAAATTGGGCGAAAATCGATTTTTATTGTTAAATTTTAGGGTAGAACTTTCTGGAAAAGTCTTACCCATGATTTTATTTGATTTGACATCAAAAATTGCGCTTTTACTCTCCAAAATTTTTTATATTGCACTAAGCGACATGACTAAAACCGGCTCAAAGACTGATTTTTATTTCCAAATTTGAAGGTAGAACTTGCTGGAAAGTGATAAGGCGTTTTTTTTTGTTTAATTTGACAGCTGAGTTTGCCCTTTTTCTTTTAAAAAAGGGTCAAAAAATACATTCTTGATGTTGTAGTAAACAATTGATGACTCTGGGAAAAACACTGATTTTAACAGTCGAATTTTGAATGGAAGATTGTTTGAAGACTATTTATCGCTCCTTTTTTAAACTCTAAATTAAAATTTTGGTCCAAAAATAGTTGGAAAGACCATCTTTTTTCGAGAGAGTACGGAAAATGCGGACGGTCGGCCAGACAAAACACGTTTTTCTTTCATATTTTTGCGACTTTTGTGCTCAAAAATAGATTTTTTGTAGAAAAATTGTGCTAAATTTAAAATTCTCAGCCCAAAAAATCGAGATTTTTCGATTTCCCGGCCAAAAAATCTTGATTATCTTGAGAAATCGCAAGCTGAAAATTTCAAAAATGTCTTGGAAAATTGAATTCTAGATTTGCGCCAAGTTTTGTCAAAATCGGAGAGATTTTTTTCGGTACCTCCAAAAAAACTTTTTTTTAAATTAGAAAATGGCCTTTTACTGCGCTTTAATACAGCGGCGGACCTGATCCAGCGACAAAAAACGTACCATTTTGCATCCGGGAAGTATCGAAAACGCAGCAAAATACCTCCTTCTAAAAGCAAATGCATTTTGCTGCGTTTTTGATACTTTTCGGATGCAAAATGGCACGTTTCCTGGCACTGAATCATGTCCGCCACTGTATTAAACCCAGTAAAAGGCCTTTTTCCAATTTTACAAAAAAAATTTTTGGAAGTACCTTAGAAAAAAAATCTCTCCGATTTTGACGAAACTTGGAGCAAATCTAGAATTCAATTTTCCAAGACATTTTTCAAACTTTCAGCTTGCAATTTCCCAAGATCATCAAGATTTTTTGGCCGGAAAATCAAAAAATTTTGATTTTTTGGGCTAAAAATTTTAAATTTAGCACAATTGTTGTACAAAAAATCCACTTTTCAGCACAAAAGTTTTAAAAATATGAAAGAAAAAGGTGTCTCGTCTGGCCGACCGTCCGAATTTTCCGTACTCTCAAAAAAAAAAAAAAAAAAAAAAAAAAAAAATAATAATTTTTTTGAGGTACCCTAGAAAAAATGTCTCCCATTTTGATGAAACTTGGCACAATGGCAGTATTTTTCATCTTTTTTACACTTTATTTTTCAATTTCAGATATCTCTTGACGATATTTTCAAATGGTCGCCCGTGGTGTGGCTAGTCGGCGTCATCGTTTGCGGCCTCTTAATGAATGCCTTCTTGCACATTCGCAAATTCCTCAAAACCCGACGAGCGAAGCGCCTCAGACAGCAGCAGAATCTGCTGTATTCGCTGAACCTGCCCTCCTCGTTCCCGTGCTTGGCGACGGCGAACCTGGAGGCGGGCTGTTGTCCGCATTCGCCGCATTCGATTATTAGGGAAATGCAGATTATCCACAGCCCCGAGCCGCTGCCCAGCTACAATCAGGCGGTCGTTGCGGCGCTCCGACCGCACTGGACGCCGCCAACTGCGAGCAGCGTAAGTCTTCGAGGGTTTTTGGAAGGGATTTTGCGATTTTTAGGCAAAAAATTGGTAAAAAATATGAAATTTTTTCCTCAGATGTTGATGAAATTATGCAAGAAAGCTAGTCCAGAATCTTTTTTGGCATATTCCATATTTTTAACTCGCGCTTTGCAGAAAAAACGAAAATAATATTTTTTCGAAACTTTAAAGAATAAAAAACCTTTTATTTTTTAGAGAAAAATCCCATTTTTTCGATGACAGAAGCATAATTCTGCTATAAAAAATCAATTTTTAAATTTTATAAAATGTTGTCAAAAAATATTTTTTTAAAATTTTAACTTTTTCCGCACTGTGCAAGCACATCAAAAAATTGCACTGTGCGGACGAAAAAATAGGCTTATTTTGGGCTTGCACAGTGCAATAAAGTGACTTTTTTGCACCGTGCAATTTTTTCGTAAAATTTTTTATCGTTTCATATTCGATATGAGCTTATTATATTCATCATTAATGCGTTCAAATTTCAGTCCGACGAGCCGTTGCCCCCAACATACTCGATCACCTGCCTGAACGAGCCCGAATCCGACCAGATCTCTCTCCAGTCCGTCGCCGACGACACCGATTCGCTGCTGAATCGCGCGCCCTCCGAGGCCGACGCGCCGCCGGCCTACGATCAGCTGAGTCAGGCGTCCGCCGCATAATAACTTTCCGTTCTTGTTGTATTCAATTGTTCACTATGGGTCCCGATTTCTTGCCTCAGTGTTGTTGTAAACGACTATATCATATATTTATCGTTAAACTGACATATCGCAATGTTTGGCATGTTTGAATTACCCGGGAAACATTCCAATATTTCCTCACAGATTTTGTTGAAACTTGACAGAAATTTAGATTGGAAATTTCCAAGACAAATCCGGGATTTTTAGCTTGCGCTTTGCAGAAACCATCAAGATTTTTAGGTCAAAAATGAAAAAATTTCGATTTTTTGCCGTTTCTGCAAAGAAAAATTGGCCTTCTGTTTGAGAAGTCGAGTACAATATCCCCACAAAAAATCAAAAATTTCCAACCGAAATTCGCGGAGATATCGCGAAGAACGTTTTTTCTCTAACCGCCCCTCCTCATTTTCCATAGTCTTTCGTCGGCAATGATCGTTGAATATCTCAGCTGACCCAGCAAATCTCAGGTACCAAAATGTGGTGCATAAAAATCATTTTGGCAGCCGAGATATTCAACGATCACTGCCGACGACAGACTATGGAAAACGAGGAGAGACGGTTTGAGAAAAAACGTTCTTCGCCATATCTCCGCGAATTTCGGTTGGAAAATTTTGATTTTTTGTATGAATATTGTACACAACTTCTCAAACATAATGCCAATTTTTCTTTGCAGAAACGGCAAAAAAATCGAAATTTTTTCATTTTTTAACCTAAAAATCCTGATGGTTTCTGCAAAACGCTAGCTGAAAATCCAGGATTTGTCTCGGAAATTTCCAATCTAAATTTCTGTCAAGTTTCATAACAATCCGCGAGATTTTTCAGCGTCTAAATGCCAAAAACCCCTTTTCAAGGCGTACAATCCCTTTCCAACTCAACTTTCGCCGTTTATTACGTTCATTTATTACTACAAATCCTGGAGAAAATCAACAAACTACCGTTAACATAGTTAAACCATGGAATTAAAGCTCGGCTTCGAAAAAATTGGGCCAAATTTGCGGGGGGAACTTTAGGAAAATTAGAGTCCAAATTGAGAGACTACCAAAAAAAAATTTCGGTCAGTAAAAGTTTTCGGGTGAATGATTGTTTCGCAACGCCTATTCCAGGATGATAAGCTCGCTTTGGGGTTCGAGAACGGGCATTTGGGAGTTACCGGAGATCGGGGGTTTGGCCGCCTGCATGCAGGGAATGCAGCGGTATGCGGGGAATAATTTCGCTTCCTCGAAGCGGACGCCCACGCACGCCAGGTGGAACCAGTTTTGGCAGGCGGTGCACTGCAGTTCGCGGTACGAATCGGCTGAAATTTGGGAGTTAACTTCGATTCTCTTTTCCCATAAAAAAAATACGGCAAAAGTTCCTTATCCTGGGCACAACTTATAACTTTGCGGAAACTGGTCAAAATTAGCCCAAATTTCGCGTGCCATTCATCATTGTCAATGCCCGGAGAGTGGATTTAGTCAGTGAGGTACCTTCTTTTTCACGTACCACCTTTATCCTTCAAAAACGGCTACAGCCTGCGATTTTACATTTTATACGACGAAACATGTCCGGAACTAAACTTATTGCCTCCGTATAAACTAAATGAGTTTTCATAGCCCTCGTAGGTAGCCTTAAAACTATAGAGCTACTATAATAAATCGGTGTCAGCTAGGTCGAAGCCTTTTTTCCCAACTTTAGTTCACAAGCTTGGGCGCAGTTCGCAGGGTACCTTTGTTTTGGCCAGAATAAGGAACTCTTTCCAAAAATACATGCTCAAACGGCCCTACGAGCCCAACGAAATCCCTTTTCTATCCAACTTCCCCACTACAATGAGGGACCTGATCCAGTGGCAAAAAACGTCCCATTTTGCATCCAGGAAGGCATCAAATTGTCGCAAAATACCTCCCTTCTTTAAGCTGAAAAAACCCCGCTTTGAATAGCACGCCCTTTCCTTCACGAACAGAGCGCCAGCTCCGAATGCATCCGACAATATTCGCAATCAAAAAAAACGCGTGATTTTTGCGCTTCTCTTTTTTTTGGCCTTCCGTATTTGCGGAATTTTATTGTTTTTTCACGGAAAAGGAGAAAGAGAGAAGCGCAAAAATCTCGGGTTTTTTGATTGCGAATATTGTCGGATGCATTCGGAGCTGGCGCTCTGTTCGTGAAGGAAAGGTAGAGCTCTTCAAAGCGGGGTTTTTTTAGCTTAAAGAAGGGAGGTATTTTGCGACAATTTGTTGCCTTTCTGGATGCAAAATGAGACGTTTTTTGCCACTGGATCAGGTCCCTCACAGTAATTTCAGACAAATCTTGATATTATCTCGGGTAAAAGACCCCTTTCTATCCAACTTCCAGAGTAATTGGCTAGAAAATCATCAAAATTTTATATTACCCTTCTCATCTCAACCTACCCTTATATTTCAGACAAGTTCCGGCTGCGCATCGCTCCGGGGCCGCTCCTTTTCGTTTGATCGGACTGCCTAGGCCGGGTCGTATCCTTAGGCACTTGAATCTCCGCCGTTTCCCTCCCAACAGTGAGTCTTTTATTCCGCTTGTTGTCAAGGGCATTTCCGGGTTGTTCTCTTTGATTTTTCGCCAACCGCTCTTCTGCGCTTCCGTGAAACTGGGCTTAAACCTGTTTATTAGCACCTCAAAGGCCTGTGGATCATGAAGTTCGAGGGTGAGGGCGTATATGAGTGGAGTTTGGTCGCTAAAAATCAAAAAATCTTACTTTACACATCAAAAAAAATTTTTTTCCTAGTTCTCAAAAAATCTAATTTTATATGGTCCCTTCTTGCCATACTTTCATTTTTTTTACTTCTGAATGGTCCCTAGATTCATTATTCACGAGCTAAAAGCTAAAAATCCGGTGATTTTTTTCAAAAAACCAAATTTTTCCCAAATCAAAATTTTGGTCCCCCCTTGCCATAATTCTGTCTCGACCTATCCAAAAACACTAACAGTACATCCTACAAGCCCAACAACTCATATTCTCAGCCAACATCCACCTACGCAAGCCAAAATCTCCCCCAAATCACCATTTTCTTACCCATCTTGTTCAATATCCATGTTCAACGTTTCTTCCCACTGATTTCGAATATCCGCTGTCGCCATTCTCACAAACTCCATTTCCAGCGATTCCTTGGGTCCTTCCTTCACCAATTTTTCTATCGATTCGATGGTGGGTCGCTGCGATCGGCAGCAGCGATGGCAAATGTACAGGCCGTCCGGGTAGCGGTCCAGGGCCGTCGACCAGATGGCGCAGGAGGTGTGTTGTTTCTGGAGGCAGACAAAGCATTCAATCGTGGATTCTTTCTCCTCTTCTGAGAGCTTCTTCGAGCAGCCCGGGCTCTCGATGCACGTCTTGTAGGTCGGGAGTTGGGCGTTTCTTTCGCGGGCCGCTCGGAGAAGGCGCATTGACTCGTTCAAGTCGTAAGTTGGGAACTAAAATAGGCAAAACTCTTAAAATTTTTACAAATCACAAAAAATTAAGGCTTTTCCCAGCCTTTTTCGGATCAAAACAAAGATTCATAGGCGAAAATTAAACTTAAAAATACAGTGGTGGATTGGAATTTATTTTTAGAGGAGTAAAAAATTTTTGGAGAGCAAGCAAAGTGGAAAGCAAATTTGTGAATTTTTGCAAAAAAAAATTTTTTTTGGTTGAAAAAATTCTGTTCGACGAGGGGTCTGATCCATGGGCAAAAAACGTACCATTTTGCATCCGGGAAGCATCAAAAATGTGGCAAAATACCTCCATTTCCAAGTGAGAAAACTCCGTTTTAAAAAGCGCGACCTTCAAAACAAAGTTTTTTCACTTGAAAAGGGAGACATTTTGCCACATTTTTGATGCTTCCCGGATGTTAAATTTTACGTTTTTTTCCACTGGATCAGGTCCGTGACCGTATCAAAAATTCCCAAAAAATCGGTCATTTTCAACAACACAGACCTCTGATAAAAGCTCTAATCCCTTTCCAAATACTCTATTCTCTTTTAATCCACAAAAAATGCACCCTTTACCACTCAATCACTCAAAAAAACCCGGAAAACTTCAAAACCCATCAATTTTGCCTACTACAACATAACCACCTCTCCTTACCATTGCTTCAACGTCTTCTGCCGACAAGACACTCTTCAGTTCGGGCCATTCCTCCGAGAAATTGTCTCTGGATTGTTTGTAGAGCTTCTCGGACGCCTCTTCAATCATTGTGATCAAATCTTTTCGGGGCAAAAGGCATTGCACCGCCGAGTGATACGTGCCCTCTTTCGCGACGGCATTGTGGATTTCTTCGATGAATTTGAGGGAATTGTCGCGGAAGACTTCCACATCGTCCAGTTCCGTGGGGTTGATCAGCAATCTGGAGGGGGAAAATTATATTACTTTAGGTACTTTCAATAATCAAAATTTTTAAAAATGGTGTCCAAATTCATTCTCAAGCCCTTTGGACGTCGTGCATCCATTCTCATTAAAAACTTTTGATTTTAAACCCAAAAATTACATTATTTTAGACATCAAAGTTCAAAGTCTGTCTAGTGTAATATTAGCTCCAAAAATTCTACAAATAGTCTTCAAATCTCTTACTAGATACTCCATACATTCTCTAGTACCATTAAAAAGCCCCAGCATCAACAAATTAATATTACTTTAGACTTTACGACCAATTTCTATCTACTACAATATAACCCCAAAAATTCACAAACCCTTTCCCCAACCCCATTCCAAAGCCTCTATTCGCTCTATACTATCCTATTCCACCCTAAAATCCATAAAAATCCCACTGCTTTTACCGATTTCGATCCATTTGTCTCATAAGTTGATAAATGGACGCCAATTTCATCGGCTGTCCTGAGGCCAACTTCCTGAAGTTGGAGCTCGCTTCCTCCAAGACTTTCAGCTCCTCTCTGAACTCGAGCATCAAATTCTCGGCAAGCCAATCGATGCATCCCACCGTTTCCTTGGCAAATTTGAAAACTTCGGCGAACCCTCGGTTCTTCGGTGGGTTTTTGGAAGAAGAGGCGGTTAGGAAGTCGTTTACCTGAAAATCAAGACTCCAAATACGATTATCAACTCCTCAAACCCTTCTACTATCTTTTCAAACCCTCAAATCTTTCTGCAAACTCCATTTTTCCCATCAAATCCACATTTTTTACCTTACACTAGGCAGATTAACATATCAACCTAAAACAATATCCCACCTGGCTCAGCTTCTCCACCGCCTCTCGCCGCATTTTATCCAGGTCCCCAAGGAGGGTCTCCACAAACAGGCTCTGTTTTTGGCTCCAATTTCCCTTGGCATATGCTCTTAATTCGTCCAATTCGGCCATGTCCACCGAGTTCAGCTCCTCCTCGAAAACGACGCCGCTTTGGGCCTTCAGGAGCAGCGAGCGGGCCTGGCAACGGGCGTGCGAGTCCACCAGGGAGCTGGCTCTGATCTTCCAGTTGGCGTCTTTGATGCGGCCGCGGATCTCTTCGCTTTCGTCCAATTTCATGTTCAAGACGTCGGCCTCGGTGAGCAGTTTCTCCAGGGATTGGACGAATTCGAATGGGGAGAGTTCGCGTTCTCTGCAGGTCACTTGGCTTACTCTTCTTGTCCATTTCACGTAGTCGCGATATCGGTTCTGAAAAAAAAATTTTATGAAAATTTTATAATTTTTGAAAATTTTATAAAAAAATTTTTTTAATTTTTAAAAAAAGTATAAAATCAAATAAAAATTTTAAAAAATAAAAATAAAAAAAATCGAAAAATCAAAAAAAAAATTAAAAATTAAAAAAAAAAATTTTTTTTAAATTTGAAAAAATCTATAAAAAAATAAAAAAGAAAAAAAAAATAGAAAGTTTTTAAAAAATTAAAACAAAAAAATCTCAAAAAATCCAAAAATTCAAACTCACATCCAATCTTTCGATCATGCTGGTATCGAAAATATTGATGCCCTTGAACTTGCGGACCAGTTCCAAAATGCCTTGCGGGGAGATTCGACTGTCGGCGCGTTGAATGCGCGTCTCATCGCGGAGTTTTATTTTCGGCGCCAGCAATCGCGTGGCCGTCTCCACGAGTTCCGAATGCGAGTTTATGGCGGCCAACAAGCGGTCCTTCTCCTCGCAGCTGGGCAATTTCTGTCGATGGAAGCTGTTCATGAAGGCTTCGGCGTCGCGGGGAGCTGAAATATAAAAATTAAAAATTTTGAAAAAATTAAAAAATTTTTTTTGAAAATTAAAATTTTTTTTTGAAATAAAATTTTTTTTTCAACTCACATAATCCACTAGTCAAGGCTGTGTTGACCTGTTTTCTCCAGTCATTTCCTTTGTGAACTTTGTCAACGATCGCTTCTTTCATATTTCGAATTTGCTGGAGGGTTAGGGAGTACCTAAAAACAAGAAAATATTAGTTTGAAAAAGTGAAATTTTTCAAATTTTTTACCTAAAATTCATATTGAATTTTAAAATTTTTATTCATTAAATCTAAAAAACAGGTATGTATTGGAAAATTCCAGTCTAAATTTGAGCCAAGTGTCATAAAATTCGCAAAAATTTTGTTTTAAAAAACTCAAAATTCGCAAAAAATTTCTTTTTTAAAACTCAAAATTCGCAAAAAAAAAATTTTTTTTAACAAAAAAATCAAAAAAAAAAAATTTTTTTTAACAAAAAAATCAAAAAAAAAAAAAAATTTTTGCTCATATTCCAGGTCAAAAACACTTCAAAATTCACAAAAAAATCTTTTCACCAAAAAAATTTTTTTTTTTCAAAAATTCACAAATTTGCTTTCCACTTCCCTTTGCTCCCCAAAACACTTTTTTCCCTCTAAAAACATCTTCCAACCCACCTCACAAGCATATCCTTCGTTCCATGCCTTTTAGTCAGGGTTCTCCAATGCCTGGAGCACCCAAACTGCGGTTTCTTCAGGTCCTTGGGGCGGTATTCCAGACCGGTCACAAACAGGGTGGTGCCGCAGATGGTGCAGCTGCGGTCGTCGTCGGGGACGGTGCCGAATTCGCAGAACTCGCTGCGGTTGATGTTGTTGGCGCCCAGGTCGCGGCGGAATCGGCATTCCCGTTCGTAGATTTGCTCCAGCTCGTTGTAGACGGCGGCCAGCATTCCCAGGCTCAGGCTTCTGGTCGTGTTCGCCAGGTTGAGGATCAGTTCGTCGTGGGCGAAGACGCAGCAACGACTGGTCTTCATGTAGTTCTCGACGCATTGGCGGCCAACGGAGAGCTGAAAAAAAAATTATTAATTTTTTTGGGAGGAATGGGCTGAATTGTAGCAAGTTTTTACTCAAAAAAAATTTCAAAAAAAATTTTTCAAACTTTTCAAAATGTTTTTTTTCAAATTAAATTTTTTAAACCAAAAAAAATATTGGCTGAAATTTTGCAATTTTTTACTCAAAAAAATTCAAAAATAAAAAAAATTTCAAAAAATTTAAAAAAATTTCAAGTTTTTTTTTCAAATAAAATTTTTTAACCGAAAAAAATATTGGCTGAAATTTTGCAATTTTTTACTCAAAAAAATTCAATAAAAAAAATTTTCAAAAAATTTAAAAAAATTTCAATTTTTTTTTCAAATTAAATTTATTAAACCAAAAAAAAATATTGGCTGAAATTTTGCAATTTTTTACTCAAAAAAATTTCAAAAAATTATAAAAAATTTTCAAAAAAAATTTTTTTTTTGATTTTTTTCAAATTAAATTTTTTAAACCAAAAAAAATTTTAATCACCTCAAACCCCCAAAAAAAATCATTTTTTTTTTTCAAAACCCCCCTATTTCTTACCCAATCATACGGCGCGAAATTGACCGCTTCGGCCACATTCAGCCCACAATTGAATCCGGCGTGATAGGCTCTGGGGAAGGTGACCACAAACTCGCCGGCGTTTTGGCGGACCGTTTTCACGGGGATCCCGTGTTCCATGAGGATCAGGGGGTTCAGCATGTTGTGCATGGTGTTCAGCATGGACGGGTTTTGGTTGAAGAGGTCGGGGGAGATGGTTTTCATTACTTCTTCGAACTTGTCCGCGTGCTCGCGCCCGAATCCGTACCAAACTTTCGCTTCGCCTCTGGAAATTTGAGAAATTTTATTTTTTGAAAAATTTTAAAAAATCGAAAAATTAAAAAATAAAAAATTTTGAAAAATTGCAAAAATCGAAAAAAAATTAATTCAAAAAAAATTTTAATAAAAAATCCAAAAATTCGAAAAAAATAAAAAAAATTTTAAAATTTCGAAAATCAAAAAAAAATCAAAAAAAAATTTTTTAATAAAAAAATCCAAAAATTCGAAAAAAAAAAAATAAAAAAAAAATTTTTTAATCAAAAAATCTCCTATTCCAACTTACTGATGCATATAATTCATACTGTACGTCCAATGATCTTCCACATGCCAGCAAAAAGTGGAAAAACACATCCCAACGTACACCCATGGGACGACCATCCCTAAAACCGAAAAAATTAATCAAAAACATCACACTTAACAACCAAATTTGTCTTCGAGATTACTTTCAGACCCTAAAAACCAAAAAAAAAATCAAAAAATCCTACCGGAAATATCAGTTCCCACATGGCTCAACGCTGAGTCTTCGAGGACCGGCAAATTATTCAAATTCCAAGGATGACGAGCCCACTGATATTTTCTGTCCGCATCAGCACCGCGGAATTCGTCCTTGGACCTGGGGAATCCGCTTCCAAGCTTTTTCGACTCCAAGTCCGCACCATATTCCACTTCGATTCGGCCTTCAAAGTCGGCCACATTCTTCCAGTACTCGGTTTCCACCTTTTCGATGAGGACTTCCTATAAGATTATGGGTAAAATGAAAAAAATCAAAAAATTTTCCTCATGTATAATATAAAAATTTCTCAAACACGACCTAAAAGGCTTTATTCTAGCCCGAAGAAGTCTTTTTCTACTGTTTTCCATCATCATCTTGCCAGCAAATTCAAGATCAAAAACACCAAAAAAATCAAAAATTTTTCTCATGTATAATATAAAAAATTTCTCAAACACAACCTAAAAAGCTTCATGCTAGCTCTCAACAGTCTGTTTCTACATTTTCAATACATATTTCTTCCAAATTCAAGATCAAAACGACAAAAAATCAAAATTTTTTTCTCATGTATAATATAAAAAATTTGTCAAACACAACCTAAAAATCTTTCTTACAGCCCGCATCACCCTGTTTCCACCGTTTTGCTTCACATTTCTTCCAAATTCAAGATCAAAACGACGAAAAAATCAAATTTTTTTTCTCATGTATAATATAAAAAAGTTTTCAAACACAACCTAAAAAGCTTTATTCTAGCTCACAATAGTCTTTTTCTACCGTTTTGCTTCATATTTCCTCCAAATTCAGGGTCAAAACAGCAAAAAATCAAAAATTTTTTCTCATGTATAATATAAAAAATCTCCAAATCTTTCCACTCTGACCCCAAAAAGTACCAAAAAAATGTCTCTCTTTCCCAAAAATTTAAATCTAAACACCTTCAGACCGATTTACCTCATGATTTGCGACCTTAAAGTAGTTCTTTTTGAAGTTGTCGGCCTTTGTTTTGAACTGAGCCAAGGTCCGTTTGCTCTCATTGTCCACGAAATAGAACTCATATTCCTTGAGTTCCTTCTTCAAACATTGAAGGCATCGCCATTTCGGCGGGAGTTCTTCACTTTTTAGGGCGACACATTTGGAATGAAATTCTTGGCCGCATTCGAAGCATTCGGTGTTGTCCGCGTCCTGTTCGTCCATGATTTTCATGCAGTGGGCGCACTTCCCGTTGATTTTGGAGGCTGAAAAAGAGATTTGGAGCGTCAAATTTGGGTACAAAATATTTTTTCCTCGTGAAAAAACCAAAAAATTTTCAAAATCAACAGAGTTCTGAGCCATTCGCGGAAAAGGAGGGTTTTGATAATGAACAGGTTGAAAATTGATTGAAAAAAGGCCAAAATCAATTCTCTCAAGATACACGACACTCCGATTTCCATCAAATTTGGCGGAAATACAGTGGGGGACCTGATCCAATGGCAAAAAACGTACCATTTTGCATCCGCAAGGTATCAAAAATATAGCAAAATGCTTCCCTCTCCAAGTAAAAGAAACTTCGTTAGCGGGCACGCTTTTAAAACCGGAGTTTTTTCACTTGGAGAGGGAAGCATTTTGCCACATTTTTGATACTTCCCCAATGCAAAATGGCACGTTTTTTGCCACTGGATCAGGTCCCCCAATGTACTCTCTATGGCCACAAACCAAGCCCTCAAAATGCTAGCTTGTGCCTTCCAGGCACAGCGCAGATATTCAGCGATCCTTTCTTAAGCAAGCCCGCATTTTAAGGGCTTGATTTGTGGCCTATACAGAGCATTTGTGCCAAATTTGATGAAAATCGGAGTCTCGTGTATCTTGAAAATTGATTTCGACTTTTTTTAATCAAATTTTCGACCGTGTCATTATCAAAACCCTCGTCTTCAATAAATAGCTCGAGACATACCGCGGGGGACCTGATCCAGTGGCAAAAACGTACCATTTTGCATCCGGGAAATATCAAAAATGTCGCAAAATGCTTCCTTCTCCAACTAAAAAACTCCAATTTCAAAAGCTCGCCATGTCTTTTTGTGAGGGAGCCTTCAAAACGGAGTTTTTTCGACTTGGAGAGGGAAGCATTTTGCCACATTTTTGATACTTCCCGGATGCAAAATGGTACGTTTTTTGCCATTGGATCAAGTCCTTCACTGTATCTTGTATAAATTCATTTTGATTTTTCTTCAATCAAATTTTCGATCTGTTCATTGTCAAACCCCTTCTCTTTCACATTCCTTGTGCCTAAAAACCAAACAAAAAAAAACTCAAAATCTTACCAAACTCCGGATTTGCCGTCGTATGTCTGCACCTCACACCAGCCATCATTCGGCCTTTTCTCAACCTCTTCGCCGGTGGTTCATCATCTTTTTCGTCGGTGATGTCAATGATTTCCACCTGCTTTTGCTCAAATTCTCGTTTCACTTCGGGTTTGTTTTCTTCTTTGGGGTCGACCAGTATGATATCCTCGGTATCTGCGGATTTCTCCAGATCCAAAAATTTTTCTTTGAATGGGAGAAGCCATTTGAGGTAAATGTCACGGAGATTTGTGCCATTATAGGCGTTGAAGCCGAGGGTTCGGGCAATATCCGCCCAGCCATGGGCTTTGGTGACTTGAGTGTGGCCATTTTGGCCTTGGACTAGCTGAAATTTGCCATGGATAATATAAAATTTCTCTCAAATCAATGACTAAAAGCTTGATAAAGACCAATCAAAGCTTGTTTAGAGCCAAGTCGTATATATTTTTGCAAAAAAAACTTTTTAAGCCAAAACTACAAAAATTTTCTCATGGATAATATAATATTGCCAAAGAACCTCAAAATTGCAAAAAACAACGTCTAAATTGGATTATTACGAACATAATCAACTTCAATCGTCTCGTAGGATTAGCTGACTTCATCAGTTATAAAAAAAAATAACTTTGGATTAGCGAGAAGACGTAAGAAAAATAAAATTTTGCAAAAAGGAATTCATAAATTTAATTCCCAACGAAATCCAAGGCAATTTCAGACTCATTACAGTGAGATTTGATAAGAAATTACCTCACTTTTCGACAAAAAATTTTAAATTTCTCATGGATAATATAAATTTTCAAAAAATCTGTTATAAAATTTTTATGCTTGTCCAAAACAGGCCAAAACAAGTTCGAAATTCCCTTTCGTAGCCTAAAAAACTCAAAAAATCTATTCACAACCCAACTCACTTCGTATAACCGTTTCATATCCACATAACAATCGTTGATGTAGGGCCAGGTGAAATGGACCTCAAAGTTGGACCAAAACAACTCCAACTTCTTGATGAAATACATCCGATCCCGGCACAGCATGTCTATTCCGCAGAGCTTCTGGAAGCGGGTGTCGATCACGTACGTGTCCGGGTTTATGACGCATTTATGGTTGAAGGCGCCGCGAGGTGGGACAATTTTGATGACGCCCTCTTTTTCGGCCTCATCGCGGATGGAATGGATGTAGCGGATTGGATCCTTGAACTCGTGGGGAGTGGGGTAGTAGGTCTTGGCTTCCGGCGGCGGTCGGAAGGCTTGGTAAAGGCCCAAGATTCGCTTCTCCATGTTGGTTACCTCATCCACTAAAAATTTTTTCAATTTTTGAAAATTTCAGTAAAGTTATCAAAAAGCTGGGGGGAAAATTGGCTCGAGAACTTTGTAAACGACATTACACATCTATGGAAACGATTTATTTACCGAAATAAAGCGTCAAATTGGCCTAAAATCGACCCTCAACAGACCCCGCCTGGTGTAATATAAAAGAGCAAACAAAAAGAATAAAAAATGAGTCAATCTCGAGGATAAGGGCTCCCTTTCGACTTCTAGCCTTTTTCAGATAACAAAAATGTTGTCTGAACATCCAATTTTTTGGGTGTAGACCTTAAAACAAAAAGCTCGAAATTTTTATTAAATTTTGATACTGCCCTCCAAATACCAGCCTAAAATGATCGATATACCCGTTTTAAGACTCATTCTCCCACTCACAAACTGCCAACAATAGATTTTGGATATCAAAATATCGAAAGTCTTCCAAGAATACCCCTGTTGTTCAATATCTACGTGATTTTCAATCGAATACCCATATTCCCCTGCCCTTCCTCAAGGACGGGGCTCTTGGGCACTCCCGCAGACCCGCCGAAGGTTTCGAAATTTCCCTAAAACCGAAAGAACAAAGAAAAACGGACAACTTACAATCAGGCACGGGAAGTTGGACTCGGGCTGCACCTGAAATCGTCGAAAATAAGTCGATAAAACATGATCAACCCGACGCGAACCGCCGACTCCCATCGGCCATGTGACCATGGTAACTCGCACAAAATTGATTATCACGGCCCCCGCGGGGCCACACGGCTAATTAGCTGTGGCGCAAAAAATTGAAAAATATTATAGTAGTCGAGAGCCGGATTATCCCTACAATAAGAAAGGCCCATATATAAAACGCGGAACGCTCCTGGAAAGACGCACGTATATTCGACAAGCGCCTGCTCTCTTCCCTCGCTCCACACCGCACAAATTTTCCAGTTTTCGTCTTCGTCGGGAGAAAATCTTCCACCCAACAAACCCCCCGCCATGTATAATATAAATGAGCAAATAATATGGGGATTTGGGACCGGAAGACGAGCGAATTTCGCGGATTACACCACTGGCTTCTGGGAAATCGCAAATCCTAAAAGATGAAGAGAAAAATAAAAGGATTTACCTTGGCGGGAGCTAAAGTAATATATCGGACCTAAAATAATATTAAAACCTCGTTTCTGACAGTTTCAGTAGGATAAACCCGGTGATTCGAGAATTATGCCCATAGAAATGGGTAAACTGCACCATTCTGCTTTTCCTCACGTCAACCACAAAAAGAAATTATTCGGGTCAAGTCTTCCTCTCAACTTTTGCGTCAACTCTTCCACTATGTGCAATATTCCTCGTATTGCAAATGAAAACGCCTGAATAAGGGAAAATTCTATATTGTCGGATAAAGAATACTGTTTATTATGCAATATGAAAACTTTTTATACCAAAATTTTTGCGAGATCATCACTTTTCAAGCTCTCAAAAAATTTTCGTCACAAGTACAAGGTTATGGACAATAATTTCGGCCAAACGTCTCTTTTATAGTGGACTGGCTGAGCTCCGATTTTGAGGATAGGATCCGCATGGCTGCTAGTTCCTGAAAATCAACCGTAATCACGTGATTTCAGACCAAAATTTATCAAAAACGAGGACTCACATTTGTCAGAGGTGTAACGATATGTGAATGGGCGTATTCCCGAGCCGCACTCAAGTCATCGGCCGTGATTTTGACCTCGGGGAAGAGCAGACGAATGTCTCTTTGAGCGTCGATGATATTGGCGCTCGCGTAAACGCCGGGCCTATTGATTTTGCTGTAAAAAAGTAACCATTTCAATGCAAACGCTTACTTTTTACAGACCAAATTATGGAATTTGGCCATTTCCCTTCCCGCTTCAATCGAATTCCTCCTGTTTAGCAGTAAAATCAGCGACGTTCCGTTGGCAAATTGAGCGGCAAAGTCGGCGGGAACCCGGCTGGAAAGCCAGTCGTCCACCGTAATGTCGTCGAGGCGGACGCGTTTTTGCTAAAGCGGCAAATCTCGATGTGCATATGTCATAATGTTATACATGATGTCATATTACCGGTATGTCTGGAAAAGAATGTGGATTTGTCGCAGAAAAGTGGATCGCGTCGTCGCTGTCGCGAACCAAACCCCCCAGCTGAGGCTGGCTGCCTCAAAGCAATGGGTGGGTCCAAGCCGCGATGAATCCACATTATTTTCCCGACAGACTATAGTATTTATTTTTATAAAGTGCATAACCATTTTTTTTGCGTCCCGCACCGTGCACAAAACACCCCATTTTGCACTGTGCATTTCAACTTTTTTTTGCTTTTGCACTGTGCGTTGGCGATAAGCCTTGGAAAAAGTTCAAAATGCACAGTGCAAACGGCTTTTTTGAGGTTTGCACTGTGCGAAAAAAGGGAAACGCACTGTGCGTTGGCGACAAGCGTGGGAAAAAGTTGAAGATGCACTGTGCGTTGGCGATAACCTGGGAAAAAATTCAAGATGCACAGTGCAACGTTTTTTTTTGAGGTTTGCACTGTGCGAAAAAAAGTTGAAGATGCACTGTGCATTGGCGACAAGCGTGGAAAAACAATAAAATGCACAGTGCAAACGGATTTTTTGATTTCTGCACTGTGCGAAAAGAGAAAAAAATGCACTGTGCATTGACGACAAGCGTGGGAAAAAATTCAAAATGCACTATGCGAAAGTAAAAAAATGTCCATGCACTTTATGAAAATACGAAAAAATAGTTCCAGTCCTACCTTGACGACAGAAAATCCCGTGTTCAGAATGTCATCAAAAAGCTCCTCTTCCACCAGATTCCCCGGACTGGAAGTCAGATACTGCGAGCAGACGGCCAACACCACGTGCTGCTTGCATTTGTCGCATTTGTGTTCGGTATCTTTGTAGAATTTGCGGAACATTTTCGAGCTGAAAGAAGTCAAATATGTAATGGCGTTTGCACGGTGCGAAAAAAATCAGGGTGCGAGCGGCAGCCCGAAAAAGTCATTTGCACGGTGCAAAAAGCAAGAATTTGCACGGTGCAAAGTGAGCTTTTGTTTTCGCACAGGGCATGTCGCCGAAATCACTTCCGTGACATGCACAGTGCAGGAAAAGTCTGGTTGCGAGCGACAGCCCAAAAAAGGTTATTGCACTGTGCAAAGTGAGCTTTTGTTTTCGCACAGGGCATGTCGCCGGACTATTTTTTTGCGTTTGCACGGTGCGAAAAAATCAAGGTGAGCGACAGCCCGAAAAAGTTGCTTGCACGGTGCAAAAAGCAAGAATTTGCACAGTGCAATGTGAACTTTTGTTTTCGCACAGTGCATGTCGCCGAAATCACTCCAGCGACATGCACGGTGCAGGAAATGTCAGGGTGCAAGCGAGAGCCCGAAAAGCTTATTGCACGGTGCAAAAAGCAACATGTTGCACAGTGCAAAGTGAACTTTTGTTTTCGCACAGTGCACGTCGCCGAAATCACTAAATTGCACAGTGCAAGGTGACCTTTTGTTTTTCGCACAGTGCATGTCGCCGAAATCACTCCAGCGGCTTTGCGAACGGACTTATGCCCTGTAAGGACCAAAGTTTCGTTTCAAGTAACTGAACCTTTCAAAACTAAAATTTTTTTTGGAAGTTGGCGACTTTTTATAGTCCTATAAGACCCAAATAAAGCAACAAAGTTCACCTCAGATTTGAACCCAAAAATGTAAAAATGACCTCGATTTGGACTCACTTTGCGGCGTTTCGTCGGGAAACCGGAAGGAATTCACGCTCGAACGGCCAAGCCCGACAATTTCGGGGCTTTGAGACACGCGGAATGTCACATACAAACCAAGAACCCTCCAATTATTTTTGATGTTTTGATCTTTCGTTCCATTTCGTAGCCAAAAAAACAACAGTGCACGGGAACTTTGAAGAGGCGCTTATCTGATACGGTATTTTCGGTTAAATACGAAAAACGGGGGAAATTGCGGAGAAAAGTGGAAGATTAAGTAAGTTATTGGTAAATATGAGGCAAGAACATACGAAAATTAAGGTAATTCAAAGTATTTATGATTGTATTTCAAGGGGTAAACGAAATTAAAAATTTGAAAAAATTGAAAAAAAAAAGGCAAGGGGGGACCAAGGTAAAATTTTCCAAAAAAAATCGCTCGTTTTTTTATGAAACTTGGCCCAAATTCATCGTTCAATTTCTGAAGACATAGTTGAAAATTTTAGCTCTCACTTTTCAAAAGCAATCTAAATTTTGAAGCTGAAATTTGTCGATAATCGTAAAAAAATTATGGTGAGGGGGGACCAAGGCAAAAAAAAAAATTGTTGGTTTTTTTGTAAAACCTGGCTCAAATTCACTGTTGAATTTATGAGGACATAGTTGAAAGTTTTAGCTCTCGCTTTTCAAAAGCAATCTAAATTTTGAAGCTGAAATTTGTCAAAAATCCTAAAAAATTATGGTAAGGGGGGACCAAGGCAAAATTTTTCAAAAACTCAGAAAAAAAATCGCTCGATTTTTTGTAAAATTTGGCTCAAATTCTCTGTTGAATCTCTGAAGACATAGTTAAAAGTTTTAGCTCTCGTTTTAAAAGCAATCAAAATTTTAAAGCTGAAATTTGTCAAAAATCTAAAAAAAAATTATGGTAAGGGGGGACCAAGGCAAATTTTTTCAAAAAATCAAAAAAAATCGCTCGGTTTTTTTTCTGAAACTTGGTTCAAATTCACTATTGAATTTCATAAGACATTGTTAGAAATTTTAGATCTGGCTTTTCAAAAGCAATCTAAATTTTGAAGCTGAAATTTGTCGATAATCGTAAAAAAATTATGGTAAGGGACCAAGGCAAAATTTTTCAAAAAAAAAAATCGCTCGGTTTTTTGTAAAACTTGGCTCAAATTCATTGTTGAATTTCATAAGACATTGTTAGAAATTTTGATTCTCGCTTTGCAAAAGCAATCTAAATTTTAAAGCCGAAATTTGTCAAAAATCCTAAAATTTTCAAATTACGCCTTGTAGATTTGGTTGATACTTTTCTCACAGGTTGTGTCCATCTTGTATATCATTTCCTGAAAGTTTTAGTTCACGCTTTGCAGAGAGAGCTGAGATATTCAACGATCTTTGCCGACGAGAGAGTACACGAAGTGCGGAGAGCGGTCAGAGAGAAACCACTTTTTTGCCCGTATCTTTGCCAGTTTTGAACGGAAAAAATTGATTTTTGGTGGAAACATTACTCTCTACAGTAGAAATAGGTATGAAATTTTTTATGGCAAAATTCGCCAAAAAAATTTCATAATTTTTTCAACATTCGATCTAAAAATCTTGGTAGTTTTCGCAAAGCGTGAGCTAGAAGTCTCGCATATGTCTTACAAGGGAATGGTCTGAACTTCCCCCAGCGTTAAGGAAAATGACTATTACAGGTGGATAGAGCAGGTCGACTTTGGTAGAAAAAGGCAATTTCCAGCTGCAAAATAAGCCCGGCCGACGAGAAAAATCGACCGAAAGTTCCACAAAAATTTCCTCTTTCTCTTCCCTCGGAAAAGAAGAGGAGCGTCCTGTGGTTCGGTTGGTCGAGTGGATAGAGTGTCCGCTCGATACCCTTTTGGGGGTTGGTTCGATTCCGGGGCAGCGCGAGTGGCTCTGGTAAGGCTTCAGTGACCAAGACAAACTCTTGTGAACCAAAAAAAAATATTTTTCAATTTTTCGATTTTCTAGAGATCATAAAACACATAAAAAAAGGATTTCCATGTAAATTCCGTCAATTTTTTCTGGAAGATTCCAGAACGTTCCCAATCATACTCCAATAAGGAGCAAACTGAAGCACATCGGGGGTTTTGACAAACGTCCACTAGTGTTCGGAAAACAGACAGTCCATGGCCAGACTATTGAATATGACTGGAACCGTTCTGGAATCTTACAGAAAAAATGGAGGAATTTACATAAAAATCCTTTATTATTATGTGTTTTATGATCTCTAGAAAATCTAAAAATTGAAAAATAATTTTTTTTTTGTTCACAAGAGTTTGTCTTGGTCACTGAAGCCTTACCAGAGCCGCTCGCGCTGCCCCGGAATCGAACCAACCCCCAAAAGGGTATCGAGCGGACGCTCTATCCACTCGACCAACCGAACCACTGGACGCTCCTCTTTTTTTCCGAGGGAAGAGAAAGAGGAAATTTTTCTGAACTTTCGGTCGATTTTTCTCGTCGGACGTGCTTATTTTGCAGCTGGAAATTGCCTTTTTCTACCAAAGTCGACCTGCTCTATCCACCTGTAATAGTCATTTTCCTTAACGCTGGGGGAAGTTCAGACCATTCCCTTGTTAGAAAAAATTATTCTACATTTTGTTCCATATTTTATCAAAATCCGAGCGTCGCACTTGCCCTGTAAACCCCAAAAATATTTCCAAAATTTCGTACTCTCCGTCTTTCCTGGCCTTCAAGTGGTCTTTCAACGTCATCGATTCTTATCAGCGCCGCTGTTTTCGAACGCTAAACTGAAGAACCAAAAAAAAATGATTGTGTCCGAAATTACGTCGCAAGGTCAAAAAGGACCATATATTTTTTTTTATTTTTTTTTTGTAACGTTCAACTTTACACTAATTCTTTGAGCAAATGGCTTTTCGTGAATAAAAGAAAAAGAGAGTTTATAACAATAACTTGTGATTTACGGTCGGAAAGTTCGGTAAAATACAAAATTCAGAGATAATGAGAAATTTTACAACGATTTTTTGGACGAAAACTGGTTGTTTTTGTTGTGGTATGTAGTCAAACCTATCGCAGAAAATACGGCTTTTTTGATGACTTTCCGCCTATAAAAAATTGAATTTTAAGGAAAATTGCCTAAGGCAAAATTATTGAAAATTTCGTCAGCATGATTTTTCTAGGCCAATAAATATATTTCAAAGATTTTTAGCTCATGCTTTGCAACGGCATCCGAGATATTCAGCGATCTTTCGAGAGAGTACGCGAAATGCGGAGAGCGGTCAGAGAAAAAACTCTTTTTGGCCGTATCCTTGCCAGTTTCGCGCTGAAAAACTTGATTTTTTGTGGAAACGTTATACTCTACGGTAGAAAAAGGCATGAAACTTTTCGTGCCAAAATTCACAAAATTTTTTTATTTTTTGGATGATTTTTGATCTAAAAAATCTCGATCAATTCTGCAAATCGCGTGCTAGGAATATTGCATATATCTTATAAATGGTGGCCTAAATTTTTCAAAAGTCTTTTTTAAAACGTGAAATATAAAAAAACCCATATAATAAACATGTTGATAATACAAAACGATAATCATCACCCACAAGTTGATGCTATAAATAATTTTAAATATCAACCCATTAAATTTCCTATGATATCACTTCCTACACTACAATTCAAAAGCTAAAATAGAGTTTTTTTCAAACGATGACCATTTCAGGTCAATGTAAAAAGAGGAAAAATCAAAAAAAATTCAAAAAAATATCCAAAGGGGGGACCAAGGCATCGAAAATTTTAGGTCAAAAAAAATTAATTTTTCTTGAACTTCTAAATATGAAAAATAAAAAATTTTTTTTTGACCATTACTAGGCTTTTCGTAAAGCCGCTGGACTGAAATCGGCGACACAAACTGCGCAAAAAACAAAAGTTTTCTTTGCACTGTGCAATTTCTTGCTTTTTGCACCGTGCAATAGGCTTTTTTCGGGCTGACTTTTCCGCACTTTGCAAACGCTAAAAACGCCAAAAAATAGTCCAGAGACTTTCAGGACCAGTAGAGTAGAAGTTGTATATAAAAAATCGGGTTTTCCACAAAGAGTATGGCCAAATATTTTACTGCCCATTTCGCCTCATTTAGCTTGCAAAGATCGTTGAATATCTCGGCTGTGATTGCAAGGCAGAAGCTGAAATTTCCAGAGAACAAAATAGACCATAGACAGACCAAATGGGTAAAATACGAAGAAATTCTGAGAGTCCGTCTTTTAGAACCAACCTTTTTAGCCAAAAAACCCGTTGAAAATTCAAAAAAAGAAACTTTTTTTAGTTTTCCATCGAATTTTTGGATTTTTCCCCAAAAAATTATTTGAAATAACTTTGAAAAGCCTACTACAACCATATCAACTCTTTCTAAATGCAGCTATTTTTTCAAAATTTCCAAAAAATCTCCTCCCAAATATTGTTCATCATTGATCTCTCCGGCTCCAAATCGAACGTATTTCCCGGTCTTTTTTGGTCGTTCGACGTCATCGCTCGATTCCATGTTCTCTGCCACACGTGTTTTCTTCTGCTCCACGAATAAACAAAGGGAAATTTGAAGGGAAAATGACCCCAAAACAAGCCGAGGGCGGAGCCCGATCGACGGTTAAAAAGGGTCAGCGCGAAGGGAAAGCGACCTGATTAGACGGGCGACACGCCGGGCTGGTTTATTAAAATTAAGCGTAGAGGGGATTTAAGGGGCTGAAAATTACATTAAGACGCCTTTAATGTCTTTTTAGGGAGAAAAATTACTTTAGTCATCAAAAATTGGAATTTTTGGAAAAAAAGTGAATATCTCAATGGTCAATTTTTTGATTCGCTTCAAAATTTTCACAAGTCATCTGTATACTTCACATTTCAATCGCTGAAAATTTGAGCAAAAGTTTTGCAACGAGCGCCGAGATATCCAACAATCTTTAGAGAGCATGCAAAATGAAGAGACGGGAAGAGAAAAGGTGTTTTTTGGCTAAAGTCTGCGGATTCCGTTTAGAAAAAGAATATTTTTAGCATATAAATTGTAATCTATATCATAGATATGATTTTTAATTTGAAAAATGGACGAATTTTTGAAATTTTTTGATTTTCCGACATAAAAATCTCGTTGATTTCTGCAAAGTGCAAGCTAAAAATCTGCGATATGTTATAGGAAATATTAAGTTTAGTTTATACCAAGTTTTATCAAAATCTGCGGACATAAAAAAAATTTTTTTTTGGCGATGACTTTTGATCTCTAAAACAAGGTAAAAACTGATGATTTCGCACAAAATTTGATTATTTCAACCTTTTCATTGCTTTTTAAATATTTTTCAACTTATATTCTCCCATATTTCCTCTAGATTTCATTGATATTCAGCCAGCTTCCACCCGGAATTTCAAAATTTTGCGGAAAATCGGGAAGTAAATCATATTTTTCGATCTTTTTTTGATATTTTCGTCAAAATACTAAAGATTGGTTGTTTTGCAGGGCTGTCAACGACTTTTTGCTGTCGAAATAAGCTGTTTTCCGCATCCTCGATTCGTTTATCATGTTGTTTTCCACCAATTTCCCCTCCAAATATACGAAAATTGTTGATTGAAAATGCCCTAACTTCGACCTTTTAGATCAAATTTTCTCGGTTCCCCTGATAAGAAGGAGACCTTAGACACACAAAGGGAGTTGAATCACGCTGTAAACAAGAGTTTTTGATCTGTGGAAACGTATTTTTGATGGGTTGCTCAAGTCATTACAAAATGAAAAAAAAAATAATTTTGAAATTATAGTAGGAAAATTTAGGAAGGGCATTTTCTGGGGGCAGAGTAGAATTTCGTAAGGTATATGAGAGATTTTTAGCTTGCGCTTTGCAAAAATTATCGAAATTTTTAAGTCGAAAAAATTGAAAAAAATGAACAGGGGGGACCAAGGTCATTTTTTTGAATATGAAATTTTTGATTTAAAAAAAATACATTTGGAAAAATAAAAGATAATAAAAATTGACGTTTTCTAAGGGTATATGTGAGATTTTTAGCTTGCGCTTTGCAAAAATTATCGAAATTTTTAAGTCGAAAAAATTGAAAAAAATGAACAGGGGGACCAAGGTCATTTTTTTTTAATATGAAATTTCGGATTTAAAAAAAAAATGCAATAGGAAAAATAAAAAATAATAAATATTGACGTTTTCCAAGGTATATGAGAGATTTTTAGCTTGCGCTTTGCAAAAATTATCGAAATTTTTAAGTCGAAAAAATTGAAAAAAATGAACAGGGGGGACCAAGGTCATTTTTTTGAATATGAAATTTTTGATTTAAAAAAAATACATTTGGAAAAATAAAAGATAATAAAAATTGACGTTTTCTAAGGGTATATGTGAGATTTTTAGCTTGCGCTTTGCAAAAATTATCGAAATTTTTAAGTCGAAAAAATTGAAAAAAATGAACAGGGGGACCAAGGTCATTTTTTTTTAATATGAAATTTCGGATTTAAAAAAAAAATGCAATAGGAAAAATAAAAAATAATAAATATTGACGTTTTCCAAGGTATATGTGAGATTTTTAGCTTGCGCTTTGCAAAAATTATCGAAATTTTTAAGTCGAAAAAATTGAAAAAAATTAACAGGGGGGACCAAGGTCATTTTTTTGGATCAGAAATTTCGGATTTAAAAAAATACATTTGGAAAAATAAAAAATAATAAAGATTGACGTTTTCTAAGGTATATGAGAGATTTTTAGCTTGCGTTTTGCAGAAATGAATGAGTTTTTAAGCCGAAATTTCTAAAAAAAAAATTTGATTTTTTTTTTGATTTTTCCCCGAAAATGACTTGTTTTACCTGTAATCGTGACTATAATTCCTATTAAAATACTAAACTCGGTTTTCAGAAATCAAAAAACCATGAGAATCGCGATTATCGGAAAGTCGGCGTTCGGCGCGGATGTCTACAAACGGCTGATCGAGAATGGCCATAACGTCGTTCTGGTGTGCACTGAGTTGGATAAAAACGGACGAGCTGACCTTTTGGGTGAGTTTTTTAGTTTTAAATAGTATTTTTACAATTTAGAGGGAAATTGAGAGGAAATCTTGGAAAAAAGTTGAAAAATCAATAAGATTACTGAGTTTTCGGAGAAAAAATTGGTGAAAAATCCGAAGATTAAAGAATCAAAGACTTGAAAAATCAATTTTCTGTTGTCCTACATTCTTATTTTGGCTAAAATTTGCATAAAACTAAAAAATGATGACTCAAGAAATTTCCGATTTTTTCGACCAAAAAATCGGTTAAAATCTCAAAAAAAAATTAGTAATACCCCTGCAGGGCCCTGAAAAATCAATTTTCCTCCTTTTCCGACAATTTTATAACAAAAAATTTGCATATTTTCCCTAAAAATCGCAATTTTTAGCCTTGGAAGCGGAGAAAAATGGAACTCCCGTCATCAAATGTAAATCCTGGCGTCGCAAAAACGCGCAAGGCAAATTCGAAGTGATCCCCGAGCTCTTCGAACAGTACAAGAGCTACAAACCCGACCTGAACGTCCTCCCCTTCTGCACTCAATTTATTCCGTCGGAAATCCAGGACTACCCCAAACATCGGACCATCATCTATCATCCGTCCATTCTGCCGGCGCATAGGTAAGGTTTTTGAGCGATTTTTGGGCTGAAAATGATATTATGTGTAGCTTGATTTTTGACAACACTGATAGCTTGCTGATTATGGCATATCTTTTTTTTTTGAAAAAAAAAATTGGTAAGGGGGGACCAAGGCAATTTTTTGGAATTTTCAGCGTGGTAGGATATTTTTTTGGGCTGAAAATTATGTGATCTGTAGCTTGATGAGCTTTGCTGACAATATGAATCAGAATTTGCTGATTATGGCATATCTTTGCAAAAATTTTTTTGAAAATTTGGTAAGGGGGGACCAAGGCAATTTTTTTTGAATTTTCACCGCGGTTGGACGAATTTTTTGGGCTGAAAATGATGTGATATGCGCCTTGATGAACTTTTTTTTCAACTCTGATTAACGCTTTCTGATTATGGAATATCTTTGCAAAAAAATTTTTTTTTTTTTGAAAAAAATGATGAGAGGGGACCAAGGCCATTTTTTTGGAATTTTCAGCGCGGTAGGACAGTTTCTTGGGCTGAAATTGGGATGATGGGTAACTTGATGAACTTTTCTGTCAGCTCTGATTAACTCTTGCTGATTATGGCATATCTTTGCAAAAATTTTTTTTGAATAATTGGTAAGGGGGGACCAAGGCAATTTTTTTGGAATTTTCAGTGCGATAATCCTCAAATTTTGATGACATTTTGGAAAGATACAATGTAAATTTTACTATGGTATGTAAGGAATTTTTTTCTTGCGATTTGCAGAGCTCAGAAAGATTTTTTGGTCGAAAAATTTCAAAATTAAAAAATTTTTTAAATCTTGGAATTTAAAAAAAATTGTTTTTTTTCGGAAATTTATTGTCTACATAGAATTTTTTTAGACCTAAAAATATTTAAAATGTATTAAAAATAATTAAAAATCATTTCCAGAGGTGCCTCGGCCATTTCCTGGACCTTAATCGAGGGCGACGAAGAGGCCGGACTCTCCATTTTCTGGGCCGACGATGGCCTCGACACTGGCCCGATCCTGCTCCAAAAGAAGTGCAAAGTGGAGGAGAACGACACGCTGAACACGCTCTACAAGCGTTTCCTCTACCCGGAGGGCGTCAAAGCCTGTGTTGAGGCGGTGAAGTTGATCACCGACGGGACGGCCCCTCGAATTGTGCAGCCCGAAGAGGGCGCCTCATATGAGCCCTACATCACGGCCAAACCCGAGCTGGCCGAGATCAAATGGGACAAGCTGGACACGCAGCGCAAGCTGCACAACTTTATTCGCGGCTGCGACTCGGTGCCGGGCGCCTGGACCACGCTGAACGGACAGAAGGTCCAGCTGTTCGGGTCGAGTTTGTGGAAAAGATTTGAGGTTCCCGGCAATGCCAAGGAAGTCAAGGCTGAAGGAGCGCCTGGAGGAGTGGTTTGGACGCACGATAAAGGTAAATCAAGTTGTTGAAAAATCCAAAAAAATGAAAAAAAAAATTTTTTGGCCGAAAAAAATTGAGGTATCCCAAAAAAGGTCTTGATTTTTTTGGAATTTGGCCGAAATTTAGCCTTTTCAGTCAAAATTAGTTTTATTTTCAAAAAAAAAAAAAAAAAAAAAAAAAAATCATTTTTTGCGATAAAAATTTCAGTATCTATCCTCAATGAACATTAAAATATACATGCAAAAATTCAATTTTTTCCGAGCAAAATTCGCAAAGATATAAGAAAAAATTTTTTTTGTATGACCGACTCTCCTCATTTTTCGTGCTCTCTAAAAAAATATTATTTCTCGGCTGCCGCTGACAAGAGCGAGCTGAAATTTTCAGAGAGTGATATGAAGGTTATTTAGTTTTTTACCCTCAAGGGACATCTTTTTTTCAGAAAAAAAAAATCAGAAAAAAAAATTTTTTAATCTCGGAAAATATGAGAAAATAAGGAAATTCCGGATTTTTCCGGGAAAAAAACGACGAAAAATCGATGAACTAGACAGTCAGAGGCCTGAAAAATATATTTACTTTGGTGGTCTGTTATTTTACATAGCAAACTTTGCATAAAATTGAAAATTAAGGTCAAAATCATCAAAAATTTTCGAATTTCAAAAAAAAATTATTATAAACCCCATAAACGGCCATGAAATTTCCAGGTCTCCTCTTCAAAACCGCCGACGGTCGTTATGTGAACGTTGAGAACCTGAAATACGAGGATGGCCGGATGATCAAGGCCAACAAATTCGGAGCCACGACGAACGGCGTCGACGAAAAAGTGGAGCTCTCGGAGGAGGAGAAAAAGTTGGTCGAGCCCATCCGCGCTGCCTGGTCGGACATCTTGGGCGGCGCCAAGATCACGGAGACCACCAACTTTTTCGATGAGGGCGCAACTAGCGCCGACCTGACCCGGCTGGTAGAAGAAGTGAAGGATATTAGTGGAATTGGCCTCGAAAATGCCGAAGTTTATATGTGCCCAACGTTCGAGGAGTTTGTCACAGTCGTGGTGAAGAAATTGCGGGGCGATGACAAGCCCAAAATCGAGTTTAAAAAGGTAAATTTTTTGGGGTGGAAAAATGGTAAGGGGGGACCAAGGCAAATTTTCGGCGGAAATTTATTTTTCGGATTTCGATTAAAAATTGTGAAATTTGAGAGTGTCAAAGACGTACTTAAGATTTTTATCTGGCATTTTGCAGAAACTCCGAGAATTTTAGACCAAAAAATAAAAAAAAAGATTGAGAAAAAAATGGTAATGGGGACCAAGGCAAAATTTTCGGCGGAAATTTTTTTTCCGGATTTCGATAAAACTTTGCCCAAGTTATGAGTAGAACCTAACGGCACATTTCTGAACTTTTTAGCTCGCTCTTTGCAGAATACACCGAGATTTTTCGGAAAAAAAATTGCGAAACACTCGAAAAAATGGTAAGGGGGGACCAAGGCAAACTTTCTAAAAAAATTTTTTTTGGATTTCATTAAAAATTTGGTGCAATTTGAGAGTAGCATTTTCAAAGACGTTGTCAAGATTTTTACCTGGCATCTTGCAGAAACACCGAGAATTTTAGACCAAAAAATTTGAGAAAAAATCGAAGAAAATGGTAAGGGGGGACCAAGGCAAACTTTCCAAAAAATTTTTTTCGTATTTGGATAAAAACTTGGTCAATTTGAGAGTAGAACATAAAAACACATTTTTGAGATTTTTAGCTCGCGCTTTTCAAAGCGCACCGAGATTTTCGAAAAAAAAAATTTTGATTCTCAAAGTAAAACTTGGCTCATTTTAGTTGGAACTTCACGTCAACAACATGGACGTGGTGATCCCAATCCAATCCCTGATCAATGGGGAATTCACCGACTCCTCCACCGGCGAAACCATGCCCACGATTGATCCCAGCACCGAGGAAGTCATCTGCCACGTGCCCAAATGCACTCCGGCCGACGTGGATCGGGCGGTGCGCGCTGCGGACGAGGCCTTCCACTACGGCGAATGGTCGAAGATCTCGCCCAGAGAGCGCGGAAGGCTCATGTACCGGTTGGCCGACCTCATGGAGCAGCATCGCGAAGAGCTGGCCACAATCGAGGCCATCGACGCCGGAGCCGTGTACACGTTGGCGCTGAAGACGCATGTTGGCATGAGCATCGAGGTGTGGAGGTATTTCGCGGGATGGTGCGACAAAATCCATGTAAGTTGGGAATTTTGCAGAAAACATGGAGATTTTTAGACCAAACAAAACAAAAAATTTTTGAAAAAAATGGTAAGGGGGGACCAAGGCAAATTTTTGTCGGATTTTTTGACCAAACAAAATAAAAAAATTTTGAAAAAAATGGTAAGGGTAAGGGGGGACCAAGGCAAATTTTTGTCGGATTTCGATAAAAACTTGGAGGTGTAGAGATATTTCGCGGGATGGTGCGACGAAATCCATGTAAGTTGGGACAAAAATGGGATGTAAAGCAAAGAAAAATTCTTTTTAGATTTTTTGCAATTTTGAAAAAATCGTGAAAAATGGTAAGGGGGGACCAAGGCAAATTTTTGTCGGATTTCGATAAAAACTTGGAGGTGTGGATAGTGCGACAAAATCCATGTAAGTTGGGACAAAAAAAGGTATGTAAATCAAAGAAAAACTCTTTTTAGATTTTTTGGAATTTGAGAAAAAGTCGAAAAAATGGTAAGGGGGGACCAAGGCAAATTTCTGTCGGAATTTTTTTCGGATTTCAATAAAAACTTGGTACAATTTGAAAGTAGGATTGTCAAAGACATAGGTCAAGATTTTTACCTGGAATTTTGCAGAAAACACCGATAATTTTAGACCAAAAAAAAAATAAAAAAAATTTCGAAAAAATGAATAGGGGGGACCAAGGCATAAAATTTCAAATTTCAAAAAATAAAATTTCAACTCGAATTTTCAAAAAAGTTTCGAGAATTTATTTCTGGCCTATCTAGAATATCCTTGCCAAATTTCATCAAAATCCGAGCTTTTTGCCTCAGGCATTCTTTCGAAAAAAATTACCAAAATAGATAATAATAGCAACGAAAGCCATCGAAACAAAGTTTAAAGCGCCTTCCAAAACGTAATTCCAAGTTTTATTAACCTTATAAAATAATTGAGTACAGTAATAAGTTACAACACCAAACTTGAGATAATTTACATTCCAAAACTGAGTATAATTCTTCCAAAAACTGCTGATTTACATTCCATAGGGGTTCGAATTGACGAGTCGTCGCATACGACGGGTATTTCTGTCCTGATCTCTCATTTTCTTTTCGATTTCGGCATCAGTGAGCGTTTCCAAAAATGGTCCCCAGTGTTCGGCGTCTGACGGGGAACGATAGGGGCATGTCACTATAGGGAGAGGAGACTCACTGAACGCATAAGTCTTCTGATTCCAAGCGATTTGACCTGAGGATAAAAGAAATTTTGCGAAAAAATGATTTTATATATCTAAAATAATATTTTAGGTCAAAACTTGGGGAAGCTAGATCCAAATGTCCCTAAACATCAAAAAAAAAATCTATAAAAGACTCACCTCTGATCGAATAAGCTACAGCGCTCACAAATTCTCCACCTAAACCAAGGTCGGAACACAATTTAACAGCGAATTCCTCGGGGGAATTATTCTTGTCCGAGATGTCCCATTCAAATTGATCCACCAAGGACTGATTTCCCACATGAATATTCAGCTTGATAACCACCCTTTGGTCGGTTCCGGCGGGCTCCAACGGCAATTCTGTGTGAGATTCCAGCTGTTGAACAATGGAATGGGCGATAGCTGGGAGGAAGATGTGAATAGGCAGCTCCAAATCCTCGCAAATTGCTTCTGCCACCATCTCAGGGGTGATGAGCTTCTCATTCTAAAAATTGAACGCAAAAAATGGGAATCACTTACCTTGTTGAAGACGAAAGTGTCTCTCAACTTGATGTTATCCAATTCCATATCCAATCTGATTGGAACCAGCTCCACTGGTTGCTGAGCATTGTCCAACGCTCTGCGATAGGCGTCATCGTCGTCCGGAGGACAACAGAATTGGCGGTTGGTCATACGGCCCTTTTTGTAGGCACTGGGAGTAGAGCAGGGAACTGATTCCAGATGGTGAGAACCGCTGATAACCTGACTAGACGCCCAATTTAGCTGAGTCTTAGCGGCAGTTCGCTGATCCGTCTTTGGCGCACCTAAAAATTCAAGGTTTAGACCATTTTTTGGATATTTCATATTATCCATGAGGCTTGATGTAAAACATCTAAAAACCAAGAAAAATCAAAAAACCTTACCTCCACTAGCTGAAGCTCGATATTTGTCCTCTTGTCCCTCGAAGATCTCGTCGACTTCGGTCTCTTTCAGCAGCATAATCGTCGAATGCATGTAGGCATTGGAGAGGCCCAGCTGCTGAATCGTTTTCTTCTCTTCCGCCGTAGCAATTCGCTTGTAGAGCTGAGGGAAGCGCTTGTAAAGATGCCCACGAGCATACTTTAGGTACTGACCAACTTCCGCACCAATATAATAGCGGTTCCCGTCCTCCAACGCGAAACTTTTGGGCTTCGGACCATAGGTTTTGCTCATTTTGACGGCCTAAAGCAAAATTTTCGTAAAACCAAAGGTAAAATACAAGTATATACAGGGAAAAACACGGAAAATGACGAGAAAATAGTTTTGCGACAAGAAAAAAGCGAGAAATATTATTTTCGACGAACGCTTCGACCCTGACACACAATGCCAAGAGCTGGTTGGCATCCCAATCTTTCGGGGCGGGGCTAAATTTGGGGAGTTGTGTAATACAAAAAAATTTGTGGGCGGGGCTGAAAAGGGCTGTAAAAAGTTTTTCAACTCCATTTTCAGGGTAAACAAATCCCAATTAGCGAAGCTCGACCCAACTTCAACTTGTCGGTGTCATTCCGCGAACCTATTGGTGTTGTTGCACTCATTACACCATGGAATTACCCATTAATGATGTTGTCCTGGAAGATGTCGGCCTGCATTGCGGCTGGAAACACTGTAGTCCACAAACCTGCTCAGGTTTCTCCATTGACGGCGTTGAAGTTTGCTGAACTCGCGACTAAAGCTGGATTCCCACCCGGTTAGTACCTAAAATAATTTTTGATCGAAATTTTGTTTGTGACGTAACTTGGAATTCATTTTAGGCGTGATCAACGTTCTCACTGGTACTGGCGGAAGCATTGGGCAAGCTTTGGCGGATCATCCAAAGGTCCGCAAGCTCGGATTTACCGGTTCAACTCCAGTCGGCAAGACGATCATGACAAGGTGAATATTTTTGATTTTTCTTGGTTGAACTTTTAGGAAATTGAAACTTTTTTGGTCTCCAAATATTCTATGGAGTGTTTTTCAGCTGTGCCAAGTCGAATCTGAAGAAATGCTCGCTGGAATTGGGTGGAAAATCGCCATTGATCATCTTCAAGGACGTGGACATCAACACGGTCGCCAGGAAGACCTGTGACGCGGTATTCTTCAACAAAGGAGAGAATTGCATAGCTGCTGGACGAATCTTTATTGAGGAATCGATTCATGATCAATTGATTGCGAGGATTGTCGAGATCGCCTCAAAAATGGTTATTGGTCCACCATTGGACAGAAAGACAGATCATGGGCCACAAAATCACCTGGCTCACTTGAAATCACTTGAGAAGTTTGTTGAGAACGCGGTCAAGGATGGTGCGAAGGTTGCGTTTGGTGGGAAGAGGTTGGATCGCAAGGGGTTGTACTTTTATCCGACTGTCCTTACTCATATTGATGATAACAACTTTGCGGCTGATGAAGAGTCGTTCGGCCCGATTATGTGTGTCTCTACCTTCAAGTAGGTTGATTTTTCTTGTTTTTGTTTTGGCTTTTAGGGCATTAAGAGGTCTTGAAAACAGATTGACCAAAAATTTTGGGTGTCAAAGAAAAATTGGAAAATCAAGGATAATTTATGCCTAAAATCTTTGCCGAATCTCCTAAGATAGTGTGTCATTGTATGGTCTCACTGTTTGCTATCTAATTTTACTGAGATTTAGCGATTTTTTAAAGATATGACCCGATATTACACTAGGTATTGATATTAAAATAATTTTTTTCTCTTCAGAGATGTGGATGAAGTCATTGAAAGAGCCAACCGCACCGAATACGGACTTGCCGGTGGTGTATTTTCGAAAGATACGAACTTGGCATTGCGCGTCGCCCGGAGGATTAAAGCCGGAACAATTTTTGTAAATACCTATCAAAAAACGGACGTGGCCGCTCCATTCGGAGGCTTCAAACAAAGCGGATTTGGCAAGGATATGGGAGAAGAGGCGCTAAGCGAATATCTCCAGACCAAAACCGTCACCATGGAGTATTAGGATTACTGTAATTTCTGAGAATTACTGTAGCTTCCAATGATTACTGTATTTTGAATTTTTTAGTTTGTAAAAATTATTGTTTAGAATTTCTAGTGCGATCAAATTGTATTTAAAATTGAAATCCTCAAGTATTCCGCTGCAATTTATATTTAAAATAAATCTTTACTGAAAGTAAAGTCATAGTGATTACTGTAAAAAAAGGAAAGTTTTTTTAAAATAGGCGTGGTCGACTTCTAAACGCTTTTCTCAAAAATCATCTTCTGCTCCCCCTTTTTTGAACACTCCCCTTTGAAGAACCCTCCGCCTTTTTGAACACTCCCCCTCATTTTGAAAATTGAAAAAATGAGGTGTGACATGTTATACGATGGAAATTTTTTTCAAATTGAAAAAATTAGGTGTGACATCTTAATTCGAAAAAAAATTTCCATCGTATAAGATGTCACACATAATTTTTTTTAATTCGAAAAAATTTTTTATCGTATAACATGCCACACCTCGTTTTTTTAATTTTCAAAATGGGGGAGGGTTCAGGCTCAACCGTCAATGTGAGATTCCAAGCTCACGCTTTGCAGAAACAAGTGAGATTTTTAGATCGAAAATTGGCAAAAAATGACAGGTTTTTTGCGAATTTTGGCATGAAAAGTTTTGTCCCTATTTTCACAATTGATTGTAATGTTTCCACCAAAAAATCAATTTTTTCCGCACGAGGCTAGCAAAGATGCTGCCAAGAAGCGTCTCTCTGACCACTCTCCGCGTGTCGCTTGCTCTCTCGGCGGCAAAAATTGTTAAATATCTCGACTGTGCTTGCAAAGCGCGACCTAAAACTTTCATGAATTTGTATTTGGCCTATTCTCGACTTCTGTGCAAAATTTAAAGGAAATCCGAGCGTCGCAAGCCTTCCGTTGTCAGCGGATTTTATATTTTTATTTACAAAGAAGACATGTACAGTGGGGGGACCTGATCAAGTGGCAAAAAACGTACCATTTTGCATCCGGGAAGTATCAAAAATGTGGCAAAATGCTTCCTTTTCCAAGTGAAAAAACTTCGTTTTGAAGGGCTTCTCACAAAAAGAGCGCGCGCGCTTCTGAAATCTGAGTTTTTTCACCTGGGGAGGGAGGTATTTTGCCACATTTTTGATACTTCCCGGATGCAAAATGGTACGTTTTTGCCACTGGATCAGATCCCCCACTGTATCTACATCAATCTAAATTTAAAATAAAACTTTATTAGACTAGAAAAACATGTATGATTCGCACTTCATTTTTACTGAGACAGTGAAATTTTCATTGTATTTCAAAGAACGCTTGAGACCATTTGTACCTGAATAGATGTTACGTAATCTAAATTTACAACTACTACAAATTTTTCAAAAAAAAAATCGAGATGTTAAATATGAAAAAAAATCGAAAATATTGCTCGACCCACGAGAAAGGCACTTTAGACATGAAAAAAACGGAAAAAGATATATTTTCAACACAGATGGCAGTAGTAATTGAATGATACGACCATTACTGTCGCCGCCCCAACCGAAAGCGGGACGATGACGAGGAGCATGGTCAGCAATGAGGTTCGGGTGGAAATTGCGGCTGAAAAAAAGTTATGAATTAGTGGAAAAAATTAGAAAAAAATTAAAAAAAAAAATTGAATTTTTCTAAAAAAATGTTGTCATGCTATTTGAACAGAACAGTAGAATGCTTCTACAAAAAATCACTTTTTTCCGCGGTAAATTCAAAGAGATATTGCCAAAAAAACCATCTTTTCTCTGCCCGTCTCTCCATTTTGTGTACTCTCTCAAAAAAGTTCAATATCTCGACTCCCCCCACTGATTGCGAGCTGAAATTTTCAGTAATTTAACCATGTTTCATGTAGAATATCTATGCTAATTTTCTAGAAAATCGATGCTTTACCCGTTCAGAAATTCGCTATATAACCAAATTTTCACTCACATTTATGATGATGTCCGTCTTCGTCGATATACTCGCCCGGCGGCAAGTCGAATCGATTGAACAGGACCCTGTCCTCATCCTCTGCCGAGTCCTCTCCGAAATCATGCCGATCTCCCCTCGTCATGCTTCCCGCATGCTGCGTGAGGGCGTCCGTCTTCTCCGACTCGGCGCTTTTCGGTTCCGGCGGAGGGACCTCGATCTCGTTTTGAATCGACTCGCGAAGATAGGAAAACGTATTGCAGAAGGGTCTATCGCATGCGCAGACGTCCGCCCAATTGCCAGCACCTTTTTGGCAGCCCAACGGTTCGTCGCCGCAGGTCCGGATCACCGACTGGTCGGGTCGACGGATCCCAACGAGGCACACGGTCCCTTCACAGACCCCGTAGGCGGGTATGCAATGATCGTCCGTGCAGTAGCAGCGAACGGCTGAGGTTACCGGGACACACTGTAGAATAGCCAGTAGACAAACCAGGATTCTGAAGGATAATGGGCTTTTTATCCTTCCAGCAGACCGTAGACTTGAAGGGGATTCAAGGGAAATCCCAGAATTGACCTTTCTCCTTGAACTGGGCAAATGATAAAGATTACTGTATTTCGTGTAAAATACAGTATCCCAGCGGTCTGCATTTTGGCTAGACGGTAGAACAGAGCCTCTTTTACATTCTTGGCCATATACTTTTGCCATTCCTCCATCAGACTGCGCACAATGACCAGTCGACCTTATACTACCCATCAGATCTGAAGGTCTCCTTCGAAGCCACATCCTGACCCCACTTTTCGACAAATCCTGATTGCAAACGCCCTCAAATGAAGTTGATGGTAGATCGAACATGTTGTAAAACCGCAAGCTCTTCCCGACTCAAATATGCAGCATATTTCGTCTGAAATCAAAAATTAGCGGATTTATTATGATGTTTAATGAAAATCTCGGCTACCTCACGCAATTCCCCTACAAATTCACGGGGTTTCTACGACAACGCCCTCGACAAGACGCTATTTGTAGTCGTGTCGAAGATGGAGAGGAATGAGGGTTGTATGCGAAGGAAAAATACAAACTTTGTCATGGATATCAAATGGGGCAAATAAAGGAGAATTAATCGATGCCACCTGTCCCCGAGATTTATTACGTATTGATATATGAGTTCTAGTGTTTTGAGGACAAAAATAGAACAATAACGTTGGGTTTGGCTCATGGAAAATGTAAAAATCTCATTTTTAAGGCAAAAAAATATAGTTTTAAAAAATTTTTGTCATCAAAAATAAGTTTGTTTGCGAAGTTCTTGTCTCTTCAAGTTTTTAGCGGTCAAATAACATGCGAATCAATCGCGAAAGGACAAGCCGATCAACAGACACATTAAACTCGGACGGGAAGATTAATTCGATACAAAGAAGTGGCAAAAAGTCATGTCTTTTGGGGGGACTGACCAAAGCCCCGTAGCGAAAACAATGCAACAATTGAGGGGGAAAAGGTTGAGATAATGGATTCCGGCGACTTTTTTCACCACATACGGCGAAAAATGGCATCTTTAGGCGGTCAAAAGAGGCCAGTTATTTTTAGGGGGAAAAAGTTGGAGATGAGGCTGGGAAAAAGCGAACAAATGGGGGTTCAGGGAAAATTTAGAGGGCTATAGCGATGATAGCAATAAGAATTTGGTAGAATGAAGCGTCTGGGTATCGAATATCGAGTGATTTTCAGTTTGTCGGGAAAATAATAAGCGCTGCGCCGATTGGTCGCTGAAGTGAAAAACAGACATGGCAGGGGCCGGGGCTGGCTTCGGACATTTCGAAAAAAGCCGGGCCGGGATTGGGGCTTCAAATTGGAAATTTTGAGCCTGGCCTTTCAAAAAAAAATTTTCTTGAAACGAAAACTTGGGATGCCAATTTTGGGTTCTTGGCATTCTGCAACAAGAAGTATTTGTGGCTCTACAAGGATCAAAAACAATTTTTTGCTGTTGGAAATTTTCTGGTGACGGTAAAACACCCTTATAACAAGCCAGAAACAGAATGCCAAAAAATTGCCAAAATGGCGGGAAAATTTTAATTCAAAAATATCTTTAAAAAATCGTTTTTTGGAGCCGGGCTTGGCCTGAAAATCCTCAGGGCCGGGCCATAGGACTCCCTGGGCTTTGGAAATGCTCCGGGTCGACTTTTTCCGAGCCCTCCGGGGCTAGACCGGAGGGCTCGGAAATCCCAAAAGCCCGCCCTGTAGCCAGGGGTGGTCAGCGGGCCGGGCCGGCCGGGCTCGAAAATGGAAATTTGACAAACGGGCCGGGCCCGTCTAAATTACAATGCCAAATCGTTGGCATTCATTGTTTTCGCGCCGGTAAGATTAATTGATGCTGTTATAGTTGCTGTTTCTCAAATTCTAAAACGTTTGCAAGTCTATAGTTCCATTATAAGCCCACAAAACTATCACACTGATCCTTTACTGGCTAGATCAACGCCTTTTTTGCCTAACTTTTAGATCCCATGCTTGGGCGCAGTTCGCAGAACCTCTATAAACGGGCCTGGAAAAAGACTAGACGGACCGGGCCGGGCCGGTAATTAGGCGGGCCGGGCCGCGGGCCGAAAATCGGAAAAATAGGGTCCGCTTACCACCCCTGCCTGTAGCCATGTCTGGTCAAAGAGCAATTTGATTTCGCTGCAACACAGTTCATTCTCTCGGCGATGCTGCGGTTTTCCACACGACAAATTGGTCATTATTTTCCCGACAAACTTTTTGTCTATAGAAAAGTTCGTTTCGTCAAAGTCCCCATTAAAATTTGTCACGATGGCGTGAGCAGAGAAAAGGTAAAAATAAAATGTCGACCTTAACAGGTGTTGGAATAAAGGTTAGTCAATTAGAAAATAATTAAATTCTGCGCCCAGAGGACTACAAAACTCACATAATCCAGAGTTGTGAACGTCAATAAACCAAATTTTTTATATTCTTGGAAACTTGAGGAGCAGTTACTAGCATGACGTAGAAGTTTTGTACAAAAAAAGATATTTTTTTCATGCACAGGCAAAAAGGTTATGAGAGAAAAACCGATTTTTTTCTGGAAGACTCTCCTAATTTTGCGTGTTCTCTCGGAAAGACCAATGAATATTGTTTTTTTAACTCGAAATGTCGCCGTAAAGTGAGAGCTAAAACTTCCAGAAATTGGTATGTGGCTCAGACAGAGCGTGTTCCCCAAATTTGGAAAAAATGACAAAAAAAAATTTTTTATCAAAAATGCTTTTTTTTTGATGACGAATTTTTGTATGTCAAAAATTGATACTGGTCCAAAAAATCGCTGGAATTACATTTCTGCGACATGCACTGCGCAAAAAACAAAATTTTTTTGCACTGTGCAATTTCTTTTTTTTTTTGCACCGTGCAATAGGCTTTTTGGGCTGTCGCTCGCACCCTGACTTTTATCGCACAGTGCAAGTCGCTGGAATTACATTTCTGCGACATGCACTGTGCAAAAAACAAAAGTTCACTTTGCACTGTGCAATTTCTTTTTTTTGCACCGTGCAATGGGCTTTTTGGGCTGTCGCTCGCACCCGACTTTTATCGCACAGTGCAAGTCGCTGGAATTACATTTCTGCGACATGCACTGTGCAAAAAACAAAAGTTCACTTCGCACTGTGCAATTTCTTTTTTTTGCACCGTGCAATACTAGTCCTTCCGGAAAGTCGCCGGACGGAAATTGGCGACATGCACTGTGCGAAAAAACTCAGGGTGCGAGCGACAGCTCGAAAAAGCTTATTGCACAGTGCAAAGTGAACTTTCGATTTCGCAGAGTGCATGTCGCCGATTTCCGTCCGGCGACTTTCCGGAAGGACTACTAGTCGCGGAAAAAAGTCCTTAGAATTTCGCACTGTGCATAAACCCGAAAAAGCATTTTGCACCGTGCATCCGACCGAAAAAGTGCTTTTGCACAGTGCAATTTTGTTGTTTTTGCCTTATTGTCGCGCGCGATTCCCATTTTTCTCAGCGACAAATCGACTTTTCGGGGTGCGACGAGATTTGGGGGCCGCGAAAAATTCTAAGGACTTTTTTCCGCGACTAGTATCGGTCTGTCGGGAAAAAAACGGCGGATCGTCGCGCCTCGGAATCGCCCATCATCGCTTTGCAACTGCAAGCCGCGGATTGGGATTTGGTGCGCGACAGCGGCGAGGCGAGACGTTTTGAGGCGACAATCCGCCGTTTTTTTTCCGACAGACTGATAGTACTAGTCGCGGAAAAAAGTCCTGGGATTTTCTCGCGCCCCCCAAATTCCGTCGCGCTCCGAAAAGTTGATTTGTCGCGGGACTCGCGCGCGACAATAAGGCAAAATCAACAAAATTGCACTGTGCAAAAGCACTTTTCGGGTTCATGCACAGTGCAGAGTCGCAGAAAAATCCCAGGACTTTTTTCCGCGACTAGTAATTATCAGTCTGGCCGAAAAAGAATTACCCTCGTCGCAGCATCGAAATCGCAACCTCGAAAATGAGCGGCACCGAAAGTTTGAGCGATGCATCGCAAAAGTGCGCGCGACTTCGAAAAATCGCTGAATTTGTGGGATTGCACAGTGCAAAAAAGCCGTTTGCACTGTGCAAAACACACTTTTATCGCCAGCGATGCGTCGTTTTTGCCCTTTCTTTCGGCGACGCCCTCCAAATTTCAAATTGGGGTTTGGAGAGAGTGCGACGGAGGGGGGCGCGGAGGACAATTCTTTTTCGGCCAGACTGATAGGCTTTTTGGGCTGTCGCTCGCACCCGACTTTTATCGCACAGTGCAAGTCGCTGGAATTACATTTCTGCGACATGCACTGTGCAAAAACAAAAGTTCACTTCGCACTGTGCAATTTGTTTATTCGGGCTGTCGCTCGCACCATTTGCACTGTGCGACTTTTTCTGCACAGTGCAAGCGGCAAAAATTGCATTAGTGACTTTACAAATACGTACAAAATATAATTTTGTTGACAAAAAAAATTTTTTTTCAATCCATAATTTTTTTGATGCCTTGAGGCACTTTCAAAAAAATATTTTTTCTCAGACAAACAGTCCCATCATCTACAAGCTACAGCCCGTAAATTCCCCCAAACTTGGTCAAAACTCCAATTTCCGGCTTACTTTCCACATCAACCCCTCTACCAGCCACTCTTTTTTTTCTCCCCAACTCCTTAAAAGGCGCGTTATTTGTGGCGGCGTCAGTAAATCCAATATAGATGTCGGAAATCGTGCGGAATGGCATACATTACTCGCTACACACGTTCCGCCGTCCTTGCATTTACTATTCAAGACGTTGAAGTAGGGCATTCAAAGAGGAGGCGAAATCCCAGGCTTTTCAAAAGCCAAAATTGCCAAAAAACGAAAAGTAAAGGGCCATCCGAAGAGAATAAACACGTCTTTACGAAGATTATGGGGATACGAAAAGGAGCTGAGGATAATACAGTAAAATGGGAAGGATTGAAAATTTGATTTTTGAGGAAATCAAAAAAAAATTTTTTAATGGTAAGGGGGGACCAAGGCATAAATTTTTTTGAATTTTTCAAACGCCTTGGATTTTGATGAAACTTGGTACAAATTTTGAACAATCCTTTACGAAGATATACCTCAAATTTTTGGTCCACAATTTACAAGAGTCATCAAGATTTTACCGAAAAAAAATTTAAAAATGGTAAGGGGGGGCCAAGGCAAACTTCGAGAAAGGGTACCCTTACGATTTCGCTAAAACTTTGGAGGAATTAAAATTAAGGTTTTTCAAGCCATATCCCAAATTTTCACTTCTCATTCTGCAAAAACTATTGAGAT